AATGTCCCACCTGAAGTCGATCTAGCAAAGCAGCCTTTTGTTTAATGCAACAAAAGCACAACCTGGCATTAGGCAATTTGAGCTAAATGGAGCTAAAGTGATTGTGTTTCCATTGGAAAAATAATGGCGTGATCCTCAGCATGTTTCTCTGTGACATGGTTTCAAGTAGATGCGCTTAGGAGTGCCACCAAAGGGGAGCTTCTAGCATAAACAGTTTAAAGCACAGGAGTGTTCTTGCTAGCCATTCATCTGAGTCTGGGGTAAATATTCAAAAAACATATGTGTAACTAGGTGAGCAAAAGACCTAATTTCAGGTATTTCTCACAGCAGGTTACCAGACCCCCCAATCAGTAGAAGGGTGGTTTCAGACCACTGCAATTTTTCTTTGGGATCCCATCACATTTTACAAAGTTCGGGTTGCACAATTAAAGTTTGGGTGGAGCTTTTGCACAACAAACTTGCTTCCTCCACATATTGTGAAGGAAGTGAAGGAAATAAGTAGCTATCCTATTTTTAAAAGACATCTGAAGGCAGCCCTGTTCAGGGAAGTTTTTAATATTTAACGCTGTATTGTTTTTAATACTTGATTGGGAGCCACCCAGAGTGGCTGGGGAAACTCAGCCAGATGGGCGGGGTATAAATAATAATTTATTATTATTATTATTATTATTATTATTATTAGACCTTTTAGGCAATGTTAGCTGTTTAGCGAGCGTTCATTCTGATTTGTTTGCGAGAAGTTATTTGATCTTTAAAGTGTATTTGTTCATTTCATAAAGTTTATATACTGCTGGATTGTACAAAACCTCAAACCTCACATGGAGCAATTGACACCCCCATTTCCAATATGTTCCCCCTTCACTTTCCTTATTACAAAGTCTGCTTTTTTGTAAGCTGGGGAGGTGGGGAGAGTTGGTTGTGCAAGAGAACCAAATCAACTATAATTGTGTAACCTCTCTTTGTCAGTATGCGATTAAATCCCACTCGAAAATATCAACCGTCTGGAAGTGCCCAGAGAGAACGGGCAACGAGAATTGCACAAGCAAGAGAGAAGAGGGGGAACGAACCTTATACACACACACACACACACACACACACACACACCCATTGAAACATGCACCCAGCCAGTTCAGTGTGAGTCCCTGGTGAGGATCACGAGGTTGATGCAAATAGAGAGACACTCAAATCAGCTGTGCAGTTCGGACCCTGGTTATACACACAGGTTTCCCTTGCTGTGCTGGGATATTTGGATCTCACATTCTTTTGTTTCGCATTTACAAAGGGTGCCCTACCCCATGCACACATACCCCAGCACAAAAAATATCGGTCCTGACAACCAATGTCAGACTACAGATCTGCTCCAAATCCTCCCTTGAAATTGAATTTGGGAAGGAGCCTTGAAAGATAAGTTTATTCTGTGTGTGGTCTCAGGAGCTCAGCCAGAAGTCTCTTGTATTAGCAGCATGCAGTAAAACCATTTATTCCAACCAACGGCTGCAAATCTAGGTGAGGAAGAACTGCTGTTCTCTCATTTTTATGCAATTGCATTTGCTTGTTTATCTCCAGCTTGACTCCAAAAGACTGAGAGATGGTGTTGTGGCTCTGTTTTCCCGATCTTCTTCTGCCAATCTGCCTTCAGCCTTTCCTCCAGGATCTTTGCCATTCTATTCACATTCCCCTTGACTGACAGCATCCCTGATACTCCAAAGCTGGGCTTCCTTTTAGCACAACGTGAAATGATTTAGCAGCTTATATGTGGCTTGGGATGAATTTTTACTGTACTATTTTCAGGGACCTAAGTGGGATCTGGACAATGTCCCTGTTCAATGCAAAAAGGCTGGGCCTGGCCACTAAGAGATCTGGACTGAGCCTAGGGAGACATTTTCAGAAAAGCATAAGGCAAAACCTAGGCAGTTAAGTCAGAGCATTGACTAAGACTAAAACTCTCAGCAATTCGCACAGGCCTTGGGCAGCTGTTTCCACATTCAGGACAACTGTTTGTGACAGCGCTTCAAGAACTGTACCACTTCAGAATGCAAACGGGCATGGGATGTGTAGCAGACTGACCCCGCTAACTGCCCCCAATTAAATATAGCAGACCCACTGCACAGTGCAACAATTAAATGGATTTCTACAATTTACCACAGGCTATCTTGCCTTGTCCTATGTGAGGGAAACTTCAGTTCAGAGTGTCTCGGGAAGGAGTTGATCAAAGAAGAACAGTTTTATTTACAAAAAAGATAGAGAGTTGGTGAAACAAGGTTGGGTCAAGAGATGCATTCTTTCAGGTAGAAGTTAACTTATAAGTTAACGCCCAGTATGTTTCCAAGCACAATTCAAAGTGTTGGTGCTGATCTTTAAAGCCCTAAATGGCCTTGGTCCAGTATACCTGAAGGAGCGTCTCCAACCCCATCGTTCTGCCTGGACACTGAGGTCCAGCTCCGAGGGCCTTCTGGCGGTTCCCTCACTGCAAGAAGCCAAGTTACAGGGAACCAGGCAGAGGGCCTTCTCGGTAGTGGCACCCGTCCTGTGGAACGCCCTCCCACCAGATGTCAAAGAGAAAGACAACTACCAGACTTTTAGAAGACATCTGAAGGCAGCTCTGTTTAGGGAAACTTTTAATGTTTAATAGACTATTGTATTTTAATATTCTGTTGGAACCCGCCCAGAGTGGCTGGGGAAACCCAGCCAGATGGGTGGGGTATAAATAATAAATTATTATTATTATTATTACTTAAACACAAAGATGTCACAGGCTTAAACACAGTAGTAGAAGCACAGCTTTTCTTGAAATTCATTTACTCAGAAATCAGTTGTTACACCAGTTTCTGTTGTTGGGTGTGGGTTTTTAGGAAACCCTCAAATTTGCTGAGTGGAATTCTGAGGGAATTCTGGTTTGGCTCTGCTGCCTGTCACTGGGTGTCACATGATTGAAGTGCCCGCAATGCCTTTGGAAAAGTAACTTTTCAGGAAAGGCGGTCTGCATAGCCTTCTCCCTGACATGCTAGCTTTCTGTGTACAATGGCTCTTTGATATTCCCAATATTGAATTGCATGCTGGACCTTGTGCACTGCCTTGTGCTAGTCCTCACTGAATCATCCGAGTGGCACAGCTGGCAGGAGGAGTCTGACCTCTGGCAAGAAGACTCAGAAGAGGTGAAAGCATCTAGACCTCATTATGTTCCCAACAATGTCTTTGGGAACACAATAGGACCTTGAGGCTTTTGGATCTGCTGAGCTTCACTTTGGAGGCTGCAGAGTTCTTTTTTCCCCTGGGAAGCTGACATTTAGGAGGGTGGAACTGATACACACACCTCCAATTTTGGTGGGCAGATCCAAACCCAATCCAGATCAGCCCTATTACTAGTGACATTTATACATTGCCTGTGTTTCAGAGCCACGTTAAGCATTATTTACACTGCCAGCTCCTAGTAGACTAATGCAGAGTAATGGCGCTTTATGAATCATAAATAAAATAATAAGGTGTTATTGAAGCCATTCCTGCAAAGTGCTTTGAACATTTGAAATGTGCTATATAAATGCTAAGTCTTTTTTCTTATTATTCCTTAAACCCACAATTTGTTTTCTAGTACAGATCATGCAATTTTTGTGGGTTTTCTGGCTATTTAGCAGGGAGTGGGGAGGAGACTTTATTTCTCTTTTGAATAAAACTCAGGCTTCAAATATGCCTAAAATGCTGGCAGCTATGCTTTTCAATTATGAAACATTCTGCACAAAGTAAAGAGACTCTTTTTAATAGCATCCTTTCTCTAAAACATTTCACCTAGAGAGATAATTAAAACATATTCATATTATGGCCAGGGGTGGGTGGGGGGTGGGAGCGAAGCAGCTATTAGATTGGAATGTAATTAAAATACAGCTTACTTAAATTTGGGGTGTAAAATGAAAAGAAGATCAGCTGTATTGAATTGCCACTGCAGTATGACTGAAAGGGCAATAAGGCTATGATTTGATTGTTTTCTGATGATTAGGCCTACTTAGATTATATCCTCATGCCATCTCAACACACTCGTCAACTGTCCTGATTTGAGCAGGACACCCCAGAATTACAGAAGCCACTTGTTCTTCTGATTGAATCGCAGAATGTCTCATTTTGGCTCTTGCAAGAGGGTGGCCTCAGAAGAAACTCATTTTATGGGGGAAGTGTACTCAACATGAGTCACCTGACTCTGTTGAGAACGTAGCCCCCCAAAGACACGTGTTTTGGGGGACCATGCTTTCGTGTGAGTCACATGAATCATGTGGGAACATCTCCCCGAAAGATTTTCCTCTGCGGCATGTTGGAGGGCATGTCTCAGCACCTTCACTCGAATTAAGATGGGGAGGCATGTACCCTTTGTCTTACCACCCCCACCTCCAACACACACAAACACTGGCCTGGTTTGCATATGACAATAAACCATGGCTGATTAAACCTTGGCTTGGTGTTATGTGTGATCCCTACTCAGCAGCTTAGCTATGTGATTTTTTTTACTGCTAATGAACCACAGTCTGCAGCTATGGTTTGTTGACTTGTGAACTTTGGTTTGCTTTAGCTATGGCTTGGCTTTACACATGAGTCCAGCACCCATCCTTAACCATGGTTTTTTTGTCCGTCCTATCCCAGTCACTTGCCACACTACAAATATATGAAGCAAGAGCAGTTGGAACACAAACCAACCTTGAGAAGCAAGCCATGTTTACTTTGATGATCTGTTGGACAACTTGTGGTTAACACATAGTTTATTATACTGTGACTTAGTGTTATGTGTGAACCAGAACCTTGTATGTAGAATGTAGCAGCTGAACCAGAAATTCTTTGCTTCTTTGAATGCTGATTCTGTGAAACAGACATAATCCAGATAAAAATTGTGGGTAGCTGCCCTGATCCATTTGAAAAGAAAAGAAAAATCCAAAAGCAGCAGTATCATAATCCATTTATTAAATGGATTATGTCACGAGGAAAATGTCACAAAGTAGTGAGCAAGCTTTCAAGTGTACCAGAACCTTTATCCAGCCTGACTCTTGAGCAAAAAAAGCAGGGGGTGAGGAAGAGAAAATATATTGCTGGGTGTGGTGGAAAAGCTCTGTCTGCAGTTTATAAGTGTTTTAAGATTGAGTGCATGCGGTGTTATGTAGACTTAAACAGGTTAACCTGTGTCCAAGTGTGACATACATCTTGGGTTATACCAGAGGCAACTGGTTTTAACCAAATTTTGCATGATTGTTCCTGAGATCAAGGAGTAGATTTGCATCCATGTTTGGATACAGTTGGACGCCATTTTGAATCAAGGTGGTGGGTTGAACTTATCCAAACGGCATTGATTTTAACCACAGATTTCAAGACTGTGCTGGGGGTGTTTTTTGTTCCTTAAAATTCCCATGCAATGCTAAATGCAAAGCAGCTAGTAGTCAATATATTAGCAAAGCTTGCGATTAATTGGACGTGATCCAGGCAACTCACCACCTTCAAAGGCTACATACATCACAAGGTCAAGAGGATAATGGATTTATTTGAACATGCTCTTTCTAATTTCAGCAGTTCTATTCCATGCACAATTCAAGGAGCACAGATGAATCGAAAAACAGCTCTCCATCTTTCTTTGGGTACATAGGTTCTACGGCATATTACTCACGTAGGATCTTGGAGGTTCTTTTTTTTTTTTTGTACCGACTGCTATACGTTTTCATGAATGGAGAATGGTCTGCTGCACTCCTCCTGCCCCAGATTTATTTGTAAATTTGCATGCAGAGGAGGATGCTTTCAGAAGGGGGCAGCTTTCCCTGCACTCTCATTTCATGGAATTCTCTGTAACAGTTAATTTTTGTTGTCAGCAAAATGCAGGCTAAGCTACAGCAAATCCTGCATCACGGAGAACAGATGCTGCCTGCAAGATAAAGGTCTTTTGGCTAAAGAAACCCAACTCCAGTGTGTGAGAAGAAACATTAATTATAGAGACCTCGGACCAGTTGCCCTTCTGCTGAGGAGTTGTTTCAGTTGGCTGTTTATTCCTGGATCAAAGAAGAGAAGCGGAATCCAGCTCTAGTGGTGCAGCTTGGATGGAATATCCCTGAAATTAAATCAAAGTGCCCAGTGAATTAGCATAGGCGCAACGGGGATATGCAGATCTAAATGAATACGCCTTGCCAAGTCTGGACTTTGAGAGGGCTCTTGCAGAGCTAGATAGAACTGAGAGTTTCACATGCCATGTGAAAAGGAACCAGGTTATTGACTGTTCATAACTCTAAAGGCTCTGTCCCGACAGTCAAGAAAAACTAGAGATCCTTGTCTATGTTAACGTATTATTTTATGTTTACAAAGTATGCCAGCCTTCAGCAACCTGGTGCTATTCAGATGTTTTGGACTATAATTTCCATTTGCCCCAGCCCACTTTAGTTTTAGTCCAAAACTGCTGGAAAACATGAGGATGGACAAGCCTGAGATACACAATATAACATCTCCTTGCATCTTATCATATTATGTTGTGTGCATTTTTAAACTCTCTAAGGCTGAATGCACACTATGCCTTTTAAAGCACATTTGAAACAACCCTTTTCCTCCAAAAATTCCGGGCAGCATTTTTCCACTGCTAATTGCAGCAGGGGGACCAAATCCCATCAAGATCAAGGCTGGGGAGGGAAGGAAGCACCTCAGATTACATTTTAAAATAAACCATTGAATTAATGTACATGGAATTAGTGTGCCCTCAGCTGCACTAATAACCAGAGCAAAAGCAAAGTGAAAACATCCCTCCCAGATCCAAAATGTAGCATGATGAATCTTTAAGGGAATCTGGATGTTAGCTGAACCAGCAAAGTGTTTGTGTTGTGGATGCTGGTTGTTGCGATTGCCAAACTTTAATTAGCAAGCAGTTATAATTCTAAGTACCCACAATGCTGATAGATTATTCCTGGGGCTCTGGCTGGTGATTTAAGACAATCCTGTTTATGATTTGCCTTTTTCATTTTGCGTCCAGGAGAAGCAGAGCTAAGCAGACAACAGACACAATAACCTCACGTTGTTCCCAAAAGTACCCACATAAAACTATATTGCTTGGACTTTATTAAGGAGGAAGTGCAGAGAGCATAGTCCAGTTTTATATAAACTGCTCTTTGATAAGGTCCTGGGAGGACTGTCATACGGTGAATTCAAACCAAATCATGTTTGCTAGCAGGCGGACAAAGCCTGCCCTGCCTTTACGGTTTGGTAGCGTTCGGAGCTAAATTACCTCTAGATTCTAGATACTTCTTATGAGTTGTAAAGTCCAAGTTACTTAACTCTAGCAACTTAGCTGAATTTTAGTAGCAACAGAGACATCACCTTGCCAACAAAGGTCCGTATAGTAAAAGCTATGGTTTTCCCAGTAGTGATGTATGGAAGTGAGAGCTGGACCATCAAGAAGGGTGATGGCCAAAGAGTTGATGCTTGTGAATTATGGTGTTGGAGGAGACTCTTGAGAGTCCCATGGACTGCAAGAAGATCAAACGCATCCATTCTTAAGGAAATTAGCCCTGAGTGCTCACTGGAAGGACAGATCGTGAAGCTGAGGCTCCAATACTTTGGCCACCTCATGAGAAGAGAAGACTCCCTGGAAAAGACCCTGATGTTGGGAAAGATGGAGGGCACAAGGAGAAGGGGATGACAGAGGACGAGATGGTTGGATAGTGTTTTTGAAGCTACCACATGAGTTTGACCAAACTGCAGGAGGCAGTGGAAGACAGAAGTGCCTGGCATGCTCTGGTCCATGGGGTCACGAAGAGTCAGACACGACTAAACAACTAAACAACAACAATTCCTCCCCCTCCCCACTTCTTAGGAATCCTGGGGTTCTACTATCTCTCATTCCCTTCTCCACTCCCGAAACTCAGGCATACTCTGACTCACCAAGAACGTTAGCAATCAAGGAGAAGGGGGAGAGGAGAAATTCAATTCAGTTCACATTTAACGGTCAAATTCGCACTTCCTGAAATGATACGCAGCCATCCTGCAAACCCCCCATTTCTCCAACCTTTGTAGTGCAGTTCTCCAGCCAAGTAATGTGTCCCAGAATGGGTATACTAGGGTGAGAGAGAACAGCCTTTGCCAAAGGTGGTCATGGCCTTTGAAGATGCTCAAACTCAGGATGCAAGGGAGAAATGTGCTAAGAGGAAGGCACACTTGGCAAATCCACACTGTGATCAACTCCAACCCGGAAACTAATGTCCCCACTGTGGAAGGATGTGTGGATCCAGAATTGGCCTCCACAGTCACTTATGGACTCATTGTTAAAACCGTGTTTATGGAAGACGATCTTACTCAGCTACGAGTGATTGCCAAAGAAGAAGAAGATACCAGAGTGAAGTGTGCATAAGCATGCAAATATTAGCAGAGAACATAAAAAATGCATTATACAGAGCTTTCGGGGGGGGCAAAGTTGTTGAGGTTTTTTGGCAAAATTGACATTTTTGAGCTATTTTAAAGAAAAATCAGCAAAAATGCTACTGTCAACATGGGTTGCCATACATCTGGATTTTCCTAGACATTTTGCCGCTTTCTGCCCAGGCACTGCTTCCGACTACAGTATGTCCAGACATATGGCAACCCTACATTATATTAAGGAATATTATTTAGCAGCATTTGCTAAATTTATGTATATTTGGCCAAATTGCATACAAAAATGTGCACATTATGAGAAGTTTGCTTTGATGGATTTTCACAAGGGCAGTGCAGATGGATTTGGAAATGTGGGTAGATGAATTTAAGACTGGGAAATGAGACACTGAAATTGACAGATTCGTGCATCCCAGGCTTGAAGCGCAATGCAAAACTAGAGGTGACAAAGACACAGTCTCAGAGCTTGCAGCGTGGCATTTCATTAAGGTGCATGGAGTGAAAAAAGGTGAAAGCCAGCATTGCATAGTGGCTAGAGCCTTGGGCTGGTACTGGGTTCAAATCCCCCCTCAGCCATGAAGCTGTTTGGGTTATAGTAGGCCAGTCACATTCTCCCTGTCCAACCTACTTCATTCGTAAAGGTTTCCAGAGTGGTTGTTCTGTTACTCTGCTGCTGAAGAAGAATAAAAAAATAGCTTGCGGTGCCTACACTAACAAATTTGTTATGGTATAAACTTTCATTGACTTATGCATGTAACGAAATCGACCGTAGTCTACAGAAACTTGTGTCATCATAATAAATATGTACCCTTTTTACGGTGCTGCAAAACCTTGTTTTGTTTCTATTTTGTAAGGCTGCAGCAATGAAAAAATGAGGGTGGAGGAGATAGTCAGATGTGCTGTCATGAGCACTGTAGATATAATTTTTTAAAAAGCATTGGGAAATCATCCATTGGTGACTGTACTGTGTATGCAAATGTTCAGGCTTGGTAATGTTCAATTCTTCCTCCCTTGACTGCTCACCTGAAAGACTTCTGCCCTCCCATCAACAGGTAGTCATCAGCATTACTTTGCATTTTTATTTGCCATTTTAAACAGGTGGCCTGGGATGAATATCCACCAAGATCAGCTGGAGGCGTTAGGTATTCAGAGTTTGCAGTTTTGGAAACAGAAAAAACGAAAACAGAAGATGCTGTGAAGCTGAAAGATGTTTTTCTCTCACACACACACTTTTCTCTTCCTCTTTTAAATCCTGCTTTCCTTGTTTTCCTTTTGATTTATCCTCTCCCTAGTCAGACACAGAGTTTTGGGATAAGATGCAAGCAGAGTGGGAAGAAATGGCTCGCAGAAACTGGATCTCCGACAGCCAAGAAGCACAAGGCCAAGCAGCTGTCTCCATTAATGAGAAGGTAATGCTGATGTTGTGGAGAGAGAAGGCTTGTAGGGCCGCTGGGTTGCCAGGGGCAACCATGGAAGCTTGACTAGGCCAAAGCCCTTGCCAGTAGCTAGAGGAGGGTGAAATAATTTGGCAAATGCCTTTTTAATTTGTTCCAATGGCAGCTTTTAAGCACCAAACCAGGGATGCAGGTTGCTGCCCGCCACATGGCAGTGGTCCCAAGATGCCTGCTGCCTCTCTCCTCTGTGGCATTTAGTAAGGCAAAGTGAGGGAACTCACAAGACAATGAGGAGAGGAGTTGCAGGGCCTTATTCAAAGAGTGTGTAATGTGAGCATGAAAAAGACTGAAAAGAGGACGAGTGAGTCCATCAAGTTCCCCAGTTCTGCTGCTGGAAATAACTGCTGTGGCTTGGGCTGATGGGATGTTTGTGTTTCCAAACATCCGGAGGGCTTCGCCAAGTTGGCGAAGGCTTTATTATATTATTTATTCAACTTTTTATGCTCATGTACCGCAAAAAAAAGACAGGACGGAGGTTCATTCAAGTGGTCTGTGGGTTTGTGGTTGAACATGGGAGATGACCTATCCACCGCATTAAATATTTGTATTGATTCTTATTTGTATTAGAAATGAAAGCAGGAATTAAAATGCAATTAAAAATTGCACCCCATTTCGCACAGGCATTTATTACCATTGCTTTAATAGGCAGAAAGATCATTAAGTTGTCCACCAAGACCTTCATCTGTTTTCAAGTCGTCTGGGGGTGGGAAGTTGGGAACCACTGGTGCAGGAAATGAGCAATTTAATTCTAGGCTGTTTTCACCTTTTGAGGTACTGTGCCTCAATGTCACCACATTCATTCTCTCTCCTAGGGCTATTATTTTCATACAGAGAACCCCTTCAAAGACTGGCCTGGCGCTTTTGAGGAAGGCCTCAAGAAGCTAAGGGAGGGGGACTTGCCCCTGGCCATCTTATACCTGGAAGCTGCTATTCTCCAAGATCCTCACGACTCCGAGGTATCCGCTCTGGTTAATATTCTGAAATTGGAATGCGTAGGCTTGAACTTATTTGCTAATAATGGAAATAAAGCCTTTAGCGGTCATGTTTAATATCATGATCGACATGATGTCTCCAGTGCTATCAAGCTGGATGGGGATGCGCCATTGTATTAAAAGGGGAAAGTTTACAAATTAAGGATCAACCCACATTTCACATCCAATACAAAGCCTGCAATATATATTCGGTTGCATCAGATGTTGTAAAGGTAAAGGTACCCCTGCCCGTACGGGCCAGTCTTGCCAGACTCTAGGGTTGTGCGCTCATCTCACTTAAGAGGCCGGGAGTCAGCACTGTCCGCAGACACTTCCGGGTCACGTGGCCAGCGTGACGAAGCTGCTCTGGCGAGCCAGCACCAGCGCAGCACACGGAAACGCCGTTTACCTTCCCGCTATAAGGCGGTACCTATTTATCTACTTGCACTTAAGGGTGCTTTCGAACTGCTAGGTGGGCAGGAGCTGGGACTGAACGACGGGAGCTCACCCCGCCGCGGGGATTCGAACTGCCGACCATGCGATCGGCAAGTCCTAGGCGCTGAGGTTTTACCCACAGCGCCACCCGCATCCCCATCAGATGTTGTAATCAGTGTATTTGACCAGGAGTCATGTGAAGACTGGATGAGAGCCAACAGACTAAAGCTCAATCCAGATAAGACTGGATGGGAGGTTGCCTGCTTTTGCTGACATTGCACTCCCTCTGAAGGAGCGGGTACACAGCTTAGGGGTACTCCTGGGTCCTTTGCTGTCACTTGCGGCTCAGGTGGCCTCAGTGGCATGGAGTGCCTTCTATCGGTTTTGGCTGGTGGCCCAGCTGTGCCCCTATCTGGACAGGGATAGCCTAACTTCTGTTGTCTATTGTTTGGTTTTGTTTATTGTGTATTTTGTGTTGTGAACTGCCCTGTGGTATTTGGATGAAGGGCAGTATACAAATTTAGTAAATTTAAATAATATGCATTGGCATTCTGCCAGCTTTTGAAGACGCACTTTTGAGCTCTCAACCGAAGTCTCCTGTTTTAATTTTCTGCTGTTTTAAGGGGACTGCTTTACTGAAAGTTTCGCTTACGAGTGTTTATACTTTAATGTTTCTGTAACTAATTTTATACTTTGTAAACAGTTTAAAAGCCTAGTTGAGTAATAAGTGGTGTGTTGTTGTTGTTGTTGTTGTTGTTGTTACAGTGGTACCTTAGTTCTCAAACTTAATCCATTCCGGGAGTCCGTTTGACTCCCGAAACAATTCAGAAACCAAGACGCAGCTTCCGACTGGCCACAGGAACTTCCTGCACTCAAGCGGAAGCCGCTTTGGACGCTCGGCTTCTGAAAAATGTTCGCAAACCAAAATACTTCCAGGTTTGTGGCGATCGGGAGCCAATTTGTTCAACAACTAAGCCATTTGGGAACCAAGCTACCACTAATAATAATAATACTTTTATTATCATTGTACAACCTGTGTACAATGAAATTAAACCATTGTATTGTTATTGTTGTTGTTGTTGTTGTTGATAATTCCTATGTCACACTTAGGTATTTCTGATTTGTTCCCTGGCCACTAGCTGTATGAATGTCTGTAAGGCACAAGGAAAATCCCCCAAATTATATTTTCAACTCTTGCTTGCATTTCTTTGGTTTTTCTGGACTGGACTTTTGTAAAATGACTTGCAAAGCAACTTTTTATTACTATTATTCATTCTTTATTAAATTTGTATACCACCCTTCATCCTAAGGTCACAGGATGGTTCACAACATAAAAATACAAAATGAGAACACAAAATACCTAAGAAAACAAACACACACCAATAACCCTCCTCCCACAAACCCAGTTAAAGGGGCATAGAATCTTAATCAGCCAGAGACCTGGTTAAAGAGAAACAGTTTCACCTGGTCCCTAAAGATATGCAATGAAGGTGCCAGGCGAGCCTCCATGGAGAGAGCATTCCACAAATGAGGAGCCACTGAAGAAAAGGTCCGTTCTCATGTTGTCACCTTCTGGACCTCTCATGAAGGAAGCACATAAAGAAGGACCTCAGGTTATGACTGCAGTGTCAGTGTGGTTCATATGGGGAGAGGAAGTCCTTGAGGTATTGCAGTCCTTTCGATACACAGCTGTGCAGTAATCTTACCATTTTTATGTTGCAGGCCTGGCAGTATCTTGGGACAACACAAGCTGAGAATGAAAATGAGCAGGGAGCAATTGTTGCACTCCAAAGGTAAATGGTGTTAATTGCTGCATAGAGACTCTCAGCTATAATTTTTAAAAATAATAATAATGAAGAAGTCAAGTTTCTAGTCCTTAAGGCAAGGAAGACAGACTTTAAAGATTGACCACAATGCCTGGTCCTTGCCCCTCCCCATCAAAACAAATTATGCAAAGTATATGTAAGTTTGCTTTAATTTGCATGGGTGTGAAACTGTGGTGTGCCATATTTGAGCCACCTTGGTGCAGAAACAATTATTACAGTGGTACCTCAGGTTAAGTACTTAATTCGTTCCAGAGGTCCATACTTAACCTGAAACTGTTCTTAACCTGAAGCACCACTTTAGCTAATGGGGCCTCCTGCTGCTGCCGCGCCGCTGGAGCAAGATTTCTGTTCTCAACCTGAAGCAAAGTTCTTAACCTGAAGCACTATTTCTGGGTTAGCGGAGTATGTAACCTGAAGCGTATGTAACCTGAAGCGTATGTAAGCTGAGGTACCACTGTATTAGTATTTAAGCTCACACAGCGCAGAGGCTTATGTATCCTTAAAGGGATCTGCAAAACTTAATCCGGTATGTTACTGAATCAAGCAAATGGGAACGTGGGAAAAGGCAATGTCGTCCGGCAAACACAACCAAGGAACTCTGCAAACAGGAGGCCTGCTTGGTATTCCTGGCACTTGCGCACTTTCTAAAAGTTTATCTCTTCATTAGAAGTGCTCCTTAATTGAGCTAAACTCAATCCGACAGCCGCATGTTAAGTATATGGTGATCGTTTCTGCTGCTGCCTCTGTTCCAGTACTAGGCAGATAACGGTCGTGCCACATTTTCTAATGCTAGTTATTATTCTCTGCTTGTGCTCAGAAAGTTAGCTGCGTCATATTCATTTTCTCCTCACACTGAGTATATACTCTCCAAACCTAATGATATTAGCTGTGTTAATAAGCTAATCCGTTTATCTAACAATGCTTCCATTACTGTAGCCCTTTCACAGGTTCCCTCCCTGCATACAGTAAATCAACTGGCGGGGGGAGGGGTGGGAATAAACCATGCGCATGACTCCTGCACCCCAACACCACCCAAAAAACTTCCATTTACAAAGGGGGCTTGTAGGCTTGTGCAGCACTGGATACAACCCTGCTGAGTTTGTAATGTTTTGTATTCTATCCAGTGCTTTTTTGCTACAAAAAGAGGTGTCGGAATTCACCATGAATGCCTCCCTTGTTCATATATATATTATTAAGTTTCAACGATTTTTAACATATACAGTCAAAACACGATTTCGTCTTTTTTTTCTTATTTTTGTCGACTTCCCACCCCTTTTCCCGTAGAGCTGTTATTTCCCCCTTCTGCTGCACCCTATCTTCTATCAGATCATAGCCACAATATTATAATCGCCTCCCTTATTCTCTTATAACGGCAATGGTGCCTACTTGAGAAGTTCCAGAACTGAGTTCCGGCAAATTCTGGCTGGGGGAAAAAAGCCCTGGTTCTATCTTATTTTACTGTACAGTGGTACCTCGGGTTAAGTACTTAATTCATTCCGGAGGTCCGTTCTTAACCTGAAACTGTTCTTAACCTGAAGCACCACTTTAGCTAATGGGGCCTCCTGCTGCCGCCGTGCCGCCGGAGCACAATTTCTGTTCTCATCCTAAAGCAAAGTTCTTAACCTGAAGCACTATTTCTGGGTTAGCGGAGTCTGTAACCTGAAGCGTCTGTAACCTGAAGCATATGTAACCTGAGGTACCACTGTATATCACTTTTGGTTGTGAAGTGGTTTATAAATCTGCAAACAAACAAATAAGCAAACAAAGCCAGCGCAGCATCCATCCCAGGCTGGATAGTCATATCATTTGACCTTAAGATGCCCAATTTGGACCCCAATGAATCGCTAGGATGCATCTTCTGATTCCAGTGGTGATGCTGAGGTCAGCAGTTGTTATGTGAACTTCACTGCCTGCCACTAGAGGTGGTTTTTAGGAACCAAGGATAAATGGTTAAGCCAAGTCTGAAATCCTATGTATACTTAACAGGGCATTCCAAATTATGTCTACTCAGTCCTACTGAAGTCCATGCACCTTACTCCCAGCTAAGTGGGGTTAGGATTGCAGCCAAAGTCTGCAGACTGGGACTTTGCTGCCAAGTAAACCTGCATTGTTAATTATAAACAAACCAAAAAATAATAAATGTCTAATTATTTTGTTAGCAAAGTCTTTTGTTGGCTCAGCTTAAGTGTTGCATTCAAATTAGCAGGACTTATGCCAACGCATTGAGAGGGATCTAACTAATATGGGTTTCCGCTATTCTGTTCAGGTGCCTAGAGCTCCAGCCAAACAACTTGAAAGCCTTGATGGCCTTGGCTGTGAGCTTTACAAACACCAGCCATCAGCAGGAGGCTTATGAAGCGCTAAGAAACTGGATCAAGCAGAATCCTAAATACAAGTACATCGTCAGGAGTAAAAAAGGATCCCCAGCGCTTACCAGGAGAATGTCCAAGGCAGCAGAAGAAAGGTAACAGAAGGTCTGATAAATGGGCGTTATGAAATAGATTTGGGATTTCTTAAAAGCAGTCACAGTAATTTAAGAAAGTCATGTGGTCTCCTTCAGATGTTACAGCCCTGTTTAGGGAAGCTTTTAATATTTGATGAATTATTGTATTTTAATATTTTGTTGGAAGTCGCCCAGAGTGGCTGGAGAAACCCAGCCAGATGGTCGGGGTATAAATAAGTTGTTGTTGTTGTTGTTGTTGTTGTTGTTGTTGTTGTTGTTACTGGACTAAAACTCCCATCATCCTAGACCAGACTTTCTCAACTTTGGGTTCCCAGATGTTGTTGGACTACAACTTAAATGGCTCAGGACTGCAATACCCCAAGGATTGCCTCTCCCCCGAACCCCAAGATCATCCTCTGAGGCCCTTCTTCATGTGCCTCCTCCACAAGAAGTCTGGAGGGTGGCAACACAAGAACAGGCCTTTTCTGTGGTGGCTCCCTGTTTGTGGAATGATCTCCCCAGGGAGGTTTGGCTGGTGCCTTCATTATACACCTTTAGGCGCCGTGCAAAAACGTTCCTGTTCAACCGGCCTTGGGCTGATGGACATCCCTTTTGAACATGTTGTGGGAGGGGGGAGGGGATTTTGGGTTTGTTGTTATTCTTATTTTTACTATGCATTTTGTGGGTTTTTTAATGTTGTGAACTGCCCTGAGATCTGCGGTTGATGGGCGGCATACTAATAATACTACTAATACAACTTCCATCAATGATGGCACTTGGGGTCTCATATTTCAGCGGCGTCCTGTGCGATGCCAAAATTCACCCTTCCCCATCTCACCTTCCATTCTGCATCATAGTTGTGGCACCCCCAAGGCTCTGCGCCCAATGTGACTGAATTCATCCCACTCCCCTATACAGTGGTACCTCGGGTTAAGTACTTAATTTGTTCCAGAGGTCCGTTCTTAACCTGAAACTGTTCTTAACCTGAAGCACCACTTTAGCTAATGGGGCCGCCTGCTGCCACCGCGCCGCCGGAGCACAATTTCTGTTCTCATCCTGAAGCAAAGTTCTTAACCCGAGGTACTATTTCTGGGTTAGCAGAGTCTGTAACCTGAAGCGTATGCAACCTGAAGCATATATATATATATATAAGCATGTATCCACCTCTGTTTCCATCATCCATAGCCAGCAGGGGGAGCAGTCAGGGATGATGGGAGTGGCAGTCCAACAACATCTGGAAACCCAAGATTGAGAAAGGCTGTCCTAGGCCATTGGTCATACTGGCTGGGACTGATGGGAATTCTACTCCAACATACATCAGGCACAACTTTGTCTAACCCTGAAATACATGCTTCCCCTGCAGTGTGAACTTGGCTTCACAACTTGTCCATCCATGCAGTTTGAATGCTAGACTAGTGCTCTGTCCTACTTCTCCCCTTGCATGTCAGCTGACTACATCTTTGGATTTTTCATGAGAGGGTTATGTATGCAGATGCTTGTTCATCCTTTGCTTTACACAATCACACACTTGTCGATGGTTATAAAATGGCTTCACAGACGGGGGGAGGAGAAGGGAAGCTGTCACGCTGATGTCATGGACGCTAGCCCATAGGTGCCCACCAAAACCAACATTTCACTGGTTCAATCTGACATATCAGAATTTGTAGATCTGGTTTCAGAAGGGTTCACACACACCCAAGGCAAAAAGAATGGACCATATGATTTGAGGGCCCGGGTGGCCGTTTCACAAACACTAGGTAAAGGTAAAGGGACCCCTGACCATTAGGTCCAGTCATGACCAACTCTGGGGTTGCGGCGCTCATCTCTCTTTATTGGCCAAGGGAGCTGGCGTTTGTCCGTAAACAGCTTCCGGGTCATGTGACCAGCATGACTAAGCCGCTTTTGGCGAACCAGAGCAGCACACGGAAACACAGTTTACCTTCCCGCTGGAGCAGTTCCTATTTATCTACTTGCACTTTGAGGTGCTTTCGAACTGCTAGGTTGGCAGGAGCAGGGACCGAGCAACGGGAGCTCACCCCATCGCAGGGATTCGAACCGCCAACCTTCTGATCAGCAAGCCCTAGGCTCTGTGGTTTAACCCACAGCGCCACCCGCGCCCCTACACCGCTCTTAAAATGTTACACTTGCCTTTGTCTTGTGCTGCTCTCTTCTTCCAGTTCACTGCTGGAAGAGGTGAAGGAGCTATACCTGGAGGGAGCCCATCAGAACGGAGAGATGATAGACCCGGACTTACAAACAGGACTTGGCGTGCTCTTCCACCTGAACGGAGAATTCAACAGAGCAATAGATGCATTCAGCGCTGCCCTCACAGTTCGGCCTGAGGTAAGTTTTACACTTTTGCATTAACAGGCTTTTGACACTCTCCTCTTCTGTCTGTTCTTAAAGTCAGGCCTGCATTAATGAGCTGTCACTCCTGCCATTAATACTCTGGTGCCTGAAATAGAAATATTAATTGCAAGGAGAGAGTCCCATTTTCAAGAAGTTCTATTCCTGCCCCATTTCTGACTGGCCTGCAAATGAATCAAAGTTGTTTTATAGGGAGTTATCCACAGCTACGAGACATGTTCTCATGTTCTATGCCAGTTAATGGAGAAGGCAATTAATTCCAATTCCACCCCCTTCACCCTCCACTCCACCAATCATTAATTTGAGGCTGCTGGCAAAAAGAGAGAAAGAGACAGCTATACAGGGATATATGTACATAGCTATATATGTACAAGGATTGCACTAATACTAGAAAGCTGTTGTTGTGTTTGTCAGGATTATTCATTGTGGAACCGTCTCGGTGCAACCTTAGCAAATGGAGATCGGAGTGAGGAAGCGGTAGAAGCTTACACAAGAGCACTGGAAATCCAGCCTGGCTTCATCAGGTCCAGGTACAATTTAGGAATAAGCTGCATCAACCTTGGAGCATACAGGTGAGAACAGTTCAGCCACCCTTTACATGGAACAGCCGGTTCTTCCCATAATTCTATAGTGGGACCATGAAATGAGTCTAGAATGGGGCCATGCAAACTGGAGGAGGGTTGATTTCCAATGGCTGGAGTTGCTAGGTGACCAGGAGCTGAGAAGGGACCACCCAATTGGTGTCTACCCTTTATGGTCTCACGTTTGCCACTTGGGGACACAAGTTGTTTTATTTCCACCTACACCAGGGGTGGGGACCCTCCAGATGTTGTTGGATGGACTCCTCTCCCATCAGCCTCAGTCAGCATAGCCAATAGTCAGGAGTGATGGGAGCTGTCTTCAAGCAACTTCTGGAGGTCCACAGCTTCCACATCCTGGTCCTACAGCCCACCTGCCATGCTGCTGGCTGTTTTGCTAGCTTATGGCTCAAAGACTGATGTCTAAAGAAGGAATGGGGGGGGTGTTCTTAGCTCTTTTCTGAATACTTGTAAAAATGAGTTCAAATGAGCCTGGTTCCAGAGGTTTGGGAGATTGCTTCTCTTCCCCACCTGGTTATGGTCCCCTATATTTGAGTAGTGCTTCTCCATCAGATCTCCAGTGCAAATTGTGGCTCATGTAAAGAGGGACACCCTGTTAGATAACCCAAAGAGAGCAGGTTTTTCCTGTGTGCCGATTAGAAACACAGGGATCACTGCTTCCAGACACAACCCATGAAGGCCACGGGAAATGGGAGGTCATGCATCACCCTCAGAAGAAATGGCCTTTCCCCCAAGCAAGGGCTTCTCATTTTCATAACATGCCATTACCCTGCAAAGCTGGTAGGCCAGAGTGTACTAGGTCTCCCTTGGTGGAAGAAAGGTGTCTTAAACTCAAAATGCATGGGGTGGCATTTTCTTAGACTTATGGGCAGTGGCAGTGGCAGAGCTCTGGATATTTCCAGATATTAGACTGCAACTTCCATTAGCCATATTGGGTGGGGCTGATGAGCCGGACCAATTTTGTTTTAAAGGGATTGCATTACCTGAGGTGATTCAGGAAAGAAGTGTAGAAAAATGAGATTGCTGAATATGATTGATGACAAATTGCTGCTTCGGATTCTTGTTCTGCAGAAGTGTTGGCCCCAGTTTTTACATATCTTCTCTTCTACCCAACAGAGAGGCAGTCAGCAATTTCCTCACAGCTCTCAATTTGCAACGAAAGAGCCGGAATCAGCAGCAGGTTCCTCACCCTGCAATTTCAGGTAATATCTGGGCAGCTCTCCGGATTGCTCTGTCTATGATGGACCAGCCAGAACTTTTCCAGGCCGCTAATGTGGGCGATCTGGACGTCCTACTAAAAGCTTTCAACATTGAACCCTGATGCACACAGGGAGAGAGAAAGACTCACACGGAGAGACACTTAACCAAGCCCTCAAAAGAAAAAAGAAAGCCCAACCCATCTAGTTCTATACAGAAATATCTTTGAATTCCCTTCTTGGACTGAGAAAGACGACATGGATACTTTGCAGCAGAAAGGGTTGTACGGGATGCCACCAGATCTCCAGAAAATTAAAAGCACAAAACCTTGTAAATATCACCTTGCTCAAGTCCACATGGGAACAACAGCTACTATGGTGCATAGGGGAACTGGACAAAACAACTTCACCTGGATATTCCTTACGACATGTACTTGTACAAAGAAAATGGGTTTTGAATATCATGCTACCATGTGCATAAGAGCACAGAAAAGGTGTTGGGTAGCGTTTCCTAAGGAGCTCCTCTGCTCCTCAAATATAGCAGCAGAGGGGAGGATGGATGGCTTCTCACTTCCATCTTCCACAGTTCCTTTCCCACATCTGCAGCCATCCATATGTAAACGTTGGAGTAGCTGCGTTTTCCCCACCATCTACAGCTGAAACGTTAATTGGATTTTGATTCTGGAGTCTGGATCCCGTGAAGCCCTCCAAAGCAGAGATCTCATAAGAACCGAGAAGTCTACGCATGGAGAATTTGAAGGTTGAATCATATGCTGTAGGGGATGGGTTGTGTAAACAGAAGGCCATTTCTATTGCTGCAGCGCCGCTGATGCAGTGGGTTTCTGTACGTGCAACAGAACTTCCTCTCCCTCTCTTGTTCTCTCCAGCCTCCTGGTTGCCTTCGAAACCAGCTCTAGATGGTTTGGGGAACCCTCTGGAGCAGATGTTGAGGGTGCATGGGGAGAGGAGAAGAAACGGAAGTTCCGTTACACCAGTGGAACGGTTCTGGCACAGCATTAAATACAGCTGCTAAGTTGCAATTTGCACTAGAGGTTTTTTTGGGGGGGTATGCATGGGTAGGGCTGGCCCCAACTGTTTGGGCACCCTGGATGGGTACCTGGGTGCACCTCAAACCCCTTTTTGAATCCACAAATTGTCTCTCAAAACCCCATGCCCCTTTTCCTTAGAGAAGTAAACCTGTTGCTAAGAAAGTAGCCTACCAACGTCTGTTTTCAGTGATTCTGCAGGGATGTTGCGGTCGAAATCGTGAGTTGGTACCTAGCAGTGCAGGAATGTACCTGAAATCACTTCCCAAGCAGTCAGGGAGTGTTTTGTGCAGTTGCTAGGTAGCTGCCACGCAGGTTTCTTTCCCCTCCATCAAGCAAGCAGACATTGTTAGCGGGTGATGGCAGAGTGTTCAGCAGCTGGCTGCCCAGTACTCTGGTCAGATGTCCATTGTGGCCACTGAGTGTTGTTTTGAGCAGAGCTCGCAACAGGACCACGATCAATGGGTTCATTTGCACTTTAATCTAGCTTTTCTGTTTTTATTTGTAAAGGGGGGGGGGAATATAATATACTTTTTACACATTTGGAGAGAAATATGCAGATTCAGCCATGCTGGCAAAGGACCAATAAGGAACTTGACACAAGGCGCAGCTTCCTTCCAGGCTGTTTCAAAAATGCAAATAGGAGCCATAAATTACAGTCAAGAAATGGGAGAGGATATAGCATGGGTGTTAAGGGGAGGCAAATGTCAGCAGTCGAAGGACAGACATCTGTTCCCTCGCCCTTTTGGAAGAAAACAAGCAGATGGGCTTGCAGCCCCTGGTCTAGCAAAAGTGCTTCAGCTGATGCTGAACTATTTTGAGAAGGGATGGCAAAATTCTCCACTCTCCTTGACGGTACACGATCAGCTCCAAAATCTTCAAACTCGGTGCTTGAAGGAATTAAAAAATCCACTCCAGGTCACCAGGAAGTGAGCGAGCCCCATTTAAATGAATGGGAGTCACTCTTGAGCAGAGGAGGAAGCTCTTGATTTCAGTGGGGCTTACACGGAAGAAATGTCCTGATCCATTGGGTCCCAAGGAAATAAAGTGCCCTTTAATTCCAGTTGATTTCAGAAGTAGACAAAATGCTAGATTTTTAGATGACATTAGACATTTGAATGGAACGTTAAGTGCCAGAGCTAAGGCACACAAAGAACCTTCTATCCAAGATGGATTATCAGGATGTATCGATAATTCCATTTTCTAAAATGGTGAATATTTGTAATTTTCTTTTTTAAAAAATAATATCACAAACTATGGTATAAAAACGGGGAAAGGGAGGGTATACAGCGTTTCATACTTAGAATGTTATACACAGGGTATCACTTGGACTTCTTGAAGCCTGATCGCTTTGGCTTGTTTATCAGTGCTGGTGACTTGGCTTAGCAGGCAGTGTGTTCTCAAACCTCATTGAAAACATGGATGTGCTGCCACAGCCCAAGTGGAGAATGTTTCCTAAATGTAATGATGTTCTTTTAAATGATCACCCAGAACCATGCCCATAAATGTCAGATGTGGCTGAACAGCATCTCCCATCATCCCTGCTGGCCATGGGCCCATGCTTGCCGGGGCTGATGGGAGTTGTAGTTCAGCAACATCTGGTGGGCCAGCAGTCCCCCACCCCTACTCTAAATTCAAGGCACCTTAAGAATTGCCTTGCTAGCTCAGACCAAAGGTTTATCTAGGCCGGCAGTGGGCAGAATAGTTGAGGATCTGCTGGGAGAAGTCTGGCAAGTAGATTGGCAAGGGTTTCCAACTCCCAGTCGTTTAACAATGGCAAAACAAAATGGCGCACACACCCTCATCCACTGTATCATTGTTGGATGAGGCAAGAAGGAGCAAGGCAGGTTACCTAGGATTGGATTTTAATGTGAAAGAACTGTGAACTCAGTTAAGTTATGGTATCTAAAACAAATTTCTGGGTTCAGAATTATTTTAATTTAGAGTGTACATCATTTGTCCCTGGCCCTGGTTGGTCAGTCTCAGGATTCTAGTAAATAAGCAATTAAGTGGGTCCTGCGAGCCTAACATCTAAAAGCCACTGCTTTAGAAGTCTGTTTTCGGCATTAAGTGGTATATAAATTAATTCTTCTTTGTCATCGCTGAAGCCAGCACTGCTGTCTCCAACAGCTGATAGCTATATGCTCCAGGCAAATTCATAAACGGGGATATGATAACTGACAGCCTTTCCCTGGCGCTTGTCCCCGGCTGAAAGATATATTGCCTAAGGACATGGAGGTTCTGCTCAGCTGTCATCGCTAATCGGTAGGCCTGCACACAAGGTCCCAGAAGCAGAGTGCATTCCAAGAAAAAAAAACAAACCATTCAGTAGTAATAAGCAAAGATCTTTACACAGATAGCAATAAAACCTTGGATGTAAATGCCCCAATCCATCTTGCCATTCTTTCTCTGCATGCAGCGATGCTACTAGTGCGTATCTGGTGAAAACGGCCATTTATTTTTATGGCTTACGAACAAACACCTTTGCTGTCTCATTGCTCACAATGTCCAGATGCAACAGTTCATTAGCAACACTGGAAACCATTCAGAATAGTTTGTTGCTGTGTAGTCTGTTGGACAGGGCAGATGTGAGTAGAGCTGGGAGCCAAGGAGCACAATCTAGTAGGGATGTCCTCCAGCACCTTTGAAATGGACAACAGTTTGGGTAAGACGACACACAAGTGGCATCTACTTTTTAAAAACAAACTGTATAGTCAACCAGAATTGGTGGTGGTGGTTTTCAACAGTACCGAGAGGCGGTTAACCTTCCCTCCCCTCCTTGTGGTTCTGAAGAAAATATCTCCCTTCATCCCCAAGCCAACAGGGTGGGCAGCTCATATCATTGCTGATGGGGGCTTCTGAATGAATAGCAGCCTGGGGTGGGGAAGTGGATTATTTTTTATTCTTCTTCTTTTTACAGGATTATGGTGCAAGCCTAACTCTTGCATCTACACACCACCATGCTGATTAAATGACAGGGCAGTGGTTAAATTACTGACCAGTGGTTTCTAAAGGATGCATGCTACAAAAGAGTGCAATTTTAGCATCATGTGTATTTCATCTATAGAAGGGATCTACTGTATGTTGAAGGAAACCTAGACTTTGCTCCTTCCAGTAGTAGCCTTAAAGCAACTACTTCTGCTGCCCTGCTGATTCCATCCTCTCCTGTGTACCTCACTGTGCTCCCATTAACACCATACCTTTAAAGCACTAGGAAACCACAAATCACGGCTTCTCCCAAATAATTCTGGGCACTGTAGTTTCTTAAGGGGGCTGAGAGGGTTTTTTTAGGAGACCGCCTATTCCTTGCAAAGAGTTACCGTTCTCTCAGAGTTCCCTGTGATTAACTGCTAAACCAATCTGAGAATTGTAGCGCTACGAGGTGAACAGAGGTCTCCTAGCACCTCTCAGCATCCTTTGCAAACTGCATCTCCCATGATCCTTTGGGGGAAAGCCATGACTGTGTAAAGCAGCGTCATAGTGCTTTAAATCCATAGTGTGGATGTGGCCAGTGTCGTTTTGCTGCTCTGGTCCTGCTCTTGCGAAGGACAGGATGAAGACGGGTTTACTCCACACACACACACACACACACACATCCTAGGAAATAAGCAGCTGCTTAAAGGAGAAAGAGTGCACACATTGTCCCCTGCCTCCATCTTTCAGGTTCACTTTTAGTGCAAGCTTTGGAACTCATGGACACTTGACATTATAAGCTGTGTCTTCATGGTAGAGCTACTTGCAGTGGACAATGCAGGATTGCTGCCCAAAGTGACATCTCTGTGCCAACACATCTTCTCCTTTCTTTTAGTCAAATGTATTATGTCGTTTTCCTGCCAGTGATGTGGAGCGACAAGGCGGAGCGAGAGCATGGGCACATCTGACTAAACTTTAGGGAAGCAGGAAGAGAAATTCAACATGGAAAAGGCGGGGAAGCGAGAGAATTGAACACAGGGATACCATTTTTGGCAGCAGCCCTGTGTCAAGTGCCACGCGTAGATCCACTCTTGCAAATCATAGGGTGGTATTCAGCTAAGGTCACACCATGCCTTTAAAGCACTACAATGCCACTTTAAACAGTCATGGCTTCTCCCAAAGAATTCTGGGAGCTGTATTTTGTTAAGGTTGCTGAGAGTTGTTGGATACCCCTATTCCCCTTCCAGAACTACAATTTCCAGAATCCCTTGTGAAGAGTGAGTGATTGTTAAATCACTCTGTAGGCTGTAGCTCTATGAGAGTCTCCTAGCAACTTCCAGCTCTCTTAACAAACTACAGCTCCCAGAATTCTTTGGGGGAAGCCATGACTGTTCAGAAAGGTATCATACTGCTTTAATTGTGTGGTGTGGATATAGCTTTAGTCATATTCATTAATTTCATTGGGTTTACTCTTGAGTAAAACATAGCTGAATACCACCCATAGTATCTGCAGCTTCAAATTTATTCTAGCAGAGCAGTTTTAAAAAGGAGCCTCCCTGTTTCAACAAAGCCTTCTCTTCCTGCAGTTTGAGATTATATATATATATATATATAGTTAAAAAACCACTTTCCTAAACTTTGGTTTTCTTCTTTCTCATTCAAGACATTGTTTTTATGGCTAGTTGAGAAACTATATCTACATATAAATATTGTTGTTTGAGTTAGTATATATATCCCTCTCTTGATATATATATATTTAAGGGGTTTTTTCTAATAGCAGTGCAAGTTTGTAAATATATATATATATATATATATATATTAAGGAATTACATAGCCTCAGGTAGCAACGTAGTGCATGCGAGCTGTATTTAACACCAGCCTAAAAAGCGCACTACTGGTATAATGCATGTCAAAAAGCAACAAATCTTTTAAACGTAAGATTATGCTGTGCATGACTACATCATTAAGATAGCAAAATCAACACACCAAGCTGCGGTTCACTTCCCTTAGGTAACTGAGTTTGAAAGCTATGTCAGCTATATAGTTTGAAAGCTCTATAGTCTTAAAATGAGGGGACAGTGCTATGTTGCTTTGGAGTTATAAGAGGCGCATGGATGGTAAGAAACACACCTTGACCCTGTCATTAGCCAGGGAGGTGCCCCCCCCCCAGGTAGCCATTGGTGAGCCAGCTCCATACTTCTGCGCTCCTCTGAGGATTTACACTAGCCTGCAAATGAACATCTCCCCTCTCCTTTTGCAGGCGGGGTTTGAATCCAAACCCTGCCTGCAAAGGGACACTGCCAGGCAAGGGCTGGCAATCTGCTGATTACCAGCACTTACAAAGGTGCAGGCAGACCCTGCTTTGCCACATCCTTACCTGCCCCATGCCTGAAGTCAGATACAGCATCAGGTACAGGGCAGATGGGCACAGCTTGGCAAACACAGCCCCACGGGCCAAATGGAGGGATCTGCTAGGGTGGCGAATGGCCAGGTATTGCATGCTTTGCTGCCAGACTGGGGGGAGGGGAATGAGTCCCATTTAGGACTCCTCCACCATAGGCACCAACATGCCTTGGGACCAGCTGTGGTCCATTGCTTGCAGATTTGCTGCTATTCTGCATGGCTCACAAATTGGAGGAGAGAGTAAGATGACAGGCTTTAAAGTGCCGAGTCCAAAAGGAGCACTGAGCCAGGAAGAAAGGAGTCAAAAGTGGGATGCAGTCACTGCTAGCAAAGGAGGGCATGCCATTAACCACCACAGGAATCAAGGGGCCTGCAGAAGATATGGGGTTGTTACGATGGGGATTTTGGGGCGCAGTTACCTGGAGATATATATTCTTCCCATGCTAGGGCAGAAAGCAGTAGTTGAGGTGGGGATACCAAACCACTAGTGACAGGCTAAGACAGAAAAACACAAACCCTTGGGCTATAGCCAAATTCTCTGCAAAGGTCTTGCACTCTTTGCTTGCCTCCTTTTACAGCTTTTTCCCCACAGCTCAAAACATGGTCACTGCTCTTGCCTAACATGTCAGTGGAACAGCAGCTGCACTTCCAAATGTAGAAAAACATACCATACTATTCTATTGCACAGACCGCATAGAGTTACCATGTGAGTCGTACCACGTAGTGGGACTGAGGGAACACAAACCCACTCATGTGCTTTAAGACTACCTCTGAGTAGAGGCAGAGGAAGGAGCAGGGCCTCTAGGTCAGAGGATCTCCCAGAATGCAGCAGAGCATCAGGATTTCCACATCCATCAAGTCAACAAGAACAGGAGAGCAAGGTTGGCTTGCCCACCATAAACTGTCGTAGTTTTCTTCAGTGGGCTGTAAGGTAAAGGTAAAGGGACCCCTGACCATTAGGTCCAGTCGTGGCCGACTGTGGGGTTGTGGCGCTCATCTCGCTTTATTGGCCGAGGGAGCCGGCGTACAGCTTCCGGGTCATGTGGCCAGCATGACTAAGCCGCTTCTGGCGAACCAGAGCAGCGCACGGAAACGCCGTTTACCTTCCCGGTGGAGCAGTACCTATTTATCTACTTGCACTTTGACGTGCTTTCGAACTGCTAGGTTGGCAGGAGCAGGGACCGAGCAATGGGAGCTCACCCCGTCGCAGGGATTTGACCTTCTGATCGGCAAGTCTAGGGTTTGCAATTTTTAAAATAGTACTAAAGCCTTTATTCTCACTGGCTATTTTTTGGGGGGGGTGGGGTGTGAGAGGGAACCATGACAGTTAACACAGCTCGAGATGGTGGTGTAGACATGTCTGCCATCTTGGGAGCCCATGCATCTACAACAGTCACTTTGACACATATGAAGGCTTGAAGGTACTGCTGGGAAATCGGGTAGATTCCCCACTCTCCTAGCAGGGGTTTGGTCAATATTCTCATCCACCATCATCCACCTTGGGTCTGAGGGTGTTAGGTCAAGGATGTTAAACAATATCTCCTCAGAGGGAATCTGAGCCCTCATCTCAACAGGGATGTGCTGGAAGGATTCTTATCCCATCAGAAGATCCTCAGAGAAAGTAACTTCAGGGAACCGGTTATATGTGGGCTGAAGGCAGCTCAGGATGTTTTCAGATCTGGGCTTCCCCACCTGGCAATTAAGACGTACAAAGTAAGCTGGGACCGTTCTTCCTAGGCCAAATTGCAACACGGGGATGGGATTCCCAGGGGCAGCAGCTGGGGAAGGAAGGGTTAACTGCACCCTCCCTGTCCCTGCTCCCCACCCCCACCCAGAACCACATCCCTGGGCTGCCATTAAGGCTTAGAAGAAAAGATTTGTCTGCACGGTATATGTATGTCTGTCATAGAGGTGGGTGAATGACTGCCAAAGACATTGAAACGTAGAATTTCTTTGCGTGCGCACGCTGCAGAGGTGAGAATTGAGGTCACGGTGCTCTTCCTATTCATACTCTCCTTCCAGCCTTTCTCTGCCATAGGAGAAAAACACGTACTAAAGGCCAGCTCCTAGCTCTGACGACACAAATCCATGGCTCGGTTGTTTTTGGAAGACCTTGGCCTTCCTATGCTTCCTCTTCCTCCCTTTGCATAATTTCCTCTCTGTGCATCATGAGTGGGCTGAAGATTGCATTTTACGTTCGCAGCTTTTAAAAAAATATCTGTACTATTTATCAACTGTAAATTTAGGGGAAATGTTTATAAATATATATTTTTTATATATCAGGTGTAAGGTTAAATAGATGCAACTAAGAGCATATATAGTTTTGAACAGAATCTTGTGCTGCCTCTGCTACACAATAGTTTTGAATTTTCAGTATCCTGAAACAAGTCTGGGTCTCTCTTTTTAACTTTAAAGCTCAAGTACAGTCAATATTAGCTTATGAGTCTGCAGCTCATTTGCATCTTGGTGGGTGATTTATTTTGTGGAGGCATCAATCCTGCAAAGATTTACCAAAAATTTTTTTTATTTATTTGTTTTTTTGAGGGGTCATTTACCAAAGGATCTTATTTCTCATGCAAACCAATATCCTAAAAGCAAACCCATTTTCTAAGTCTGGATCCTTATGTGACCAAAATGGTATCATGAAGGAGGTGGTAGCAAAAGGCTTGAAGAAACCCCAGATTTGTGGAGGTTTATAAATACTTTAGAAGTGGGAGCATGAAAACAGACTACAGAGAAAGGACCTGGGACTTGTGGATTCTCCATACAATGATGGCAGGTCAAGAGCTTTTGCTGAAAACATCTGTGTTCCAAATTTTAATAAGTTTGAAGTATGGTCAGAATATAAAACTGACTTTCGCAAACTCTATTAGGTTCAAAATTCCTGGAGATAAAGGCAAACACGAGCACGTCTTTGCAGGATGCGGAGCCTTAAAATATGAAAGATGCCACTGGAAACCAAATAAATGGTTGAATGTTTACATTCACTTCCAAGAGAAATCCAGTCTGAGGAAACATAATCTGATTATGTGGTTTAAGGTTAGCCTGCAAATAAGAAAAAAACAAAACATTTCTGCCTCTAAATACTTAGTGCATTATTAGCCGCATATAATAGTTAAAGAAACAACAGTTCTATAGTTTAATGAAGCTTCAAAGTGACGTTTCCGTGCTCTGCTCTTTAATGTAACCTATGCTTTTAACTTGGAACTGTATGGATATTTAGTGTGTTTTATTTATAAGGCTAATAAGACAAAAAATTTGCAGAGCACCACAGTAAATGTATTTTTGTACGGTAATGGAAGCATGCCTTCCTTTGATTCTTTTTCCACTTATTAAATTGTATTTATTTTCCTGTATTTATAAAATCGTGCAATTTTTAAATATGTTCTAAAATAAACTTTGTCTGTGGCTTCAAGTTATTTGTTGCCTGGAGATTTAGAAGGATTTATTTCTGCCAGGGTGAAAGCTATTTCCTCCTCCATACATAAAGTTGTTTTGTTGTGTTAATGGTTAAGAACCAGAGTTGAGTTGCGCTTTTGTTCATCCATTCCCCAAATGCATCCAGGATTTGATGGAAGACGCAAGCAACCCTGTCAAATCATCTGGAAATAGTGAGCACAAAAAAAGTGTGTTTCTGTGTGGAAGAGACAACATAAACCAACACATGCAAAATTGTTTTTTGTTTTTTTAATTTAAAACAGTTGCAATCATCTCATTCACATCCCTTCTCGTGGCAGACAGATTCTCTTCAAACGATGATTAGCGTTTCACGCCGACAATTCGGAACAGTGCAAAACTCATCCAAATTGCAAACATTTCCAGGATACAATAGTTAACCTCAAATGGTGGGGCAGGTCTCTTACAGTAATCTGATCCAATGTGAGAAGCAGAAAAGGGAAGGAGTGTGTAAGAGATTAAAATTAAAAGGCACAGCCAGTTCCACCATAAATTTGCATAGTCGTTCAATGCCTCAGAAATCAGGAGGGTGGGACCTAGCAAAACTGCCACAAGGATGGAAAACAAAGGATATAAACTGGAGATACAGTTTAAGATAGTTTGCCTTACCGATCTGCAACACAATGGCAGATTCAGATACTTTTAAATACGCCACATCCATAGTTACCACTGCAATGATTGAAGAATGTGCCGCGGCACTTATGGGCCAAACACCACACTCACAGGTGCTGCTGCCATGAAGTGGTACCTGCAATAGAACTCATCCTGCACCAGATGCAACTTTTTCCATGGGGTCACTTGGGCCCCATACACATAATAGTAAGCCATAGTTACAAACCATGGTTTACTGTGAACCAACAGCATGCTGTTACACGCTGCTCAAATACTGCCTGCCCTGCGTCTCCCTTTGCAAACAGAGCAGTGTTGGCTTAGCATTATTTGCAAACCAGCCCAGTGTTGATGGCTTGATTTCCTCCATATAAACCTCAACAGGGTGGCAAGAACAAACCTTGGTTTCCTCCCATGACTGGAAAGAGAAAAAAATACAAATAGTGGTTCACACGTCACGCTAAGCCAGCACTGTAATTTGTGGGACGGACACAATCTGAGCAGCGTTTACCAGCATGGGATTTTAACGCAGCTGACATCAGGCACTCGGGGCATGAACACTAATCTTGTCAGTGCATTAAATGCGGAAAAGTTACCATGAAGCAAGTTATCCATGGAATATTTTTTAAAGGAGAGTCCCTGATGTGCAACAGGAATGAAAGGTTCCACTCGCAGGATTGCCCTCCAGAAAAGATAACTCATGGAGATGTAATTTTCATACATGTGTGCACTTGCTGGATCATTTCAACAAACTGGCTCTTATTTGCCAACAAACAGGATGATGCTAATCAAGGAGACATTTAACCCCATTAACAATGGCTTATTCCAGTGTAACATTTGGTACACAGGTCTCATTTATTAGCACCATACTGTTTGTTGGCAAGGAAGAGCAACTCTCCTAGATTGCATATGATTAACATTGACAAGGAACAAATTGGAGGGAAGAGACCAGCTCCCATGTCCAATAAAGATTAAGTTTTGATTCTTTGTCACTTGAGTGTTGCCAAATTGGTGTTCAAAATGTGGACATCAGCCATCAGGTTGACCATGGTGAAAACAAATGGGAAATAATACTTTGGGGTTTCTTCCTCGGTTTACAAATCTACAACAAAAGTCAACCGAATTCTAATCCAAGTAAATTATCATCCTCTTTCTCTTAAAAGACAACAACTAACTTTGCAGAAGAATTTGAAATGTGAAGCAGTCTTTTTATCAAACTTAATAGAAAGTGGAAGCAAAGAGGTCCTTATTCCTATTGTATGGCTCCGTACAGGATCCAATGGGGCTTTTTCATACACAAAGGGTCTTCTTGTACTGTTCGCATTCATTTCAATGCCGCTCTTGCAGGGAAACATCCCAGCGGATTGCACCTTTTTAGGGAGGGGATAAAATCAATGATGCGATGGAGTAGTGAAAAAAATGCTGTGCTTGCCAACTGCACACAGGAGGAAGAGCTGCTAGGGACCCCATTTAGCAGAGAAGACAACTAAGGTGACATCCAAACCATATATTTAATGCCCCCCCATTTATACCACTTTAACAGTCACAGCAAGCTATGGTTTCCCCAGTAGTGATGTATGGAAGTGAAAGCTGGACTATAAAGGCTGATCGCCGAAGAATTGATGCTTTTGAATTATGGTGCTGGAGGAGACTCTTGAGAGTCCCATGGACTGGAAGAAGATCAAACCTATCCATTCTTAAGGAAATCAGCCCTGAGTGCTCACTGGAAGGACAGATCCTGAAGCTGAGGCTCCAATACTTTGGCCACCTCATGAGAAGAGAAGACTCCCTGGAAAAGACCCTGATGTTGGGAAAGATGGAGGGCACAAGGAGAAGGGGACAACAGAGGGCGAGATGGTTGGATAGTGTTCGCGAAGCTACCAGCATGAGTTTGACCAAACTGCGGGAGGCAGTGGAAGACAGAAGTGCCTGGCGTGCTCTGGTCCAGGGGGTCACGAAGAGTCAGACACGACTAAACGACTAAACAACAACAACAGTCACAGCTTCTTCATGACTTCTCCTGTAGTTTGTTAAGGGTGCTGAGAGTTGTTTTGAGTCCCTTCGCAGAGACACAGTTGACAACACACAACAGCTTCCAGCTTTCTTTGGGTGGGGTGTCATGAATGTTAAAGTGGTACAAAAGAGTATAGCATGAGTATAGCCAAATTCTCTAAATTTCCCAGAGGGTGAAAAAAAGCCCCATTGTTTATATTTAGCTGGGAGTCTTTAGGCTTTAATCCCAGATTTAAGGCAAGTGCCCTCAGCTGTCCATCACTAATAACCATGTACTTGCCATGCTGAACGAACTGCCCTTTCATCCTAGCTCAAATGCCAATGGACAGAGAAGGAGGTGCTTTTACAACCAAAGTCTTGCCTTCATCCTCCAGAGTCATGCATGTACCTATTTCATTGTCAGAACTCCCCACTTTAGTAATTACACAGCAATAAGCTAAATTGGGTTGGCCCACAACCTTTATGTGCACAGCCCCAGATGTAAAATGAAGGAACCATCCACCGAAATCCTCTCTCTGCAAGCTCTGTTAAATGAATTTAAGCTGTGAACCGCCCTGTGATCTTCGAATGAAGGGTGGTACACAAATTTAATAATAATAATCTGTGCTTTTGATCCCATTTCATTTCAATAGGGCTCATGAGGAAGACCTGGTAGGTTGCATCCAGAGTTTATCTGCATCCAAGATTCAAATTCCACCAAGATATACAAGCCTATTTACTGACCCCAAACATAGCCTGTGTGAGGGAGAAGTTGAGGACTTGGAGGAAAACGCAGCTCCCCTCTCAAACCCCACCCCCATATCTCAACTACCATTGAATGCTGTTCTGTCAAGTTTTTCTACCCTGCTGTTTTAAATTGTCTCGTGCACATGCACACAAATATGTGTGGAGCTTTGTGCTAAAGAACATTCCAGAAGGAGAAGCAGGGAGCAAATGTCTGATAGTAAAGAGCCAGATAATACCTTAAGCACCAATGCCTGAGCTTCTCGGCCAGGGGTCAGCAAACTTTTTCAGCAGGGGGCCGGTCCACTGTCCCTCAGACCTTGTGGGGGGCCGGACTATATTTTGAAGGTGGGAAAATGAATGAATACCTATGCCCCACAAATAACCCAGAGATACATTTTAAATAAAAGGACACATTCTACTCATGTAAAAACACACTGATTCCCGGACCGTCTGCGGGCCGCATTGAGAAGGCGATTGGGCCGCATCTGGCCCCTGGGCCTTAGTTTGCCTTCCCATGTTCTCGGCTGTTGTTCTTTTGGTTTGGATACTGTGCTTTGCATGCATTCATCTCTCACTCTCGTATATAAATATTCACAGAGAGAGAGAGAGAGAGCTGTTTTAGATCAGAGTCTCTAGACAGGCAGATAGCTTAACAAGTTTGCTTCTGGGAAATTGGCTCCCAGATTGAAGAAGGAACGCACTGAGAGTTCCCATTATTTACACTTAGATACAGGATGCTGGCATAGCAGATCTCGCCTGCTTTGAACTAGCCCTTATACGTCCACAAGGTGGAGGAAAGACCTTTGCTGAATTTTCACAGGCACAGGAGACCTTGTTTAAATAAGCACAACGTGACAAATCCAGACTCTGCAGAAATCATCAGAATTAGACAAATATTCCCCCAGTGACACATTCTAAGGTAACAGCAAATAGCAGCAGATCAGCCGGCAAATTTTGTGGTACATTCATAGTGACTTGAGAAGCTGTAATTGAAGGTAGCCTGGGACTAGGCTGCGAGACAGATCAGCATTCTAACATGCCTGTAGCAGTGCTGTAAATAAAGCAAAGTGGTGATGGTAGAATAGGCCCCAAGATATAGGCTTTGGATTCACCACTCGCAGTTTTGTTGGGCTCGAAAGCCTCTTTCTGCCTTTTATGGCTGCTGATTTGTAGAATCTAACCTGAGATACAAGGTCTTAAGCTGCATCACTAGTGCCTAAAATGATGCTGGCTCCAAGCATAAATAGCCACAACACTGACTTTTCCATAAAGAAACTCTGTGTATGTGCATGTATACACACACGCGCACACAAACACACACACACTGTAATGTCTCCTGAACTTCTGCGCAAGTAGTATGTCATTTACTGAAGCTTTATACTTGATACAGGTTTGTCTGCTGTTTTCTATGGTAACAGCTGCATTTGCTTGACCCAAATCAGCAGGCACCACTTTATTTGCCATTGCAAATTCCCTAACAATCCAGTAGTTCAACAAAGGCAAAAAAGTAATAAAAAAGAACTTACCAGGCCCATGAGTTCACACAATGAATTGAAACAAACAAACAAACAAAAATACACACACACTCCTTTTACACTTGCAAAGCCATAAAATAGTACAGTGAAAATAGTGTGAAACTGAAAAGAAGACATTGGAGGCAGTGGGGAGGTTTTTTAGAAAGGGATACTTGGCTCCTTTGCAAACTGCTGACAAGTCAATATGATGGTTTTAAAATGGGGAAAAAAAATCAATCCATCAGCAGGCTATTTCATGGGAAGAAATTTTAAATAATTAAACAAGCTATGCCAGAAGAACAGGGCTGTCTGCATATTTGCTAGACACGGTTCCTCTAGGGAGCATCATTGCCAGGGAAGGTTATATATTTTAGCTTCTCCATAAAGGGTCCCTATCTTTAAAATATTTTGTGGGAAATACTAGAGCGGCATAAAGATGGAAGGAAAATCAAAGCAGACTGACTTCGGGTCCAGTACATTTTACAACCCTGATGGGGTCTTCTTCTGTGGTAAAGGATTCCCAACTGATCCACAAACATTTGCATGTCCTCACCATGTGACTCTCCCCCATCCTGTCATCCTAGCAACTCTAGTTCCTTTGGTTGCCGGGGCAGGGGAAGAAGGTGGGGCAAGAGCTAGTCACAAGGTGAGCCCTTGTAAACCTTACGAAGCAGGATGGGAATACTTGTCATGGGGACCCATGGAGTGGATTCCCTTAACAGTATATGCAAAAGCATGAATAACCGAGGAGGAAGAACAGCCAAGCTGCAGTTTGCTGATCCACAGCCCTACATGAACTCTGAGGACTACACAGAGCTTTTGCATGTGTGAGCATTTATCTCACAATGGGAGAAGCAGACACACGCACAGACACAAATGTGCATACCGATCCACTGAAATGGGTGAAATGAGCACTTTCTTATAAAGCGAGTTCTCAAACCATCAGCAATTGCTAGGTCAAGGCATAGAAATGGAAGGTATGTTTTGAAGCCACCCAAAGCACCGTTTTTTTAAAACAAAAAAATGAACACCCACATTTTTTTGTTTGTTTGGCCAAACTGCAAGCTCCCTTGGCTGCAGTTATTAACCTTGATTTCACACGCTGACATCTGCAACATATTCCGGGCCGTTCCATCCTGGGATAACACCGTGCTATTCAAAAAAGGAAAAGGGAAAAAGGAAATCTAACCATGGAGATACAGCAGAGATCACAACTAAGCCACATTTTCAGGCTGGCAAACAGATCTTCCACCAAACATTCCCTTCAGGGTGGTGGTAAACTCCCCAGTCAAAGGCAGTGGCTTGGCTACCATCACTGATTCCGTAACAGTTGAGGGTCGAAACTGACTTGCGAGGTAAGAAGGTGGGTGTTTCAGAGTTTGAGAGCAGTCTCGTGTTCTCCAGTTGCAATCTCAGCTAGTGATCAGAACAGCCTTAAGGTCGCCACAAAGTGTATACATTTTTTTTCAAAATCCTAGAACACGCTGTGACCCAACAGAAATTCCTCCACTACAGTGTTAAGAAGGCATCAAATGACTGATCCTGATTTTAAGCTATAAAACAATACCCAAATGTTTTCCTTTTTGCTCCTTTTGGCAGTCCAAAGGCTTTGCTTGTTTGAAACGACTTTTTGGCAGAATAAAAAGGCTTATGGCTTCTTAAGGCCAAGGGGCGTTTACTAAGGCCTAACTCGGTATTCTGCGGTAAAAGTAAATATACCCCAACTCCCTGGGTGGTCGCTCAGAGGCACAGACTTTGAGGTCATTGTAGATCACCCACCTGAAACAAAGAGATGGGAGAAAAAAGAAAAAGGCAATGAGTGTATTGAGAAATCAGGCTTAATGCCCAATCCTGGGGGGCTCCACGTAGGTCAGAATCCTACCCTTATCCAGCATCCTTTTGTCTGGATTATTAGCCTTGAGAGTTCTCAAACAGCAAAGGAATTTACTGCCCAATCTGGATACCTCTTGGTCTTTTTAATATCATTTGCTGAAAATCTTAGGATTCTTTTTCTGCTATAAACTGGGGTTTGCAGGCTGCATCCAGGGATCTGCTGGCACATGCTGTATTTCATAGGCAGGATTAAAGCCAATAAGCATGGGCCCAACATCAATGCAGGTGAATCTTGCCAGAAAGGACAGAATGTGAGGGGGAATAGTAGAGCGTAGGAGACAAGAGCATGATTGGATTGAGGCAAGTGGAAAGGAGGAGAAAGAGATCAGGTAGATCCAGCAATGCAAACTTGGAAGCCTGCCCTAGTCCTTTCAGTGGAATTTGCTTCCACGACAAAGTGGTTAGGACCAAAGTGCCAAGCTCACTTTGAGCTTTGTTCAATCCTGGTAGTTTTACTAATTTTCTACTATCTAACAGTTCCACCTACTCACCTTCCCTCCTTTTTGAGATGACAAACATAATGGCCACTCATTGTAGATGTTCCCATGTGACTGATGAACCCAAAAAGTTCATATCCTGTGCAAGGAAAATACCAAATATGAGAAGCAGGGATGTGAAGAGATGTCCTTAGTAAGCCAAGTCCAGCAGTCGCATCTTCCAAGCATCATGTTAGTTATCCATTCGTTCACTCATATTTTGAACCTTCCCCTCCCTCAGGGAATTCAGGGGGACATACTATGCTTGTCTGTTTCCGCCCCCCCACCCAAGAAATCCATTTTTAAATGAAACAGACATCTGGAAAATAGCACGGAATACGCATGTAGATAGTCTCTCATGTTCTTCGCTTAATGTAAACACACACCCGGAAGTAAAAACTGGGCATGGTCTCTCTGTCCCCTCTACACCCCATGCTTGTGCAGAGAAACAAACTGAAATGTAATGGGGCTGGCGTAGCAACTGTTATATGAGATTATCTACCATGTGTTTTGATACTTTGTCGTGCGCAAAGAGGAGCCATATCACAATCTCAGCCACACTTAACTTTCCCTGGATTATAGATGTCTGCTGGGATTAATGGTATTTTGAATTAATGAGAAATTGTTCAAATGTTTGATATTATATTTTATTGCTTGTTTTTTTGAATATATTTTAAACTGATAGAACCTGCAACATTGGCGTTATCACCACTGCGCTCCAACCAAATGATTATAACGATGCCCCAAAATACACTTTCATATTCCGATTATTCACATGGCCCCGCAAAAACCTCGTGAGAAACAGAGCCAAGCACTATTTGCTACTTCCAGGCTTTCTAAGGTGACTGTGGTCTACTTCTTTCTGCTCAGTACTCTTCAGCTGCTGTCCAACAGCTCCATCCTGTGGCTGGTTTTAGATTTCCCCCCCTGCAAGGATCACTGTGACCATCAAGGTAAAAAACGAAGCAGATTATCTTTTGTTACAGGCAGATATAAAAACGAGGAGAAGACGTGAGTCTAAATGAGTCCAAGCAGCACAGAGAAATGTCTGCCCCCTCTGGGCATCTGTATCAAAAGCTGCTTCAAATCAATAGTCCACACAGCTTGCACTATCTAGTCTAACTAGGGCTATGGGATCTTAAAACAAAGGCAGCCTTGCCACCAGAGTCATTTTAATGAGAGTTGCCAGGGGCTAAACCTAAGGACTGCTGCACACCAAAGAGTTGTTTCGCACATTACACAGTAACAAGCCCAGGTTTGCCATCAAACATACATTCAACAGGGGGCCTGCAGTGAATCCTGGCTCCTTAATGAGTGCACCGGTACAACGAATACTGTACATTTGCAGGTGTGCTTATGAAAATGTTTCTTCCCGTTCGCTTTTTGCATCAGGAAGAGGTCTGTAGAAATCAAAAGCCAACTTGCTGGTTTAGGGTTTTTAGTTTGCCATAATTAGAATTCTTAAAAAAGACTAAATATGACTTGTCTGCATTTTTTTGGTCTTACTCAGGCAGCACAAAATAACCCCATTTGTCGAATAAAATAGACAAATGAACCTATCCTTCCTTGCTGACCTTTACAAGGTTGGACAAAACTTAGCTGTTCTGACAGGCATTTCAGGGTATCTTGAGAGGGTTTGGGGTTTTAATACTGCTACTGTTGATCTTTAGCCATTTAGTTTGTGTTGGCACTTTCAGTGAATTGATTTTGTTATTTGTCATTTTAAGACTGACTGATAATTGTGCATTTTGTACATGGTTGTATATCACCATTTCCGTTGATAGTGGAGAAGCGATTCATAATTGTAGCAAATACATTTGGGGAAAGGGAACAAGATATGAACAACCAAAGCAAAGTGTCTATGGGAAACTTACGCCCAGAGCCGTCTTTGATCCTGGGTCCTTCTGGATCAGATTCTGCAAGGATGTTGGCATTCACATGGTTCTCTAGGTCCATGGTTTCAGAAGTCGTTTCGTTCTCCTCCTCTGGCTCTGGGTGACTGAAGATCCAGTCTAATGCATGCTCCAGGTTATTATTCTGCCAACCAATAGGAAGATAAAATAGCCAACAGCCATCAGCATCAGTACAACCATTGTGGCTTGGGTGCCTTTTCCCAAAAATAAAAAATCTGTTCCTGCATTGTTCCCTTTGTATGGGAAACACAAACAAAAGGTGGAGGGACAAAACCTGCTGCAAATGGAAATATTCCCACTGCAGCAGAGAGGCTTCTTCTTCTTAACATGTCTGAAGCTCACTGAGTTGATTTAAGCACCATGGACAGTGACAGCCTCAGCAGAGTCTCCTTCAGTTCAGCAGAGCAGCTGTATTAGGCTGTCCAATGTGGTTGCCATAATCCTGTATTTGCTCCTATGTCATATTTAACTTCCACCCACATAGTCTGGACAGATTGTGTTGGTCTGGTACCAAACTAAGGATACCCTCCCCTAGATGGGCAAGTAATCCTCTATCTTAACTAACGGGAAGAGCAAGTGTTACAAATATTATGATGCCAGGAAGGGCAACAAATGAATGGAGCCTTCAGGCTACTGCTGCAGCAGTAATAAAAAATGCAAGCTAACTTAATTCAGCATCAGCTTTTGCAAGCTACAGTCTACTTTATCCATGTCATTCATCTAATTATGTCAGCTCACGCCCATCAATCTCAGGCCCAAATAACTTTGTCCTTACGATTCTATAAGCCTCTTATTCAGTTCACTGTTACTCAAACTGCACATTTCTGAATTTTCCACTCCAGCTCCTTCCCATCCTCACCAGGTGAGAATGCCTTTTGCATCAACCTGCTGGCTAGTGTACTAACTTTTAGCATGAGTTCCAGGGAACCCGGAGACTGGGGCTCCTCAGTGAGGAGTCGCCACAAGATGAGCATCTCTGAAAGCATCCGTTGCAACAAAGAATGACAGGGTACCAGGTTGAGGAAGGCTGTGCTATAGAAACAATAAATAGGCACCTCAAACAGAGAAGTTCTGAGTATTGGTCAAAGAGTTGCCTTCTCTTTAAAAGTCTCAAGCCAGTCCTCCTAAAGCTGCTTCCCAACCCTCAATAAGCTATTGGCAAAGAAGATTTTGCAGCCAAGATTTTCCCCTGACCAGTACCTATGAACACGATGCCGCCTAAACTTAATTCCCCAAAGGAAAAGGAGCGCAAGGTCTTCCTTTGTCAAATGTCCTGCTGCCACTGCTAATGGCAGCAAAAGGGCTTATTCTGCTTTGGATAATGACATTAATTTACCATACCAGCTTTTGAAAGTCATATTTGATGAGGAAGTGTAGGACGTCTGCATCTGTGCTAAAAATAGACCCCAAATAATTTGCCGGACGACTCACTGTTGCCCGTAGTGCATGGAAAGCTATATTCCGCTGAAAGCCCATAGAGGTAATGATGGCAACCATTTCTTCTGGGGGCTGGTTATCCAGCCCAACAACTGCTGCTCCACCTGCCCCAGGAAAAGTGGCTCCTCCGTAACCAGGGATGGCTAAGGGCTCTGCAAAATCTGGAACATAAGCGGCAAATATTTAAATCTATGCAAACAAATTGAGTGCCTATTCCTAAACCAGGAGAAGCTGAGTTCCAGTCACCAGACAGCAACAACAAGAGAGGGTTGTTCCTTTTATGCCTTGCTTGTGGGCTCCATGGGGAGGAAGCAGAAACTTTGAACTAGGTGGATGTTTGGGTCTGATCAAGCAGGTCTCCACTTATGTTCATACAGATGTATTTGCAAGGCAGGAAGCAAATGACTAGATACCCGCAAAGTCCATCCCACACCCATGATTCTGCAATGATAGGCTAATCTAGGATGGAACAGTGAAGGAAGCTGGTGAAGCTGTCTGTGGATTGCTTCCAATTTAAAGGAATACAAAAGAACAAACCCCTGTGTTGCACACTTAACACAACAAACAATATCAGTGAATACAAACACGAAGACCAGTATACTAGATAGCACTGCAATTCTGTGTGAAGTTTATATATACAAGTTTATATATACAAGTGAATACAGACACGAAGACCAGTATACTAGATAACACTGCAATTCTGTGTGAAGTTTATATAGTTTTCATGTACACAGGTCATTGTTTCATATTTGAATTCTTTCGCAGTTGTGCTGAAGAAGATTCCAGCGAAACAGTCAGATTATCCGGGATCACTGTCCTCCGTTGTTATTCACTTACTACTTCGGCACCATGAACGCCTAAAAAAGTTTTACCACTTAGCCCACAGGATAGTATCTATTACTTTGTTTCAACTATAGACTTATTATACTTCTACAGACTTTCAAAGTTTGACAGACGTGTGTTCATTTGATTTCAAATATATTAGAGAATTTACAAGTGTACACATTTTGTTTTTGTTGTACTGAATCATGTATATCATGCAATAAGAATTGCAGTGCTAGCCAATTAAAAGGAAGCATAGAGAGCACAGAACTGTCCTAGCGGGCATGGCGATGTCTATTGCAGACATATGCGCACTCAATCAAATTACAGACCTGGTTCTTCCATGTGGGCAATGATCCAGTTGAAAGCCACCTCAGCACCCATGTTGCCTGTATAGTAGACAGCCTTACGGCATGCTTCCAGTGGAAAACCCATCTCGGCTAGCTGCATCACTGAGGATTCATCAATATCTGGAGCTGAGAAAGAGAGAGAGGACATTCCCAATGTGAGAAGCTGTCAAACAAAACAAGAGCAAAGCAAAACACCATCCTACCCCATCAATGGACAGGGCTTTGTGTTTCAACTGTGGCACAAAATGTGCAGTTTTCATAGAATTGGGAACCTGCAATTTGCTGCCCATTTCTAAATCTTTCTGGCCCTCATAATTGTAATAAAAAGGTTGAGGCAGCTTCTGTTGGAAACTCCAACTATCCAGTACAAAGAGAAAGACGGTTAACTTTACAGCTCTATATCCCTTTCCATGGGTGCCACCATCCTTACTCTCACCTCTAATATTAATCACTCATCTTTTTTTCCATTTCTGAGCCCTGTCCTGTTTTTGAGGTTTCCAAATGCTGAAAATGCCTTTTAATTCTCACACACTTTGCATGCTTAGCAGATCTGCTCTCCTGTTAATTTATTCAAATTGTAACGTTCAGGCTTTAAAAAAAATATATTGTCCAGAACACACAACCCTAGCATTAGTGTGCATGGAATGTCACATTCAATTTTATTCTTGCTAAGACCAGCAGACAACTGAACATCTGTGCAACTTTTACAATGATCTTGCATTTACATAGGCTCAGTTTCGCTCTAAAGAATAAAAAAGCATAAATCACTCAGAGTAATAGGGACACGCACTACTGAGATGCAAGCACATAAATGGTTATGAGAGCCTACAAAGAAGAAGACGAAGAAGAAGAGGAGTTTGGATTTGATATCCCGCCTTTCACTCCCCTTCAGGAGTCTCAAAGCGGCTAACATTCTCCTTTCCCTTCCTCCCCCACAACAAACACTCTGTGAGGTGAGTGGGGCTGAGAGACTTCAAAGAAGTGTGACTGGCCCAAGGTCACCCAGCAGCTGCATGTGGAGGAGCAGAGACACGAACTCAGTTCCCCAGATTATGAGACTACCGCTCTTAACCACTACACCACAGTTGAGGCATTTGCTATTCCCTATGCTGAGACAAAGGAACATTTCAGAGGGTTAGCAACGCTAGCTTCCCAGGTTATTCTGTACCACAGCTACTCCAAATTTTAAGGTTTACTCACATACAGCCTCAGCAACAGATTTGCAACTAAGGTTTGGCAAAAGGGTGAGCTGAAGGCATTAGCTTCAGTCAATTTAAGCTCAGACAGGATTGCCAATGTTATAGTTCATCATCCACAGGAATCCGCAATTCCATTGTGGGGTGTATGTGTGTAAGGCAGAATGCAAAGTGAGGGCAACTTTCAATAGTCTTGGAACCATAATCTATTGCACAGCTGGAAGCAGACATTTCTTAGGACACTCTGGCCCTTAGCACTAAAAGCCAGCCACTTGAGCAAATTGGCATAGGGAATACAGAATGAAGACCATAATATTAGCTTCAGGTGAGCCATTAACTGTCATGCAAACAGCCCAATATTCCAGGTGCAACAGCAGTGCTCTGTCTACTAGACAGCTAAGGCTGGAAGTCTTCAATTTAATGCAGAGTGGGGGACCTCTAGTCCAGAGAACCTTCCCATCTCACTTGTGGGCCTCTCCCCCATTGACCCTGGCCACTTCCTCAGTCCCACAATGCTTTTCGCAACCCTTTGGTGTTAGGTTTAATGTTTTATATTTCTACTTGCTGGGTTATTTTGGCATTGGGCATCCCGGTTGTTGTGTGCTCCTCCCCAGAGAGAACCAGGCATGTTCCTTGTGGTTATTTTCACACAATGTAAAGTGTTTTAAAAAAATTCTCAGGACTTTTTAAAAAACCCTGCAATATTTATGTTTTGAATCACTGCTTGAATAATGTTATTGGGCAGGCTATATAAAATACCAAAAATCAACAAAAAAAATTAAAACATTCAATTGTGCAATTCTCCCACCACCATATTCAGGCACATTCCAAGGTGATTTGATTCAATTCAATGGGGATTTGTTAAAAAGCTAAATCTGCTCCTCTTTATTCCCATCTGACAAACTGGGCCCTGGGATCAGAAGATGTTCGTCTGCAGAAAAAGAAAATATGTCTCTCAATGGCCAAATGGAATCTCCAGTACCCTCTGAATACTAGGAAGCCAAAACAAACGAGGGAGAGCTGTTGTCATCATGCCCTATTTTGTAGGCTTTCCAAAAGTATTTGGCTGGCTACTGTTGGAAGCAAAAGACTGTTTCATGGGTTCGAGCCAACAAGGCTATTCCAATGGCAATACATAAATCTGATGCTCCGTCCAATGTTGGAGCAAAGAATTATGCCAAAGAAAATTAGTATTCCCAAGCCTTAAACCAATTGTGAAGGAGTAAAGATGAAGACGATTCCAACGCAGGAGAGCAGTCCCTGATGTCTCCCTGGTACTTTTCACGTCTTCCACCAAATAATCAAGCAAACATTAAGAATAGGTTGGAAGACATTCAAAACAATGGCACAATTAAAAACCCAAAGAGAAGAGCTTCCATGCATCTCTCTACAGACAGAGCGCACCCTGTGCAAATAAGTTCACTAAAACAGCCTTAAAAATAAAATAAAAGCCAACATAATGAAATGAAATACATACGCTCCATGAAATGGTTCGTCATGCCATCTGAAAGTGAAGAAGGCAAAGTGAGGGAGTGTGCATTGGGATGGCGAGAGAGAGGAAGCTGGCCAGTTCTGCGCTGGGTGCAAACAGTAGATCCCATCACTGCTATAGAGTCAAGGCCTTGTTCGGACATTAGATGTGCTTGTTTCCATAAGACTAGGGCTTCAGATCTGGTCATGGGGATCTGTGCCATTGGCCTAACCAATTATGCTCAGCCCACCTTCCCCTGCTTCTTTGCATAGATGTGTGCACACACCTGCAGGCTGCCCACATCTATGCATCTCCTCTAAATCAGGTCCTCAATCTTCTATGTACTTTGTGGCCCACCAGAACTACCCCAATGCCTATGCTTGAGTAGGCTTCCTTGATCATGAGCTCCCCATTCTCCATTGATTGCTCCTCATATTACTTCCAGATTGGGTCTTCGGAGCTCAGTCTCAATTCCTGCCTGCACACCGCGCAAAATTTTGTCAAGGAATGGAATCCCACTTACTAAACCAGGAAACAGGCCTCAATTCTATAACTGGCTACTTCTCTCACACCCAGCGCCCAATGGCTGCGGTGCAAAGGATGTGCCATGGAGATGTTGGAGCTTGTCGTCCCAGAAGAAGTCCCATGTGAACAGGTAGGGAGCAAAAGTGACAAAGGAACAGAAAAGAAGTTCAACTAACAGTTGTGGTGGAGAATGTTGGGGGAGTAGAGATCCTCGTGGTAGCAGGCAGTACCTTTGGGGTCATCAGGAATGATAATGGGCGGAGAGATATCTGGGAGCTCCTCCTCTCCTGGTTGGAGGCCTGTGGCACGGAGGTGGCTGATGTCCAGAAGATCTGGCATGTCTATGGAAACATCTGCAAACACAGCAGGGCAAATAAGCCTATAGACGCACAGCTAATACGTTACAGGAACATGGGGGGGGGGGAGGCTCAGTTAATTTCATTGTACACAGGTTGTACATTGACAATAAAGTTATTATTAAAGCACACTCCCATACTCAGTTCCCCAAACCCAGTGCTTTAGTCCTAAACCAAAAAAAAAGTAGGGACTGTTTCTCCATAACAATGGTTTCTGTGCTCTCAGGGAATCCCTTGAAACCTTACAGGAGAACCCAGGACAACTGAATATAGAACAGAATATTCAGAGCACATACCAAGCTTCTTAGGTATCCAATCCAAGCCAAATGTGAACTTCTTTATCTGTACTACCAGGTACTCGGGAAATGAAGCAAAGCGAGAGGTTCTGGAAACAAAAGCAATTTCATGTGAATGAAGCTGAGCCGTAGGAATGCAAAACCAAAAGAGTGCTGCACTCAAAAACAGATTCACGCTGGAAGAATGGAAGGAGACTGAAGGATCCGTATTGGGACCAGTGACTTTTAATTTGTTCAAAAGCAATCTGGAGTCTGGTCTGATCCAGGAGGAATCCTTTTATGTACTCAATACGTAGCTGGGAGCGGGGATTTGGAGGCAATGGGGAGCAAGGAAAAGCCAGTCCCCACAAACACAGATACAAAGGTTCCTGAATTTGGTCCTATTTCTATTTGTATTCCCAAGCCGTCCAGGAGGCTGCGATTGAAGCTTCTTAAGGACATCTCTCTCTCTCCTAACATGCATACCCATGTATAGGACAAATTGCAGACTCACTTAACTCCAGCAGACTTGGCTTGAAGGGCACTGCTCCAGAAGTCTTCTACATTATCTGGTTCTGAAAAGGCCTGCAAACAGGCACTAAAAGGGATTTTGGCACGTACAAGCTCCGGCAGGGGCCTCCTTGCAGTTTCAGCTTCTCTCCTCTTCAATTCGTAAGCAATCAGTTCATCTAACCAGGAACACAAGCAACAACAGAGGACCACTGCGTGTGGAGAATGGACAACCTTATGTGAAGCACTGAGATAATAAATACTGCATTCTCACATGCAGCCTCCTTCAAGTTTCTTCCCTCACTAACCATAAGCATGGTTTGTTATTTTGATATCTAGGATTTACAGTTAAGGTTGAAGTTGGTTAGGAAGACATAGTAAGCTGCCTCATACCAAGTCCACACAGGTCAGTTTTGTCTACACAGATTGGCAGTAACCCTCTTGGTTCCAGGTAGGTGTCTTTCCCAGCCTTAACTGAAGAAGCTAGAGATGAGTTATGACCTTTTCCCAGAGGTCAGTCAGTGTGGACAATTCTGAGCTGGATAGACCAATAGTCTGACTCAAGACAAGGATATTTCCTGTGTCACCATTCCACCATGATGCAATATACAGAACAAAGGGGTGAACTTAACTGTCACTTTGAACAGGTCAGCAGTGTTGCCCAACAGGCCTGACTAGTGCCATGCCTGAAAATAATCCTCTAACACTCTGGGATTCCATCTCAGCTAACACAGAAGAGGTTCCCTCAAAGCACAAATTTCCACTGATCGTCATGAAGTATTCCACTTAATCCATCTGGTCTCAGAGGTTCAGGATATTTTAAAGGACAGCATTTCAGGTATTTTGCATTACAGTAAAACTAAGGATTGTATCACACATGTATGTGTGTACATCACTTGACTAGAGGCTGGATGCATCAACTGGTTTCTCTCTCCCCCCCCCCCTCAGACACACACACACACACACACACAATCTGAGGTAGTGGCAGGAGAAAGGGAAAGTTTTGTTTGCGTAGTTAAATCTACCCTGTTTCCCCAAAAGTAAGACATCCCCCGAAAATAAGACCTACTTCCAGTTTTTCCTCTCACTATAATATAAGGCATCCCCCGAAAAGAAGACCTCCCTGATAAAAAGGCCTCCCCCAAACATAAGGCCTCCCCAGAATATGTGTACTGTATTCTTCTTCATGGAAAAATAAGACATCCCCTGAAAATAAGACCTAGCGCATCTTTGGGAGCAAAAACTGATATAAGACACTGTCTTATTTTCGGGGGAAACAGGGTGGTTAAATCTGTAATGGCTCATTCACACATGCAAGTCATTGTGATGCTGAAATAACATGCATGCGTGAATAAACTGAGCTGAACCCAGAAGTTTCTTCTGAAGGACGCAAAAACCAACAAAAGTAGCCTAATTCCCGCCTAACCTTTGTTCACTGCAGCTTCCATTGCTACAGGCAACTGCATGAGATAGTCCACCCTCTCAGTATATCGGACTTTCCTGGACTGGCAGCACTGTGTACGTTCCTCCACCAAGAACCGGAAGACATCGGTCGGGTTTTCTGAACCAATGGGGTTCCTCTGAAGGGAGAAAACAGGTCAGACCTCTTGGACAATCATGACAGCGCAAGAATAACCAGGCCACATGCGGAGATCCAAAGTACATCTCCTTGTTGTCCTGGTTTCTCAGCTGGGGTGATGCTGACAAGAAGCTAAGGAGAGCCTGCTGAATCAAGGCAAAGGCCTATCTAGTCCAGCATCTTGTTCTCACAGTGGCCAACCAGATGTCTGTGGGAATCTAGGGAGCAGAACATGAGCACAAGAGCACTCGCCCCTCCTGTGGTTTCAAGCAACTGGTATTCAGAAGTGTTGCTGGTGATAGGAAGGAGCCACACTGAAGCTGTTCCCATACTCTCATAGTAACATAAGAAGAGTAGTTTAGTTTTAACACTCGAAGCACTAAGACATTAAGAGTCCAAACTGACATACTACCTCTTCAGCGTGAAATTTCAACAGCCATATTGAAAACTTGCAATTGTCATGACTGATACCGATTACATTTTAGGGGATGTTTTATGTCTCAAAAGCATCACACAGAGTACAAGACAGGCAGAAATTTAAATTTCTCACACTCCAAAAGGAAGAAATGATAAGACGAGCCTGCTGGATCAAGGCCAATGGCCCAACTAGTTCAGCATCACAAGTTAATCCTGATCATTAATTTTAACAGGTCTACTCTGAGTAGGGGGACGCGGGTGGCGCTGTTGGTTAAACCACAGAGCTTAGGACTTGCCGATCAGAAGGTCAGCGGTTTGAATCCCCGTGACGGGGTAAGCTCCCGTTGCTCGGTCCCTCCTCCTGACAACCTAGCAGTTCGAAAGCATGTCAAAGTGCAAGTAGATAAATAGGTACCGCTCCGGCGGGAAGGTAAACGTCGTTTCCGTGCGCTGCTCTGGTTCGCCAGAAGCAGCTTAGTCATGCTGGCCACATGACCCGGAAGCTGTACGCCGGCTCCCTCGGCCAATAAAGCGAGATGAGCGCCACAATCCCAGAGTCAGTCACGACTGGACCTAATGGTCAGGGGTCCCTTTGCCTACTCTGAGTAGGACTCGCATTGACTACAACCCCTACTTTGCAATCAAGTAGTACCAACACAACTGGGTGGTGGGAAATAATCTTTTATTTCTGCACTACAATGCTCTATGTGCACAACTGTGAAAGTTTTTCTGGCCTTGTCGTCAGTGTCCAAGAAAAAAAGCTTTCAATAAGTACTTATCTCCCATGTCAATACTTAAGAGACTCATGAATTGATTTTTATTAATTTACTTCATGGAACTCCTCAAGATAAAATATGATAAGGCACTACATATCCATTCACTCAATTGATTTCTCTGAAAGGAAATGTCCCGATTTCGCTGAATTAGTTGCTGGAAATAGACTCTGCTAACCCAGCAATTAATAATTATTATTATTATTATTATTATTATTATGTAGAGAGCAAAGAATCATCTCCCTTTCCTCCGTTGTCTTCCCTACTGCTGTGGCTCAACATGGGACCTGGTGGTGAAGTCCGCATAATAAATCTAGCAGCAGCAGCAGCAAGATTTCCTGTGTAAGCTCCTTGGGGCAAAGACACATCTTATTTTGCTGATGTAAATCTACAAAGGTGCCATGTACACCTCTGGTACCACACCAATCGATCAATCATTTTACACCAAAACTACTATACTGTACAGTAGGAAGCGGGTGGCGCTGTGGGTTAAACCACAGAGAGCCTAGGACTTGCCGATCAGAAGGTCGGCGGTTCTAATCCCTGTGACGGGGTGAGCTCCCGTTGCTCGGTCCCTGCTTCTGCCAACCTAGCAGTTCAAAAGCATATCAAAGTGCAAGTAGATAAATAGGTACCGCTCCAGCGGGAAGGTAAACGGTGTTTCCGTGCACTGCTCTGGTTCGCCATGCTGGCCACATGACGTGGAAGCTGTACGCCGGCTCCCTCGGCCAATAAAGCGAGATAAGCGCCACAACCCCAGAGTCGGTCACGACTGGACCTAATGGTCAGGGGTCAATTTACCCTTTACCTTACTATACTGTACAAGACTAACATACCATTTTTGTCTGATACAAGCAAAGAAAAGACAAGTAGTGGCTAACCCTTGCTCACCTCTATGAGATGTATAAGGTGCAGGAGAAACTCCTGTGCATCTTGCTGCCGATTGGAGGAGAATTCCGGGTGCCCTTTGCTTACAAAAGCTTTGAACATGCGAGGAGAGATGCCATTGTGCTGAGGCTAAAAAAACAGAACAAAATATGCCATGACGCTTTGTAATTAATGCTTTGTTGCATGTGACAAAAACGGCACTCTGCACCTCTGTTATGATCCTCCTTCCCATCTTTCTCGGTATCAGTTACCCAAAGAGCTATTCCCATTGGGAGAGGAATTATTAACCCAATGGTACACATGGGAAGTTTAGGGATGAACTGGTGCAATTCACAACACCGCTTGATAACGTATGCACGTTCCACGTGGGGCGGGAGGTGGCAGCAAGTCTTCAGGCACCCCCACAATCCCAGAAAAAGATGAAATGTCATGCATTTGTGACTCCAAATGTACATAATGACATCACATAATTTGAAATATAGCAGGATTATTTTTTTTAGTTTAGTTATGGTTGTTTTAGGTAACACTCCTCCTGCCCATCTACTAAATGGACAGAGACCAGCATGCACCGACACACCTTACAGGGATTGTCTTTACATTCCCCCACATCTATGGAATGATTTCAGGGAGGTGAAGGGAGATACTGGGAATGCTGAAAACTATTTTGGGCAATACGCATATGGCCTCCACTGCCCTGCAGACAGAAGGAATGTCAGAACAAAACTCCAGCTACCTTGTATGCTGCTTAGTTCTGTGTCAGAAAGCTTTAGAAAAAATAACGTAATATTAAAAAATCAAACCTACCAGGCAACAGGCGCCATAGGTCAATGCTGCCTTCACGCAATGCAAGGAGGGCAGCATTATTTATCTATTTCATTTCATTTCTGAATCGCTTCCCATGAGGCATCTCAAAGCCATTGACAATATAAACACATATAGTAAATACATTTAAAAAATGATTATAAATATAAAAATTGGAATGGCACATACATAAAAATCAATCCAAAACACAAGGCAAGGTAACAGCCAGGATAAAGATTTCAGAAGGCTTGTTGAAAGAGGGATGTATCAAGATTCAAGGGTTTTTAGGTAAGCCAGCATGGTCAGTGATTGGAGATGGTGGGAGCTGTAGCCCTTGTATTCCGGAAAGCACATGGGTAAGGGGAAGAAGGAATGCAGATGCACGAACTGCTGGGCCAGGAGAACTGGGAAACTGGGCAATGCAATGTTGGACGCATTGACGCTATGGGCTGAAACTGATTTAATAGCCATCCCTTCTTGTGAAGCCTGTAGTTTTGGTTGCATGAGAGAAGGATAAGAACACATGAAGAACTCTGGCAGATCAGATCAAGGGTCCATCTGGTTAGGACATGAAGGCTATTGCTCTTCTGCCATGTTTGCTCTTGCTCTTGGTATTGACAGACACAGAAGATGCTGGCTGTGGCTCATGAGAGGTGTAATCCAACATCTTGAGGGCACCATGTTTGCTACCCTTGAACACCCGCCTCCTTGTACCACCCTCCCCCAAATCTCCTGTTTATTATTTACTTTGGTAAAGCGTCCTCTGTGGAGTTTCCTTCTCCTGCCAAGCTAATCTGCTGCAGTGCACAGGCAGATTTTAAAGTGTGTGTGTGTGTGTGTGTGTGTGTGTGTGTGTGTGTGAGAGAGAGAGAGAGAGAGAGAGAGAGAGAGAGAGAAAGAGCACGCACGTGCACATGCACACACACACTGAGAGCAAACAAGAGAGAAAATTCTGGCAACGCTTTCCCCATCAACAGTTGCAAAACCGTTTAGCTAAAAATAAGCTGGGTCAGATCACTCAATCTCTCACATGAATGCTTTGGGCAGGAGGCGCCCAATGACGTCATCCAACGATGGATGGATTCCAAAGATGCAAGAAATTAAAATATACAGCAGCTCTCTATGAAGTGTGTTAACAGGCACCATGTAATGTGCCATGGTATCGGTGTGAAAAACAAGGTAGATATATCCAAGTAAATCTGATGGACCATTTTTACACTAAACTTGGCATTGCCTGTCAGAAATAAGAGTGTGAGGAAGAAAATGTAAAATTAATCATTGCTATGACGCTTCTGTTTCGACTGCATTGCCTCTCATGATGGCAGTGCATTAATATGAACTAAGGCTGAAATGTGCTCCTTTGCTAAATAGGTTTTGAACTTATGTTTTTCATGGGGCGGGGGAGGGCGCAGACAAACAGGTAGTTCCACTGAGACGGTCAGAGAAAGCAGTTTGCCCAATATCCCAATATCCAATATGTTATTCTGGATTCACACATAATCATGATTTTGTACAGGTAGCCCGAAAGATTGGGGCAGAGGGGGGGCAGTAACATGGAGAACAAGGAAACCATCCTTCAATTGCAACACGGAGAATTGGATGGTGAAGCTTTGCAAAACATCAGCAACGGGATTTGCATTTGTCTTGTTTTGTTTCTGTAGGTTATATAGGCAGAAAACTCTTTGGCTGCACTGAGTTTGGGCACCCCAGCCCACATTGGTTAGGAGGCTCCGCTGATGCCTCTCATCCAGTCCTCCGCCCATGTCCAAGTCAAAGCACCCTTTACTCCACAGATCACATAGAGGCTCAACACTTTCCTCATCAATAATAAATAATAATAATAAAATTTTATTTATATCCCGCCCTCCCCAGCCGAAGCCGGGCTCAGAGCGGCTAACAACAGTAAAATAATACAGCATTCTAAAATCAATTCATTATAAAATCAGTTCAAATCAAATTAATGGCAACCATTAGGCTAGAGTTCTGTGAGGATTACCAAAGGAGGGGGTCAGGCTGTGCCTTGGCCAAAGGCCTGGTGGAACAGCTCTGTCTTGCAAGCCCTGCGGAAAGATGTCAAGTCCCGCAGGGCCCTAGTCTCTTGTGACAGAATGTTCCACGAGATTGGAGCCACAGCCGAAAAAGCCCTGGCTCTGGTTGAGGCCAGCCTAACCTCCCTGTGGCCCAGGACCTCCAAGATGTTTTTGTTTGAAGACCGTAAGGTCCTCCGTGGGACATACCAGGAGAGACGGTCCCGTAGGTATGAGGGTCCTAGGCCATATAGGGCTTTAAAGGTTAAAACCAGCACCCTAAACCTGATCCTGTACTCCACCGGGAGCCAGTGCAGCTGGTACAGCACCGGGTGAATGTGATCTCACAGCGAGGACCCCGTAAGGAGTCTCACCGCGGCAGTCTGCACCCGCTGGAGTTTCTGGGTCAGTCTCAAGGGCAGCCCCACGTAGAGCGAGTTACAATAATCCAGTCTGGAGGTGACCGTCGCGTGGATCACAGTGGCTAGGTCAGGGCGAGAGAGGTAAGGAGCCAACTGCTTAGCTTGGCGGAGATGAAAAAATGCTGCCTTTGTTATAGCTGCAATCTGCGCCTCTTCATCGACGCAGCAACTCCACCAAATAGCATGACCCTTGGGAAAAGGCTACTGTAAACATGATGCTGATTCAACACGGGAGTGGCAAGAGTGGTTTTACTCTGCCACAAAATCCCGCTCTTGGCCTAAATTCAACGTCACAATTGTTGTGAAGGTAAAACGGAATTCCATGCATGTTACTCCAGAGTTACTATCCAGAGGATAGGCAGGATACAAAAGTGGGAAGCAAAGAGGCATGCAAGCCCAGACAGGGCAGCTGTGGTTTCTGCCATTCCCCCAGCCTCAGCCATTGGCTGCAGGGGTGAGCAAAACAAGAATTCTGCTCTTGCCATAAGGCAATAATAGGGGGTGGATGAAGAGTAGTCAAAGAAAACCCACTGAGAAAGCTCACCACTACTGGCTCCCATCCTGGCTTGAGCCAGTCGTACACATGTTCTACTATGCATGGGGTTCAGATTTTGGAACACCACTAAAAACAACCGAGAAGCAAGATCTGCAGCGGTACATCAAAACATTTCATATGTTGGCAGAGGCAACGCAGCCACCTCATCACAGACCAGGAGCTAAAATGCATAGGCTCTCCCTAGAACTAATTTGTGCTCAGTTGGTCGTGTGAATAAGCTCCAATTCTCCCCATCTTCTTTAGGGACTCTATAAACTGAGGACTGCTATTAAAGAATTGTTAGCTAATCGATAAACCAACCACGTTTAAATAAATTTTCGTTTTAGCAAAGCCTCCATACAGCTGCCTTTCTACAGATCCTGAGGGGTGCAATAGCTTAGACTTTAATAAAGAAAAGCTGCCACTATCATTTGGAAAGGAAATGCCATCTTTGGGACCATCTTGCTGCTAAACAAATATACAGTGGTACCTCAGGTTACAGACGCTTCAGGTTACATACTCTGCTAACCTAGAAATAGTGCTTCAGGTTAAGAATTTTGCTTTAGGATGAGAACAGAAATCTTGCTCCAGCGGCGCGGCAGCAGCAGGAGGCCCCATTAACTAAAGTGCTGCTTCAGGTTAAGAACAGTTTCAGGTTAAGAACGGACCTCCGGAACGAATTAAGTACTTAACGCGAGGTACCACTGTAGCCCTAATTAGCAACTTGGATGGGTGACCACTAAGAACCCAATTCAGGGAAAGATGTATTTTGAATAAGAATAAGAATAAGAATAAGAATAATAGGTACAGGAGGTGAGTCCTTTAAAAAAGGATGTGGGTTATGCCATCTTTAACATTTTATATTTAATCCCTTATTTAAGCAGGAACATACCAGAACCAAAACAGCCTCCCAAAAGCAGAAGGTGAATATCTTTAACTATTGGCCCTAACCCATTAGAATTTGCCTTAGCTGACTAAAATTAGCTTCGAGTAATTACTCAGTTCAAAGTTTTAAGCTCTTTTTTATAAAAAAATGTGTTGCAGATTTAAAATGATTTCAAACAAATAATTACTCTTCTGTTTGAACTTGCAACCCTGCTATAAATACACCACTGCGTTTACTCTGAGTAGTTCTTCCAGGAACAAAAATTCCTCTCCAGCTACTGCATCTCCTGTATCCATTACATGGTGACCTTTCCTTTCCAAACACACCACCTTAGAGAGGGAGAGGAAGGGTGGGGACATTGTGAGTTTCCAAGTTTTAGGGTAACAAAAGATTGACAGCGACACAAAACGCTAACTGGACACAAGCTGAACTATGTCAGACAGTGTCCTAATAAAAGCAAAGATTATACAGCAGGCAGCCATAAATATATAAATTTTTTAAATCCCCCAGTGGGCCAAACATACTAGCTCCGAGCACTGCTTCCAGAATGCAACAATACTGCCTCAGTAAAGGAAAGATAAATAGAAGGCTGTCCTCAACCGCTCAGAGGTGCTAAAGTCAAATCTGTGCTGCGTTCCGTGCTGCAGTTCTTAAAAATATTCAGATTTGTCCTGTTTCTATATGCATTTACTCTGGCTAGGACTCTGGGCTGCTTTTGGGGTATATCTGCCACCAGCAGTTATCAGGCTTTCTGCCTTCAGGGCTTCATTCCACACTGAGCCACCTTGGCAAGGAACCACAGCAGATTTGCTACGGCACTGCCAATGCATTATAGATTATGTCTAAGAACGTGTTCTGGGGAGCCATGCTCAGCTGATGCAGGGCACAGACCAGATCTGTCGACAGAGGCGTAGCTAGGTGGGGGGGTGCCACACCACGGGGGGCGGCACTTACCGCAGGGCCTGCAGGCGCCCTAGCCATGCGTCTCTCTTGGATGGCTTGGGTGCCTGAAGGCTCTGCGCTGCCCAAAACAGCAGCATGGGACTTGGGTCTGCCCGCCTCACCCAGGCTCAGCCTCCCTACAGCTGTAGATGAGGTGGCGGTGAGGCTCCACGCAGCATGCCCTGCCCTGGTTCGCCCCGCCCAGTGGGCAGCTTGCCCCACCCCCATGGGCAGCTCGCCCTGGGCACCCAAGCAGCTAGCTACGCTGTTGCCTGGATGCCTCTTCTGTTAGAATTCCTGCTCCATGATTGCAGTCATGGGATTTTTGTCTTTCACATGACGGTGTATGTTTTGACTCCACACAGTGGGAAGTGATGGAGACAGGATGTTTGTGTTACTGTGTTCCGTGAAGTGGGACTATTGTCCTTTGTTCTTTTTCTGTCTGATGCTAGAGAGAAAGGGAGCCATGTTGCAGTGCTCCGTGTGTGTTTATATGTAAAGTAGATTAGCCAAAATGCTGAGTTGCTGAGGTCTGTTACGCAACTGTGCATACTCTGCGGATCCCTAAGTGTGCCAGTGTTGGTTGGCATCAGTCACTGTGATGTTCGGGCTGAAGAAAGCTTATGAAGCTCCTGAACGATTGTCCAGGAGGGAGGGAACATGCCAATCGTGCATGTGTCTCTGCCAGGGTCCTACTCGAGTGTAGGCTGAACTCCTGACATCTTCTACCTAGTTATCAAGCTGTGCATGCTAGGTAAATACCTTGTGTTCTTCTTTCATCACCTGTTCAATGAGCTCAGATTTCGTTGGTGGCTTAGAGTATTGGCCTGAAAGGAGGCCATGTCCCAATTTAGCCCTGTAGTAGAGGAAGGGGGTAGGGGTGGGGTGGGAGTAGGGAAGGAGAGAGAAAGCACACAAAATGTTTCCCACCAGGCTCAGAGTAGGGAGAAAACAGCAGGAGGGTGAAAGTAAGGCTAAATGTGGCCCATCTGTTAACACACATCCTGAACAGACATCCTTACTATGATCTACCTAAGCTTCTTCCCTCTTGGCCCCCCCATTTCAAAAAGCAGAAAGTCGTACAAAATACTGTAACGTTAGCTATGTGGGAGAAAATACTCTCCATACCACATAGCTATGCTTATTACAAACAACAGGACTACTCTGGTGAAAGTCCAGGTCAAATCAAAGACAGCGATCAGATCAAAGTCAATCAAGAACAATCATTTCTCAAATGTCACAGGTGGTTCCAAAAATAAATTAAATGAAAATTGTAAAGCAGCAAGATAAATACTGAACAAACAAAATCAACAAATGCTTGGCACTATCCACAGAATGGAAACAGCTAAAGTCAGCTTTATAATCAATTACATCCTATAAGATAAAGCTACCGTGAATAATTGCCGCTACAAGTCGTGCCACTAACCAAGTTCAAAAGGAAATCCGTCATTTAATAAGAATGCCAAAAGGCAATTAGTACATTTTCCCCCATGTCCAGAATGGTGTTTGCCTGGGTACCTCATAAAGGTTATTAAAGCAACAAACCATGTGGGAGAAATAGCCATTCAGAGAAATCTGCTGCTTAATATAAAACCTGCCACTTACATTTGTGTGTTGAAATCTTGTGTTGGGTCTAGAGGAGAGTAGTCAAATATTCTCGGAAGGTTTCCGACGTACCTATCCAGAGAGAATTGTGGAGGAAGAGGAGAACATTCAAACAGAGCAGATTGTTTCCCATTGCCATAATTTGCTGAGGAGACGATTTGCTCCCATATAGTCTTCCCTAGGCCTTAAAATCTACTTCAGAGGTCTTGCTCTTGTTGCCATCTCAATATACCCACTGTGACAAGAATGAGAGGCCGGGTCTTTCCTATAACAGTGCTGAGGTCCCCAAGTCAAAATCCATCAGTCAGACACCATCTCCATCTCTATTCTGTCAGAAACTGAAGACACCTGATTCAATGAGCTTTTAACATATAGCAACTCTTAATTCTACTTCTGGTGGATTTTAATTGCTAACATTCTTAGTCTCTCACTGTTGGTTTTTTCTTTGCATTGGGTGGTATCCAATGCTTCCACACTGCTGACAGAAGGCATTCGGCAGCAGAACGCGAGAAGAAGGAAATGTTCACCCGTTCCTCCTTCCCATGCACTTCCTCAAAATCTGCTCTGGAGGACTGGGGGTCCTTCAGGAACAGATTTCGGGGGCAGAGGGGGCTGCAGAGAGGAAGAACAGGAATCACTGGACATTCCTTCCCTTCTGTTTCACCAGCAAAGGGGAAGCAGTGAAAACCACTCATTGTATGTTCTAACGATCTGTCCAATTTGTATATTTATAGTTTTAGTGCTCTGTTTTTATCCTTATTGCTGCAAAGCCACTCTTAAGTACAACAGTAGAAGAGTGGTGTATAAATAAATGAATGCTTATCCTCAAATTTTGGAGGTTGGAATTTTGAGACACCTGCTAGAACTCCACAAGCAATACTGGGAGCAAAGCAGCAGTTGAGGATCCTCTGTCTCCCCATCTCCATTTGGCTGAAGGATGGAGTAGATTAGTTCCTAGGACAGCTATGCAGACCCTGTTGCCAGGCAAGAGTGTGCAGTTGACAGGGGGAAGGGATTCTAATGACTAGCCATCCCCTCTGGCCAGGGGTCTCTCAGGGGATTCACACCACTGTGCTTGAAAGTATTTATATATGCACTCAATAAACAGATGGTTGCTGCAGGGCTTGGAGTAGAGGATGAAGGATCCCTATAAAATCCAGCAAGCTTAGGAGTGCTTTAAAAAAGAGACAGAGATGGAAAAAAACAAAACATGGGTTGGACATGTATCTATTAGACTCACTTCACATCTAACAAAATATGTAAAGTGAGAATGCAATAACTACATTCACCAATGGACAGGCATACTTCCCAGGAAGTCCCAATTAACCACAGCTCCCTTGTTGGGGATAAGCATTGGGGCAGACCTGGAGTCTGCCATTGTGTACTGTAGCGAGCCTTAGTAGCGCAATGAGGAACATAAGAGGTTCTAATCTGGTTGCTGCAAAACTTCCCTAGAATGACTTACGCTCTCTGAAATTCAGGGATGCTGAAAATGGCTTGTAGGACAGTGTTGACATAGCAGCTGTTCCCCAGGTTTTTCATGCCTGTGTATCCTGGACCATACATTGGCTTTAGCTTCATGCCAGACTCTTGGATCACTTCCCATTCAGAGACTCTGGGTTTGATGTCGTTATCTCTTGAGCCATTCTCCGTCTGAATGCAAAAAAAAAGAAGAAGCTTTTAAGAAGCAGCAGTTTACAAAAGTGTATGTTAAGAACTTATAAAGCAGGTGTATTTAAATAGAAAAAAAGAAGAAAACACCTGGTTCTGAGAACTTTCCCAAATGAAACACTCAGAAATAAAATAGCTTGCTTTCTGCTTGCTGAGATACAAATGCAATAATGTCTCCACCTGCTGAATTATATAAGCAACTGCAATCACAACTTACTCCCACTTTTATAGCCGCAACACAGAAAGATCCACTGCTATAGCCATAAAAAGCTCCCTCGTTTTTCTGTGGAGCTTCACATGCAATATGTGGTAAAAAAAAATAAAAATGGAGAGTCCGATTTGCAGAGACCTAAACTTAGGGAGGCGGGTGGTGCTGTGGGTTAAACCACAGAGCCTAGGACTTGCCGATCAGAAGGTCGGCGGTTCAAATCCCCACGACGGGGTGAGCTCCCATTGCTCGGTCCCTGCTCCTGCCAACCTAGCAGTTCGAAAGCACGTCAAAGTGCAAGTAGATAAATAGGTACCACTCTGGCGGGAAGGTAAACGGTGTTTCCGTGCGCTGCTCTGGTTCGCCAGAAGCAACTTAGTCATGCTGGCCACATGACCCGGAAGCTGTACACCGGCTGCCTCAGCCAATAAAGCGAGATGAGCGCCGCAAGCCCAGAGTTGGTCACGACTGGACCTAATGGTCAGGGGTCCCTTTACCTTTTTAAACTTTGCAAAATGTGACTGTACGGTTCAATTCTGGGCAGGAGGGCAAGCGTAGCCTTGGTTTCCAAACACACATATATTGTACATCAGGGTTGGGGAACCTCATGCCAAAAGCAGCATTCCAGGCCTCTGTATCTGATCCTAAGTTTACAATCATTGTTCCAACCACTTGCAAGCAGCCCCCAAAAGATTCCCCAGAAGGTAATGTGGTCCCTGGGCTGAGAAAGGTTCCCCACTCCTTTCTCACTTCCCACTCTACATGCTTAGAGCCTTACCGAACTCAGAAACAGCCTGGTGTCATTTTATTATGTTATCAGATGCCTTTTAGCAGGAGAACATAAAGTGAAAAGCAGATTATATATTTTAAAAGAAAGAAGGATCTCCCGCAAGAATGGAAACTGCTTTTCCAATTGAGGCACTGATTTCCCCCGCTATTTTCCATGACTGCTGAAGATACAGATCCTGAATAAAAGGAAAGCCGCTTACTACATGCATTTGGAGCATATCAATGCCAAAATGTGCTAAGTGTTTGGCTATGTGTGGGTCCAAAACCGCCTCCTCTTCATCAAAGGAATAGACATCTGCAGAGAAAAGAAGAAAAAGCACTGCTCACCGAGTGTTACCCATCAGCGTTATTTCACAACAGCATATTCTTGAAGCTTCACCACCGACATAATACGCCAAGCAATAGTAATTTTGCTGCACGCATGCCAGCTCAACTATTAAGCAAATTCTGGACATTCTGTTCGCTACCAAGTTCTCCACATTATAATGGTTCCATTGGCAACCAAGAGATCCCTATTCTAAGGTGCCCTTCAGACATTGCTGCAGCAGCTTGGGTACGCCACTGTTCTGTGGCTTCATCCCACATTGCCCAGCCTGCAGCAGGGGCAATTTGGGAGGAACAGAACAAGGCAACCGGCTCTGTCCTTGCGGCAGTGAGCTTTCAGGTGTTAAAAAAAGGTCACAGCTAAGAGGCAGAATGAATGCTTTCCGCACAGTAGTTCTCGGGTTCAATCCCTGGAATCTCCAGTTCTTTTAAGGCAGGGGTGCCCAAACTTTTTTCAAAGAGAGCCAGATTTAATAATAATAATAATAAATTTTTATTTATACCCCGCCCTTCCCGGTTCAAAAACCGGGCTCAGGGCAGCTAACAACAAATTTAAAACATTTAATTGTACAAGCAGCATAAAATACAGTATAAAAACATGAATAACAATAAAATGCAGATTTGATGAAGTGAACATTTTTAAGAGTTTTTTAGGGTTGAAGTTGTTAAGCTTTTTTTAGGATTAGACACCAATTAACTACCATAGGGGCTGGATTAGACAGACTTTGGAAATGCCTGCTTTAAGGTATCAGAGGGCAGACTTTCTCTGCCTTGAAATTAGAGAGCTACTGCCAGTCAAGAATAGAAAATGCTGGGCTGCGTGAACCAATGGTTCAGTATAAGCTCAGTTTGGCTCTATCCACTGGCCAGAGCATCCACTGGCCAGAGAACAAAAAGGCCACTCAGAGGTCGTCTCTTGCCTGGAGAAGAAGGAAGGGTTATGAACCCTGCTCCACTAAACCCAGAGGGATCCTCCCCTCCAGAAATTAAGAGAGACAGGGATTGTGGGATCACTTTTCTCCACGAAATCAAATCAAAGCAACTGGCAACTGGCAACTGGCACACAGGTGCTCTCTCTTGTTCCCGATCAGAGTGGCTGCCTACCTGCAAATGAAGAGCCCCTGCCTCCCCACCAGGCTGCAAGTAGCTCCTCTGCCTAAAAAACTGTTAGCTAAAAGCCAGGGCGCAGCGCAGGTCAACCCCTGCCTTTCAAGAGGAACATAACACAGCAAGGGGAGGACTGCCTTGTTCCTTCATCAGCAAGAGAAAGAGCAGCTGCTGAGAACTTTCCTGCCCCACCTGCCAGGAAGAACACTCTGCTCCAAATGCAAACCCTTGTGCAAATTAATTGAAACAAAGCATGTTTTCTATCTTACTCGTAATCCTGTACCCCCAACAAAAACAAAAAGTCAGTTGATCGTTATGGTGTTGGAAGCCTGCAGCCAATAGAAGGAATGATGCTCTGGCCATAGCATATTGAGGTTCTACAAAATAGAGTTATTCCAGAGCTGGAAAAGAGGTGTCCTGATGGCACTGGGATATTGCAGCAGGACCTAGCCCCCAGTCACACATCAAAAGTGGTGAAGAAATTCATGAAGAGCCACAAATACAGGTATTTGATTGGCCAGGGAATTCCCCAGATGTAAATCCCACTGAGAATTTGTGGGCTATATGCAATAGTCGCCTCGGTGCTGTAGACTATACGACTATGGAAAAGCTCATTCAGGCGCTGATTCAAGTGTGGTACAGGGATCCGAAAATCAGCAGTGACTGTTCAAAACTAGTAGACTCCATGTCAAACCGTGTTCAAATGCTGCTTTAAAATAGCAGAGGTCATACCCGTTACTAATGTATGTATATGTGAATTTTGTACATGTATATGTGAATTTTGTACATGTATATGTGAGTTTTGTACAATAAACTACATTGTTTGTTTCAATTAATTTGCACAAGGGTGTGGTTGCCCTGGAGCAGAAGAACCTGGGACTGCACTTCAGCTATGAAATCTGCTGTCAGAAGATGCAGTAGTGATCACCGACACCATACTGCCTCTAATGCTAGAGGTAGTATGTAGTCAGCAGGATTAGTAGCCACTGAGAAGGCAGCTGTGTGGGCTGTTATGTACAAAATAAGAAGGCAGACCCACTCCCCACCCCCCAGGTTCTTGCATAGCCTGCTAGTTGAAAGCAGACAACATTTCCCTTGATGGCACTAGCGGCCCAAGAAGCTAGTAAAAAGGTGCGTTGCAGGAGACGAGATGGCCCTTTGGGTCCCTTCCAACTATATAATTCTATGAAGCCTTGCTTTACCAGCAAGTTTGAGGTATCCAGAATTCTATCCAAGAAGTGTGCAACATAAGCATGCAACAGACATGCCTCCCCACAAATCCTCAATTGCTCTCCTCGTCCCTGTAAGTAACTCCTTGTGTGCTCCCCCAATCTCAGAGCATGGGCTTACTACACATAGTATTATAGGTGTGGATCCGAATTTTCCTTCCATTTAATGCAACAGAGTTCACGGAACGTGCCTTTCCTGCCTCTGCAGCCCCCTCAATGCGCACACACAAACACACCCCACAAAAATCTGGTCCTGGGGTTGCAGGAGCCTTGGGAATGGTGTGGCATATGGTGTCGTGGGCTGCAGGGGGTAAGAGTTGGGAGCAATTGCTCCCAAAACCCCAATTACATGGATGGAGGAGCAACTTAGGATCCAAGCTGTGGCGTCTAAACAGGCTGGCAAAGATGTTTTTCTCCATGAAGCAGATCCATTAAGGACTCCTATGTCTGTTTGTTTATATTTGTTTAACCATCCCCTGCAGGAGGTTGCTGGGCTACTCTATTCCTTGAATCAGGCAGGCATCTCTGGCCTTTGGCAACCTGTCCATGTCTCCTCTTCACTTACAGCACAGTATGGAACCAGTTCATCTGGGTTTTAACTGTAGCGGATTTAATGTTCAGTGTACGTGCGGCAAAACAGAAGGATGAACAAGACTGCGAACCAGGAGATTAAAGCTCTGCACTTGAATCTGAAAGACCTGCATTCAAAGCATACCGTGTGCCTTTGGGGCAAGTCATCTCATAGCTTCCCATCTGCTAAGGAATATATTGCCATCTGCTAATGCTGATATTGCTAATGAGGGTATGTAGTTCAAAGGATTTCCACCAGGGTCATGAGGCAGTCTGAGATAGCCGCCTCGGGCGGTAAAATCCAAGGGGCACCTCCATAGGCACATACCATCGCCACAGAAGTGGATGCAGTGGCTTCCAGGCTCCAGGGAGATCTCACAAGAGCCCTGCAAAATCACGCAAGAGCTCCAGGAGGTTGTGCAGAACCTCGTGCACCCTTCCCGAGACGCTGGTAAGAGAGACAGAGTGCCTTGTTTCCCCAAGGTATTGAGAAGGTTGTATGAGGCCTTTGTGTGATCTTGTGGGGCTGTTGCAAGAGCTCACCAGAAGCCAGAACCAGAATTTCTGCAGAGGCTATAGGCATGCGATCCTGGTAAATGAGGCTTTGGCAGGGGCAGAAAGGTGGGGAACTTCCCATTTTGCCTCAGGCAGTGAAACGGGATAGGCCTTCCCTAATTTCCACCTTCTTTATTTGAAAAACAATAATACAAATGACCTCTTTCTCCATAGGAACAGTGAAAGGAGAAACTTAAAATTAGCTGGAATTTCAGATCTGCTACTGCTGCTAAATTACCTTGTAATCCTAATTTGGGTTCAAAAGCAGCATACTAATGTTTTATCAGAGCTAAAACCGTGAGCATCATCCAGCCATATAATTTCTGGCCTCCTAAATCCTGCAAGGCAAAAACAGGAGCAGTGTTCCTCTCGATAAGCGTTGTGATGCCCAGCTGGTAAAGTCCAGCATTCTCTCCACTAGCGTCTGCCAAGGGTGACCCTGCTGGCATTTATGGATAGGCATGGTGCCCTTCTGCTGCCATTGCATGCCAAAGGAGTCTCTGTTTCCAGGTACATGTTATTGTTCCCCTCTGTAAACAAGAGCTCAGTGTTCTCGTGCTTTTCCAGTTAAGTCACAATGCTGGTCGACACCTGGAAAAAGTTTGTGTGCTTTATCAGAGTCACCTTCATCAGAGCCACCTAAATGAACCTTGGGTTACATCTGTAACAGTATTTGAAGCATTTCACTTCAGCTGGAAAAAACATCCATATGGATGTCTGACTGGAGATAAAACAAAACAGGGACAAAACAATAACATTTGAAACCTTAAGTCCATGCAAATAAGCCACTCCAGAGGCCAGCTGAGGTCAACTTTTGAAGTGCTGATATTCATCTAAGGTCACTTGGATACAAATCTTTGTTTGCCTTTCATTGCCATTTTACTCCAACTTTTACATTACATCCATGCCAACTGAGGATTACATTTCATATTTCTGATGAAGAAGGCTCCAAGCCACAAAAGCTTACGACATAACATAATTTGTCAGTCTTTTAAAGTCTTACAAGATTCTTTGTTGTTTTCGCAGAAACAGATTACAAAGCAACCCCTCTGGATATCTTTAAAATTTCTTCTTTTTTCATTTGAGTTTGCACTCAAGGAACCCTGGAAATGCAAACTACACTAATTCCTTTTAGCAGTTATAAGAATGGGATGCAACTGAAGCTTACAGTTCTCCACTGAAATCAAAAGATCAGTACACTTTAAAACCTGAATTTTTCACAATACTGACTGCAAACTTGTTTCATATTTCCTTTTGTATTTAGGACCCTCTGGTATCTAACTGATCACAAATTAGACAAAAAGAAAATATTAAGGATTAGTAAACTGCTCTTGTTTACTGTAAGCAGGAATAAAACACGTTGTCTGGCCTATTGTGTTTTTCGGGGGGGACGACGAAAGGAGCGAAGAGTACACAGAGAACTATTGTCCCTCCTCCCCTCCCTGCTAAAAGAATTGTTTGCAAGGATGAATGAGAAAGATTTTAAAGGTAACCTAGGATACTTAAAAGACTACGTGCATGTTTAATTCTCTGCTATGGCTCTGTTCTATTATTAACCAACTGAAATCTGTACTGTTACGCAAATTCCCACTGCAATATGTCGGTCCTCTTAATAGCCTGCTTTGGCCAAAATATTATGCAGGTGACTCAAGACCAGAGCCTTTGATCCCCACCCCACCCCTGGCCAGATGGAAGCCCTCCAGAGCAGTATGTCAATCGTGCATCATGATGGGCACATAAGCCTCATTAGCATCCCTTCCTCTAATAAATTTTGTCCCTATGCCCTCAGTGCACAACCATTAACAATGACAAGAGGCCACTCTGCCCTTTTCAGTCGCAGCCAGAAGTTCCAATGATTTATGTGCTTCCTGACGCTGCATTAATTCTACGGTAAGAGTTTGGGGGTGGAAGGAGAGCTGTAGAGAGCCGCCAGCTGAGCCACAGGGCCCCTGGGAGCCGGGTAACAAAAACGTGGCTATGTTGAAGGGGTCTGCAAATCCCTTTGTTCTAAACGTGCAGCCTCCTCCTCGGATGTGGCACACTCAAGCCAAGCACCAAATCTGTTTTGCCGTGGCAATGCTGAAAGGATGTGTTTCCCCGGTTTGGCTAGCTTTGCATCAAAACTGTGTGCATGGACAGGAATGAGAATCCTTTGAGTTGCACAACATGGCCTGCCTTTGTTGAGAACAGCCAGATGTGTTCTCCCTTACTGGCCTTTCTGTGTGGTTCCAGTATTGTTCGAAGGACGTATCCCGTCAACTACAGAACTCAACGTTCAAAATTCTGCTCGGTCATTAGGCCCTAGACAAGCCAGCCAGCCAGCTCTCCTGCGGCCCAGAGTTGCAATGCAGAAAAGACATCATCCAGGACACTTGTGCATATCCCAGTTCTGTGAGAGTGCAGGATGTTGTACCTTGTCCCGAATTCAGTTTCTGTAAAACCTCTGCTTACTTCCTCATTTTCCTGCCCTCTTCTATACCACATGTCTGTGATAAAACCAAGAGACAGTGATGATGTGGGCTACCTGATAAAAGGTACTTATTTTCCTACTGACTAACCTGCACCATCGGGAGTAATTGTTCCAAGCTTCACTGCTAAGGGATAACCCATCTCCTTATAGTGTTCCAGAGCATGTCCATTTCCTCCACTGCCGTAAAAGAACCACTTTCCGCACAGTACTGACCCATCTGTGAGATTCAGCCAAAGATTCTCCCGCAGGTCACATTTTGAGCATTTCCAGCCACTGAAAAGCAAGAAACATTCGGGGGTTAGATTGGCAGTACTGGGGAAACCTGGGTCTACCTCCAAAACCAGCAAGTGGCCAAGATTCCCAGACTGGATTAACCATAGGGTTCTCCTTGTCAACTGCCAATGGGACAACAACAATCTGCTGCCATCTGAGTAGCCCCACGTCACCAATCCTCAAAAACTGCTGTTCTTCATTAACGATAACTGTACATAGGAAGAAATTCAGTATTGCTCTGTTACAAATGTTTTCTTAACATAAGCGTTTCTGCTTGCCTGAGGAAACAAGCCTCTCCTTCTTATGTTCACTCCTGAGCTGCCCAAAGCCAATTGGGGGACATGCAGGGGAGCTCTGTTGTGCAAGGAGAAGTCTACTAGGAGGATCTGTTAGTTGAATCTGGTCCATGGTGCTATCAATATATATATATATATATATATATATACTGTATGTATACAGACCAACATAAGAAAAGAAACGCAACAGACATTAAGCTCTTGGAAAACTTACAACCAACATTTCGGTAGTGGGGGAACAAAAAGATGGAAAGGAAGGAACAGGGAGGACTGGGTAAAAAGGGATTAATGTGAGCAAATTGTCCTCCTCTACTGAGTATTCAATACAGAACACTCAATACAAACGTGTCAAATAAAGCAGAAAGACCTGCCAACGGTTTAAAACATTGTATATTAAATGTTATAAAACCATATAACGTACTGCAGAGCACTTTAGAATCATTTAATTAACTTTAATGTCCTTTGCGTGAGGCAGATAATGGATTAATGCAGTGTTAATGGGTATGAAGAAAACGTAAATAGCTGCCAACAGGGAACTTAATGGCTGCTGCAGACAGAAAATGAGAGGAGTGACAGATAAGATGGTTTCTATAAAAGTGTTGCGCTACATATCTATGTGCTATGGGGTGGGGGTAGGGCCCTCCTGGAAGGTCTTACCCGAGAGTTCCTTAGCTATTTCTCTCTATATCCCAAGTGTGGTTTTCTGATCCTGTTCTTTAACTAGGCACCTATCCTAACCACCCATCCCCAAAGGCATCCAATTGGTTAACATGGGATGCAGAAGCTGGATTAGGTGGGTTCTGGGATCTGTTCCACAGGCAGTTCTTAGGTAACAAAGTGCAACAGTCTCACCTGGGAGGAATCCTGACTCCATTGTCCATCTGTACAAGTGTGTTGGCATGTTTGGAGACTTGCAGCTCCTCTTCCCACGAATCTGGGTCTTGCTTCCTATAAGGAGATTTCGAACTGAGGACTGCGTCGCAAGCTATCGTAACCTAGAGGCGGTGGGGGGGAAGTCAAACTGAACATAAAAGGCAACATAAAAAACCAAAACCAAAAGACAAAACTATCCCTACGTTATAGTGTTTGCAACCAAGTACACAAGTAATGATAAGCAATTAGCTTTCATATAGCACTTTTGAATGATCAAACTCCTTCCGTAGTCCTCACAAGAGGCCTGCAAGGCAGGTCAAAAGTATCCCTATATTGCAGAGGAGGGGTGTTAAGACTAAAAGACAACATATTGCCCAAGGCCATCAAGTGAGTTCAAGGCTGAGTCAAGATCTTAGTAAATGACTCAGCCATGCAACACATACACTCTCGGCCATTATATTCCACTGCTCTACCAAAATATAAGGATCTGCCTTACAAACCAACTTAAGCTCAGCGTGGCCTATTCTAGCAGTTCTCCAAGGTCCCACAAATAGGTCTTTCCCAGGCTTGGCACCCATGATCCTTTAAGAGTGAAAACAGATTAAATCAGTTTAAATCCCATTCTTTGTCTGTTACCCACACTTACCAAAGCTGGCAACTCTTCTATGTTGGGTAAAGGAATTTCAAAGTGGTCTGGAAATATGACAAGTTTAGCTTCATCCTCAAATTCATAATCATCGTTGTTTAAATCACCATTGGATTCTAGGTCTGCAAGAGGGAGAGAAAGAGAGAGAAAACTCAGAGCATTAAAATGATAACAGGTAAAGATACTAGACCTACACCAGGCTTTGCTTGGGAAATTCTCAGGCTGCTCAAGTTAACACTTTTAAATCAATTAGCAGTACAACAAAAGTTCAAATGTTAATTCAATAAACCATGTACTCTCAGACAATGTTTTCTCTCTCTTTAATTAAACCTCTTGAGGAAAATGTCAGTTTTTAAAAAAATGACAGCTTGTTTATTCATTACATTCCAACCTTTCTTCCTAGGAGGTCAAGGCTATGTACATGGTTCTCTACCACCCACATGTACCCAAACTGTGAAATTTTATTTATTCATTTCATGAATATATATGGGGATGTATATCTACAACACTTAATACCAAGGCAGCCTCTTGGCTTGCTGGAGGAGAGGACTGGAGTGAGAGAGAAACACCTGGAAGACTTCAGCATATTTTCTGAGCTTATGTTCATTTCTCCCACTCCTCAGGTATGTACTTATGGGAGCCATCGCCCAGAGATGCAAACCAAGTTTCATCCATCAGCCAAGCAATCCCTGTTGGCCTTAAACAGTGAAGACTTCTGGTTCCAGTTGTGGGTGGCTGTTTTAGTATAGCTGGTGCAATGGTTTGTGAACTGGACATTTTAAACTATTGATTTTTTACTGTATTGTTTATATTGGCTGTTTTCGACTGTATGCCCTTTAGGGTAGAATTCTTATTCTGACTGTGTACAGCCCCCTGTACACTGATGTAATATATAAACAAATATATAAACAAATGTTTATATATTTTATATAAACAAATGTTAACAAATAAGCTGGTTACAACAATACAATACAGTGGTACCTTGGGTTACATACGCTTCAGGTTACATACGCTTCAGGTTACATACGCTTCAGGTTACACACTCCGCTAACCCAGAAATAGTGCTTCAGGTTAAGAACAGAAATAGGGCTCCGGCAGCGCGGCAGCAGCAGGAGGCCCCATTAGCCAAAGTGGTGCTTCAGGTTAAGAACAGTTTCAGGGTAAGAACGGACCTCCGGAACGAATTAAGTACTTAACCTGAGGTACCACTGTATCCCTATCTATAAATACTGAGACTGATGAACTACAATACCAAACAAAATTTAGAATCCACAAAAAGAAAAAAACATGGCACCACATTGCAAAATATCTTAAGAACCAGGGATCCCTCCCCTCTTGCCAAGGCCTGACTCACAACATGCAGCGCTCAGCCACACCCACACAATCACATCATATCCAGAATCCCTCTTAAATACTACTAATTTCCCTACGGCAAAAGCACAAATCAGACAATACTCACAAGCTCATCCAATGTCACTCTTCCTGCCAATACACACCAAACACTCCAATATATCTTGTCAATCCCCAGACTACAATCATCCATCGCTCCATTCACTCTGCTAATAAATGTGCTGCAAAAACAGTACATTCAGTTTGGGTTTCCCCAATACCAGTTCAATACGAACCAGGCAGACGCTCAAGGTCAGTTCTCTCCTTTGCCCACTCTGCCAACCACCCCTTTCCTATACCCCACCCCCCAGCTCTCCTACATACAGTGCTACCTTGTGTTACGTACCGTCCCCCTTACGAATGCTGCGGGTTATGCGCTCCGCTAACCCGGAAGTAGAAGCCCCTTGTTGTGACCTTTGTCCCGGGATGCAAGTGGAAGTCGCGCTCCGGCGGCACGGCAGCAGCAGGAGGCGCCATTAGTGAAAGCGCGCCTCATGTTACGAGCAGTTTCGGGTTACAAAGGGACCTCCAGAACGGATTACTGTAAGTACGTAACACAAGGTACCACTGTATAGGCACCTTTGGAAACATCCGTTGCGTGGCAAGGCCCTGAACCCTCCCCCTTAGTTGGAATAAAGACACTTGACTCAAGTATTTTAGGTTAATGGGCTAAAAAAGGCCACAACTTTATTGGTTACAGAATGTGAGTGGTATTGGGTTAGGCATTGGAACCAAACCGACTATATCTGACTCCTGACCGCCTACAGGAAGTCTCAGAAGGGTTAACCACCAGTAGGGGGAGCCCTGTTGATGCACATCAACTAGGAACTCCCCCCCCCAGGGTCACCAATACAGCCAGGGGTCGTGCCATGGCTGTACCAGGAATCAGTCTTATGCTTCTTCCAAGATCGCAAAGGCTGCAACAACTCCAACCAGATGCAACCAGAGTAATAACCGTGGCTCTCTCCCAGTTCACACTCATTGACTGAATTTCACCTGAGGCTCACAGAACGGTTCACAATGCAAAAACACAAAGTACGTAACACAGTAACAATCAAAAACCAATTTTAAAAACCCACAGTTTAAAAGACCATAGTTTGTTTAGTTCGCCAACAGCCCATTCCCATACAGAGGTGGAAAATCAGAGAAGAAGTAACCAGCTCCCATGTATGAAAGGATGCTCAATCAGTTATTGGGGAATGAATTACAGAATCTTCTCCCAATTGCTAAAACTAATCATATTTATTTTAGCCAAAAGGTAATGATGAAACACTATACCTAATAGAACAAATATCTCCCACAATTCAACACTTACATGCAAAGCGGAAAGTATACACAAGTGTAATGGCTACTTTTTTTAAAAAAATGTTTTTATTAATGATTTACTTGGGTTTCAAAAGTACATACATTGTCTCAGTTTTCAGATCATGAAGTCCTTTTTACAGATCGGTTATATTTGATGTGAGAGTTTAATGCTGTATACAGTATAAGATTGGGGGAAAAGGGGGAGAGAAGACGGGTAGTAAACTTTCATTCTTTTAGAGAGGAGATCCTGAGCTTCAGTGTCTAAACTCAAAGGCACAGCCTGCCTCCTAATCCTAGGTGTTGAGTCAGGCTGTGATTTGGGGCTGTGGGAGAGACAAAAGACAAAGAAATAACGAAAACTGTACTTGCTCAGAGGTACTCTCAGTCTCACTCCTGCCATTGCGAAGAGAGTTTCTGGGGCTAAGCCCTGGTGAGACTAAACAGAAAGCAATTCTGCCATGGAGGAAATAATAGTATTATGTTGTGTAATATTAGGGGGGGAGAGGGTTCCTTCACAACGCAAACTGAGTTATCTAGTCTGACCCTCTAATTCACACACAATTCCAAATAAGCTGCCAAAAATTCAGACACATGAATTACATGCACACCCCTTCATGAACAATCTCAGATTTAAAGTATGCAATGAGCTGTATATGGCCAATTTATCCAGAGGAACAAAAAAACTTTCAGACTGCAGACCCTTTTCTTTATCTTCCACACATTGTTTGACCTAAAAGAAGGGAAAGGATGAGCTTGCTCTCTGCGGCAAGCTCTTTTCAGTCACAATGGCCAATATTTTTATTTCTTCACTTCATTAACTACTGAGGACAATTCACTATTGGCATAACGCACCCTTGTAAAATGTGGGTCCATTCCAAATGGAAGCATGGGAATTCCACCTACTTAAAGTCAGAATACTTTCCAATAACTGGATGTTAATTACTTTGCTGGCAAGAATGACCCCCATCAGGAAGTGAAGCAGTGACCTGGAGCTGAAAGGTTCTATTATTTCAGTCAACTAACTAATCCCTTGAATTACCCAGCAATTATGGGAAATTAGGATCTTGGTCTTCAAGTCTCAAGCAGCATTTCAGTTATTTTATAAATGCTACAGCGTTGTCCCTTCTGACAATTTACGAGTCAAAAAGTCCAATGGAAACAAGTGCTGCATATGGAACTCTTGGGTTCCAGTGTTTCTTCAATGCAAGCAACTATTTCCTGGACCGGATGAGTTTGAGCAATGAGCTTAATGATCTCTTTCACAGGGTTCTTATAATAATAATAATAATAATAATAATAATTTATTACGGCCGTAGGCCCATACAGATAAAAACAAGACATAAATAACAGCCTGTGCACATGGGAAAAAACAGCCGCACAGGGTTCTTTTAGAAGGGAACATGAAACTTCTACAATATAGTTTTAATCATGCTAAATGTGCTAGGGAAATAAGACGTTCATTGAGGAAAAGCTGTATCAAGTTTCAGGAAGCAGGCTACGTATTTGGAATTGACAAAAGTGCTTTTAAAATTCTACAATATTTCAGTACTAGAAAAATTCCTGGTGCCCAGACATGCAGGTGACTAGTAATCTGAAACCTATATTTTAGTATTGGTAGGACAGATCGTGAAGCTGAGGCTCCAATACTTTGGCCGCCTCATGAGAAGAGAAGACTCCCTGGAAAAGACCCTGATGTTGGGAAAGATGGAGGGCACAAGGAGAAGGGGACGACAGAGGACGAGGTGGTTGGACAGTGTTCGCGAAGCTACCAGCATGAGTCTGACCAAACTGCGGGAGGCAGTGGAAGACAGGAGTGCCTGGCGTGCTCTGGTCCATGGGGTCACGAAGAGTCGGACACAACTAAACGACTAAACAACAACAACAACCTAACAACACCATGCTCGCTCCTGCAAACAAGGATGCTGGTAATTCAAAAACGCCTTAGCCAGAACCTGATCTGGAACCTGATCTCCAAGATCTTTCCCAAACTGTGTGTAGTGAGGAAAAAGACACTGCACATTTTCACATAAATCACTTCACATAAGCTCAGCATGAATGTTATGATGGGCCTCTTTGATTTTCATATATTTTGCAAGATAGCTGATATTTATGAAGGATGATACAAGGGTCCCTTTTACACATCAGAGATGGCTGCGGGATCCATCTCTTTTTCCTTTAGTATAAGGTAGAACTTCTCAACCTTTTAGCACAGAGGTGAGGAACCTTCTTCAGCCTGAGGGCCGCATTTCCTGCTGGGCAATCTGCTGAGGGCCACATGCCAGTGGTGGGCGGAGTCAGAGGTGGGCGGAGCAACAAATGTAAACATTACCTTTGTACAGTAGGCTAGTTTTGATGGACTCGCAGAGAGTCCAAGGGCCAGACAGTGTGGCCACATTTGAGGGTCATGGCCTGAGATTTCCTGCCCCTGTTACTGATACTCAGGTACTCAAGTTTTCCTTGCTCAAGTATAGTGGTACCTCGGGTTACATACGCTTCAGGTGACATACACTTCAGGTTACAGACTCCGCTAACCCAGAAATAGTACCTCAGGTTAAGAACTTTGCTTCAGGATGAGAACAGAAATCGTGCTCTGGTGGTGCAGCGGCAGCAGGAGGCCCCATTAGCTAAAGTGGTGCTTCAGGTTAAGAACAGTTTCAGGGTAAGAACGGACCTCCGGAACGAATTAAGTACTTAACCCGAGGTACCACTGCAAGGGCGTAATATAATTGACCTTAATCTAATTAATGTTTACAGGATTCTGCTCTCTGGAAATTCCCTGCTGAGCCCTGCAATATTTTCTAGTTTATGAAGGGATAGATAGAAGAGACCTGAAATAAATTTAAATTCACCATCCCTTAAAATGTGTGTGGAGTTGGTAGAGCATGAGACTCTTAATCTCAAGGTCGTGGGTTCGAGCCCCATGTTGGGCAAAAGATTTCTGCATTGCAAGAGGTTGGACTAGATAACCCACATGGTCTCTTCCAACTCTACAATTCTATGAAATGGGTATCTTTCTTTCAAAATGCTGGAACAGAAAACTGAACAATTCACTGGATGTTGCTGTCCTTCTATGACACAGAAGCCATTTTGATAAAGAACTCTCTTCCAAAACTGATGAGCGCTTCAAGGTGTTTGGGTAGCACTGAGAGGGTCTCCGTTATTTCCCTTCAGCGAAGACTCCAGCTGCTGCCAGATAAACTTATTAAAAGCTTCGAAAAAGCTAATGCAGAGAGTACGTTGCAATTCCCTTCTACGGGACTGGAAGCTCAGTGAATCAGAACCACAGTTTTAAAACAGTGCCGTCATCAGAAGAGTCACAACCAAAGGTCACCAAAACCGCACTTTAAAAAGAATAGGCAAGAGCAGGCAAAGCAAAATAAGCGATGCTGTAAGCCTGCGGGGAAGGCGGGTGAGCACAGAGGGAGAGAAGACGGGCCGAGAAGCTGTTATTTTTGGGCAAGCAGTCAGTAGGGTAAATTTCCTTCAGATGCCATCTGGCCAAGTTCAACGAGCACGTCACTCTAGTGACGGACGATGACAAACGCCTGGCCACCGGCTGACTGAAAGCAGCAGCTGAAGCCCAGCTGCAGGCAGACAAGGGAGCCGTAAGCCAACACGCTGGAAGGGGAAAGAAAATGGGGGCTGCTTGACTAGACATGCCCAGATCAGATTTAGATGTTACCAACTGAATGTGCTATTAATAGCAGTATAAATCGGATCCCGAGCTGGGCTCCCAATGACGATGCCCACTGCACTCAAGGAAGGGAGATAAGAAGAGGATCGCGCACAAGTGCGACTTCCCTTTTGCCCCTGTATTTCATCCCATCCCAGAGAGTATGAGCTGCTCCAGCCTCGACTGAATGAGAAAGCTGGGAGGCAGGGAGAACCCCATTCAGTGTTCATTTGCTCATTATTACACAAATCTAAGTGAGAGCTGGACCATAAAGACGGCTGATCGCCAAAGAATTGATGCTTTTGAATTATGGTGCTGGAGGAGACTCTTGAGAGTCACATGGGCTGTAAGAAGATCAAACCGATCCATTCTGAAGGAAATCAGCCCTGAGTGCTCACTGGAAGGACAGATCCTGAAGCTGAGACTCCAATATTCTGGCCACCTCATGAGAAGAGAAGACTCCCTGGAAAAGACCCTGATGTTGGGAAAGATGGAGGGCATAAGGAGAAGGGGACGACAGAGGACGAGATGGTTGGACAGTGTTCTCGAAGCTACCAGCATGAGTTTGACCAAACTGCGGGAGGCAGTGGAAGACAGGAGTGCCTGGCGTGTTCTGGTCCATGGGGTCACAAAGAGTCAGACACGACTAAATGACTAAACAACAACAACAAGCAACAACAATGCACCATCAAACCTGATGCGCATCTCCATTTTCAAAACCTTGAAACCAAAAAAGTATTTGCTGGTGCCATCCAATCTAATGCCTATGCTAATGTTCGCAACGGAATTTGGCCAAATAAGATGCGCATTACATTCGAGCAAATATGGTATGTCTTGCCTCTCCTCCAATGAACTCAAAGGTTCTCTTCCCGCCCAACGTTCATGTCCCCATAATAATGCTGTGAAGTAGGTTAGCCCCCAGAGAGAGTCACTGGCCCACTGCCACATGCTGAGCCTTGGGACTCACTGGGGATTTGAACCTCGGCCTTCCCAGTCCAACACTCTGACCACTACATTTGACTGCCTCTCAAATATCCACAATTTAACTAAAAGCAGCAGTAACAAATAGTCCAGTTAGAAACATACAAACATCCAACAGCCTTGGTATACCAACTGTATGCCTCTATATACCAACATGTGGGAAGGGTCATTTGATAAAGGAGGGTCTTCATCTGCCAGAGAAAACTGATAAGAGACCACCATGAAGGTGGATGCCAAATCAAAGACAATTCTGGTCTGCCATACAGGATTATTGAAAGAATTATTATTGGGTAGCCAACATGGTGTCATCCAGATGTTCTTGGATATTTTTTTTAATTTAGCAAAATTCATATACCACTTAATTCACCAAAAGATTCAAAGTGGTTTACACAAAGCAACGCCTTGATTTATTTTATTTAACAAAACTTATATACAGTACTGCTTGATTGTAGTAGAACCTCTAAGCAGTTTACAAGGAAAATACAATATTCATTAAAGGATACTGATAAAACTAAACGTTAAATATATGTCAAACTCATGTTCCCCAATCACTGGACATACTGACTGAGGCTGGTGGAAGTTCAACAGCATCAGGGCAGGGGGAGGCCCCACAATGGGTACCACTGTAAATTATAGTTAACACCACTGTTAATCAGCAAAATTGGGTGTTTGAGAAAATGGAATCTGCCTGCTTGGTCAGAATTCAGGGGAAGAAAGTTCTATTTGCAGCAAATCAAGCTTATAAAAACTGACCATGAATAATATATGCACTCTGGGAACCATTACCTGCCTGCTTGGAAAAACAAGCTTGCAGGGCAATTTAGGGTTTATGATGCATCTTACCAGAATCTGCTATGCTGTTAACTTTGGAATGGGTCACTTTAGCCAGGGCCCTGAAGCCTAATTTTATGGCGAGACGCTCATGCAACAGCATGCACCTTTAAAGACTCAAAATGAAATAGAAACGGGGGGGTGGGGGTATCCCAAGCCAAATGAAATAGTGTCCCAACCAACAACTGACCACTGCATCTTTTCAAAAGTGCAGCAATTCAGATAGGTTTTACTTCATTCACGCTGAAAGCAACCCTATAAGTGAGACACGGCATCACTCTTTCCATTTCACAGATGGGGGGAATGAGGCTTTGCAGTGAATCTATGGCCAAGTTAAGGCTTGGCTGAGATTAACTGACACTACAATGTCAGCCATAGGAAATGCCTGCACATATTAGCTCCCAGCCCCTGGATAGACAGCTAGGATCACGCACCATGATGCAGAGGTTTCAATTTTTAGACCAGCACTGCAAATGCCTGAGGAACACCGTATGTGGTGGTGTACCATGACTGAAGCCCTCTCCACAAACACAGGCAGTAGGCAAGAAATGGGAGCCACTGCATATGGAATATTTGAAAAAGAAACCTCACCTTCTTTTCCGCTCTGTCTTTGCGATTGCTTGCTTGCAAATTTGCATAAGGCGATCAATTAAGGATACTTCTAATACAGAAGGGATTGGAGGGAATTTAATGTCCTTAATAGGCTTCTACCTCAAAGAGCATTACAAGCAAGAATGCAACAAATGTTCAAACTGGATTGGCAGGCTACATTTGCGGGTACCTTTTGATGCGGGATTAAGTAAGGCTGAATCTAATCGCATACTGCTTTCTGTGCTAGTCAGTTCCTTTCTGTTTTACTCACACGTTGTGATTAGTTTTATTTTCTCTTCCTCGTTGCTATTTTTGCAACGTTGGGAACTTTTCCAAGCCTGCAAAACAGTCATAAGCAATGCTTTTTTTCTGGGAGGACGCAGGGGTATTCATACCCCTAAACATTATTTTTAGGGGGGGGGAGCACTGGTCATAGGCATCAACCCCAGCTAAGTGAAATAACTAGTCCCCAACTGTCTTATTTGTTCATGTTGGAAATGGTTCAGGCAAATTGAAGATGCGCATATATAAGACAACACTTTTTCAATTCCAGGTTAGACTCACATTTGAAATAGGGATAGAAAGTGTTGGCGCTTGTGCACCTGAGCAAACCATCAACCAGCTGTAGGAAAAATCTTCAAGATAATAATACAGCTCACTAGGTGGGGATTCAGAAGTTCAAAATTGCTACTGCCTCTCTACCACAGCTCCCCCATTTAATAAAAAGCAGGTCACTTAAACCATTACATATTTTTATTCAATCAAATTTTATTACACAGCCCCTGTCAGACTGGATAACTCAATTGTTCATCAGTACCTTCAACATTCGTGAATTATGGAAGTGAGAGCTGGACCATATAGAAGGCTGATCGCTGAAGAATTGATGCTTTTGAATTATGGTGGTGGAGGAGACTCTTGAGAGTCCCATGGACTGCAAGAAGATCAAACCGATCCATTCTCAAGGAAATCAGCCCTGAGTGCTCACTGGAAGGACAGATCGTGAAGCTGAGGCTCCAAGACTTTGGCCACCTCATGAGAAGAGAAGACTCCCTGGAAAAGACCCTGATGCTGGGAAAGGTTGAGGGCACAAGAAGAAGGGGACGACAGAGGACGAGATGGTTGAACAGTGCTCTCGAAGCTACAAACATGAGTCTGACCAAACTGCGGGAGGCAGTGGAAGACAGGAGTGCCTGGCATGCTCTGGTCCATGCGGTCACGAAGAGTCGGACACGACTAAACGACTAAACAACAACAACCTTCAACATCTTATCCATTCACTTAACCAGAAACTTTCTTGCAATAACCTGCGGTCAACTGGGGCTCTGTTCACACATCATTTTGATACGTCATCAGGGATACATAAAATTATAAACAAGGCAAGACCACTTTCCTAGGTGTCATCTTTGCCAACTGCAATGGTAGACTACCAGTCTGCCTGCCCTTCTTAGATTAATCTACTGCTTTTTCCAAGTTGGGGGGGATTTCAAGCACCCCTGAAAACCACTGCATTTTTGACACAAGTAAAGCATCCTCTCTCCCCCCCCCCATGCTATGCTACTTATTCAGGGGTACTTTAAATCACCAATATTCAGCACTCTTCCCAGTTCCAGAGAGTAGCATCTCTATTTACGGGCTTAAGTGCTAAATGAGTTGGGTAGTAGGTTGAATGTTCACACCCCCACAAAAGCCACCCTATATAACAGAGGCTATCCCATTTCTGTCAATTAGACATCACTTAGCTGTCACTCTGTGGCAGCAGAAAAACACAGGTAGACGCAAACGTTTCTCTAAGCTAAAAATGTCGGTTGCACAATTATGATGCTCATGTTGGTGCAGCGGGAATCTCATCTGTACTCACAATTGGGCTAGTTGATGAACTGGAAAAGAATAGATTTCCCCAAAAAATAAATTGTGGTGGTGTGGGAGAAGAAGAAGAAGAAGAGTTTGGATTTGATATCCCGCCTTTCACTCCCCTTCAGGAGTCTCAAAGCAGCTAACCATCTCCTTTCCCTTCCTCCCCCACAACAAACACTCTGTGAGGTGAGTGGGGCTGAGAGACTTCAGAGAAGTGTGACTGGCCCAAGGTCACCCAGCAGCTGCATGTGGAGGAGCGGAGACGCGAACCCGGTTCCCAAGATTACGTGACTACCGCTCTTAACCACTACACCACGCTGGCAGAGAATTCATTTTATAAAGTTTCAGCTGCATTAATTTGGCTCGCAGGGTTTCTTTTCCCTGATCCTCAATCCTGATTTTCCAAAAAAAAAAAACCTACTCTGAATGCTGGAAAAAAAATATGAAAGGAGGTGGCATCAAAAAGGCAGGACAGAGGATGATTTAGGCTACTGTTCAGTTGTGCTAAGAGTCACATTCCACATATCTAAGTTTCTCAGATGAGGTACTAAGCTATTGTTCAGATTAAGCCAGGGGAAAAGGGTTTTTTTGGGTGGGGGGTTAACCCCTCCAATATGGACAACACAGAAATCTGAACAGCTACTTGTGCCTCTGTTATTTTTCTCTGTGGAACTTGCACACACACACAAAAAAAACTGGAAAGGAGAAGACGTCCAACTGGTCAGAAACAATAAAGCAGAGCCAGTAGTACATTGTGGTCCTAATGAGTCACCTTCTCTACACTAAAACAGAGTCGCCGTCATCAACAACAACAAAAGAAGTCAAGCCATTTGGAATCATCTATTTAAAGAAAATGCAAATAAGAGAAGGAGGAGAGAGCTTCATGAACAACAGTTGGGAGAAGGACATATTCGTTGAGTTAAAGCCAGTTTACCCATAGGACTAATAAGGAATTTGTCCCTAGTGGTAACCCTAAAGGCTGTGCCAAACTGACAGCTTGCCAGGCATTCCCAGAAGCTGCTAGCCTGTCCTTGACCATGCCGCTGACCGCCAGGCCGCATTCAGCCTCAGTCAGCCATTTTGACAGCTCTAGGGAAGCAGTAAGCTGAGCTGCAGTTGCTAGGCAACCACAGGCCCCCTTCTCAACCAAAACCTGAATCCTAATAACAGGGGAGGCTTCATTCTGGGAGCAAGGGGCATTGGAAGGGGGGGAGGGGGCTTATTTGAACCCATTTATATTTATTCATTATATTTGTAAATCATGATTAAATAAATTAAAATCTGGCTGTTTCATTCTAGTTCATTTGAAAGCCGCCTTAAGACATTTTCTTGTAAGACCGAAAAAGCAGTAAATAAATGAAAACACAGAGCAAGGTCTTATTCAAAATGCACACAAACCAAAAAAAAGGTATCGCTGAGCTCCCCCTAATACTTATCACAATACACATCGCAGAGCTAGTTTTGAATCAACCGCTGGGGATCAGTTTCACAACACCAAAATGCAAATATGACTTACTAGTTCAGGAAAGGGGATAACATTGGCCAAACAGAAGCAGCAGCAGCAGCAGCAAAACCATGCACACTGAACTATTTTTCTAACCCATGCTTAAAACTACTTAGCTGGTGCCACCTTTTCCTGAATCTTTGCGCCTGGAGGAGACACAATTTGGCTAAAATTGAGGTGGAGTCAAAGGATAAAGGTAAAGGGACCCCTGACCATTAGGTCTAGTCGTGACCGACTCTGGGGTTGCGGCGCTCATCTCGCTTTACATGCCGAGGGAGCCGGCGTACAGCTTCCAGGTCAAGTGGCCAGCATGACTAAGCCGCTTCTGGCGAACCAGAGCAGCGCACGGAAACGCCGTTTACCTTCCCACCTATTTATCTACTTGCACTTTGACGTGCTTTCAAACTGCTAAAGGATAGGGCTCGTCTTTTTCATTAACAGCCCCCCTACCTTCCTCCCGGCACTATGTGTGTTTACTGAACCGGTCGAGTTGTATTTTAAAGGACCTAAGACCTGTAAACCAAACAAAAATGACTCAATTTCAAATTAAAGTCTACAGCTGGCTCCCAGTCTTTTGGCTTCTAAAGTACCTTTGCCTAAACACAGTCTCAAGGTGAGTGGGACCCCCAACTAACTTGTTTCCTCACGGTTCCCCCTCATCCCTTCAGATCTGTACTTCTTAAAAGGCTGAGGAGCTCAGACCGAAAAAAAAGAGTCGCAAGTCTCACATACATATCACATGAGCTGCTATGCGAACACATTCACATATATACAAATGTGTACACTTACACGTGCGCAAGTCCAATTGATTTTAGCCAAACGAATGCACACACAAATCAGATTCAGACTTCCACCCCAAGCAAGAAGCAATAGATTTCTAACAAAAAAAGCAAGCCTTTTTACTGAAAACCAATTGAACTCGCTAACTCAGTCCATCTTATGAGAGAACAAAAGCCTTGTGGCCAAACAAGCAAGGGCAACTCTGGAGTCAGGAATTCAATTTCAAACTTCTTCCCTGACCTTGGGGCCTAACACTGTCTCCACCGTTCAATTTCTTTTCAAGGTTTAATTTATTAACACATGCAAAGGGTTATTAGGACACAGATGGGTGCAGAAAGAAAGCAGGAGAAACAGCATTGAAAAGATATTTTTTTTCAAAGCAGTCTCCATGGGTTGCAAGCTTATAACGAGAACTTTTTTTAAAAAAAAAGTGATTTTAAAAATGCCCCCCTTATCATCAGAATAATGTATGTTTGATCTGTGAAAAAGAACAATACACAAAAGCCACTGGAACTCAAAACAAAAACAAAAAACCCACCTCAAACATGCACCTGTGTTAGTTACTCAGAACAAGGTTTGAAAACGGCTCTTTACAATACCTAAAAATAGCTTGGTGTTTCTCCTTTTTGGTAAAGCTCCACCAGATGCCCCTGTTACTTTCTGGAAAGAAAGAGAGAGAGAAAAAGGAGATGGAGAGAAAAAGAAGAAGAAAGGTTAAAAGTCTAACTCACGTCACTACAAGAAAAATAAAATACTCAGAAAAGTAAAATAGGAAACTGGAATCAAATCAGTCTAGTGCAAAATCTGCATGGCAGTGAATCCTTTCCCACTTTGCAATGTTGTTGTGAAGGGAAATCTAAAGTGTTAATCATCATCAATCATAGCTGACAGTGCAGCCAAGGGTATTTATTTTCTATCAGGCTTTAACAGATAGTTAAGAAGAGGGGATTTCAGCAGCTGCAATTCCTCTTATCCTTGCCTGTCAAGCAACACCTGCTAACACTCTTTCTCCTATGCACCTGTTTAAAGGGTACCTGAGCTCTTTTCTCCTTTGCCTTCAAGCACCCTAGTCGACAATTAGCACCTTGAGTTGTTGATCAAAGCTCTGCCTCCAAGATTCATTCTGAGGAAGTCACACAGCACATTAACCTGGGTTAACAGCAATTTCCTTTCACCATGAAATCATGGTAACTGTACTTCTAGGGCAGCCTTTCTCAACCTGTGCGTCCCCAGATGTTGCTGAACTACAACTCCCATCACCCCTAGCTAGCAAGGCCAGAGCTCAGGGCTGATGGGAGTTGTAGTCCAACAACATCTGGGGACCCACAGGTTGAGAACCGCTGTTCTAGGGGAACTAAGGGTCTGCATGCCCTCCCTATTCAATTAATAATAATAATAATAATAATAATACCACCCTGCCCACCGGACTGGGTTGCCGCAGCCACTCTGAGTGGCTTCCAACATATATAAAAATACAATGAAACATTAAACATTAAGAAACCTCCCTATACAAGGCTGTCTTCAAATGTCTTCTAAAAAGATTGCATAGTTACTTATCTCATTGACTTGGAGGTCACATAACGCCATACCCTCCAACATTTCTCCAATTAAAACAGGGATGTCTTAAGGAAAATCGGGTCATTCCAGGGTCAAACCAGAAACCAGGAGGGCTTCTGCAAATCCAGGACTGTCCCTGGAAAGGGAGGGTCTGGGTCTGTAACACAGAACACTGAACACTCACCAAATTGAAGTCAATGGGATGATTTGGAGGAAGCCAAGACAGACACACTGGTAGGAAACAGATATATATTTGTAGTATTGGTATGGCCAACGTCACATCCCTAGATGCATAAGACATGGGTGCCAAACCCTCGATCTATTGGGTTGAGTATTGCATCTCATTCTCTGTTACCCAAAATGCAAGCATTTTCATTTAAATCCTTCCAAAAGCTCAAAAGGATTGGAGTCTAAACCAATTTTTCGATGGACATTATGGCAACTGGCAGGTTTTCGAAAGAAGGCCATCCCAAAAATAAATAGAAAGCAAATAAAAAACCCTCGACCCCAAAACCCAAAGTCTATCATGCTTAGCAATGAAGATGTTCCAAGTTCTTATAACAACCAAATCTTACGTACTGCTTCTTCAACCATTCCATTGCTACATCTGTCAGCTATCACACTACTCATTGTTAAAAAAAGGGGGGGGCGAAAGAGAGGAGGGAAAATTCTGCCAAAGTGCAAAAACATATCCAGAAAAATGGAGGCTCTGTACTGAGGTTATGTTGCTATCCTGAGACAGCTACTTGAAGCAGTGAATTCTTGCACACACCTTCAGTGTGTAATTCCCAGATCATTAGGTTTTTGTGTGTGTTTTTAATGGAACACTATTCCTAGAGATAGGGATGCGGGTGACGCTGTGGATTAAACCACAGAGCCTAGGATTTGCCAATCAGAAGGTCGGCGGTTCGAATCCCCGCGACAGGGTGAGCTCCCGTTGCTCGGTCCCTGCTCCTGCCAACCTAGCAGTTCAAAAGCACGTCAAAGTGCAAGTAGATAAATAGGTACTGCTCTGGCGGGAAGGTACCGTATTTTTCGCTCTATAGGACGCACCGGACCATAGGAGGAGGATAGCAGGAAAAAAATTTTTTTCATGTTCTCCCCCTCTAAAACAAGGCCCGTTCAAGGTGCATTCACCCAAAGCCTCCGGCGCGCAGCGGGAGTTACCGCTGCACTCTGGAGGCTTCAGGTGGCTACCTTGGAAGCCTGGAGAGCGAGAGGGGTCGGTGTGCACTGACCCCTCTCGCTCTCCAGGCTTCAGTGAAGCGCTGCTTTCCCCCACCGCCAGCCCCAAAGAGCAGGTCGGGGAACAGCGCAAAGGCTCAAAGATCGCCAGCCTCAAAGATCCCTGAAGCCTTTGGAGCGCAGTGGGACCTCGCGCTGCGCTCCAAAGGCTTTGGGTTCCTTTCGCTGACCCAAAGACTTCGGAGCGCAGCGCGAGTTCCTGCTGCACTCCAAAGGCTTGAGGCTTTGGGCACAGCCTTTGTAGCCTCTGCAGGGCAGCGGGGTGAAGGCACCCCGCTGCCCTGCGGAGGCTTTGCACAGCCATCCACAAGCTAGAACAGCGAGACGGAGCGCTGCGCAGCGCTCCGTCTCCCTGTTCTGGCTTTGGGCTTAGCCGTGCAGCCTGCATTCGCTCTGTAGGACGCACACACATTTCCCCTTAATTTTTGGAGGGGAAAAAGTGAGTCCTATAGAGCAAAAAATATGGTAAATGGCGTTTCCGTGCACTGCTCTGGTTCGCCAGAAGCGGCTTAGTCATGCTGGCCACATGACCAGCTGTACGCTGGCTCCCTCGGCCAGTAAAGCGAGATGAGCACCGCAACCCCAGAGTTCTCCACGACTGGACCTAATGGTCAGGGGTCCCTTTACCCTTTACCTTATTCCTAGAGATAACATCCTTGCTATTTATCCCAGGATAAAAGGGGTAGGGCCCTCATCTATCGCTGACTCTCCTTCAACTTTCAGTTTTCCTCTTGAACATGTAAAACAAATGAGAGCTGCTTGACACGTTGCAAGCAAACATAAATTCATGTGTTTGGTTAAATGCATGTGGACTTAAGATGAACACAGTTAGGTGCTTCTCCATTTCATGTGAATAAACTGAGGCTTTTTGGGTGCAAGTTTGGGACGCGGGTGGCGCTGTGGGTAAAACCTCAGCACTTAGGACTTGCCGATCGCATGGTCGGCGGTTCGAATCCCCGCGGCGGGGTGCGCTCCCGTCGCTCGGTCCCAGCGCCTGCCAACCTAGCAGTTCGAAAGCACCCCCGGGTGCAAGTAGATAAATAGGGACCGCTTACCAGCGGGAAGGTAAACCGCGTTTCCGTGTGTAGCACTGGCTTGCCAGATGCAGCATGTCACGCTGGCCACGTGACCCGGAAGTGTCTGCGGACAGTGCTGGCTCCCGGCCTCTAGAGTGAGATGAGCGCACAACCCTAGAGTCTGTCAAGACTGGCCCGTACAGGCAGGGCTACCTTTACCTTTTGGGTGCAAAGCGGGTGCTCTAACATTGATCCCCAAGCCACAGACAGCCCTTCTCACTTCAAGTCCACACACTTTCACCCTGAACACATGAGCAGGGGCTTCTGCGCCAATCACATTTTTCCCTCTCCCAGTGGCGTAGCGTGAGGGGTGCAGGGGGGGCCGGCCGCACCGGGCGCAACATCTGGGGGGGGCCACTCGCACTCGCAGCTCTCTGCCCCCTGCTAAAATCCACGGGTTAGGGGGCGCAAATTACTTGCCTTGCCCCGGGTGCTGACAACCCACGCTACGCCACTGCCCTCTCCCATAGTCGAAGTGACTATGGATGCATAGTCTAGGATGCATGTAAACAAACAAGTTGGAAACTTGCTCAAAAGTCTCTATCAGTCTCCACTCCCAGGCAATTGTTTTCTGCCCCTTCGCTTAAAGGTGGTTCCTCTTCAAAGATTGCAGAACAGATCTAGGGGTGCATCATTTTCTGTAAAGTGTGAGACAGCTCTCAAAGACTGATGCAGGTTCAGTTGGTGTTATCACCAAAGGATAACTGAACACATAAGCCGGTGTTCTTCATACAAAAGGCGATATGCTGGGTCCAGAGAATAAGGCAAAGAGCGCAGGGCAAAAGGCCGCAGAGATCAATATCTGGAAGTCCAGGCGTATGCAACATCTCAAGTTAAAAAAATTCATAGTAATGAAAACTGAAATCCCAGCAACAGTTTAGCGAGGCAGAGAGATGGATAGCCTCATTCTCCTAAGAAAGAATTGTAGAGTTGGAATGGGACCACAAGGGTCATCTAGTCCAACCCCCTTTCAATGCATAAATCTCCAACGTGGAACTCGAACCCACAACCCTAAGATTAAGTGTCTCTTGTTCTACCGACTGAGCCATCCCGCAGAGCAAAGTTGACAGCCGATTCAGGTATTTTTAAAGTCAATTCAAGCGGGTGATGGTCTAATCACAAAACAGTCTGCAAATTTAAAAAATACACCTGTTATTCCACGCAAGTATCTTCATTTCAAGGCCTGTTTGGACAGACTGCAACCATGGCTCGTGAAACCAAGAGTAAGCATATTTGAAGAGGGGGGGTTTAGAGACACAACTTGGATACCTCCAATAAATCCATATATTATCGTATTTATTGTGAGGGGTTAGTGGGGAGGTTCAGAGGTGGAACCGCCCTGGTACAGAGTGCAAACAGCTGTGTTTACGTGGTCAACTGGGCAGCAGAAGAATACACGGGCAATCATAACAGGGTAACCAACTTTGACCTATCATTGCTGGGACAGCGGCTATGTTAGCCTCCATTACCAGGGAGGGCTGAAGAGGTTACATGTCTTGTTGACATGTAAACAGTCTTTGAAGCCAAACTTACTGGTACATGTCTTCAGTGCAAACCTTCAACCTGCTGGAAAGATTTCACTGGGAGGTCAGTGCCAAACACTAAAGCAGCACCGTAAATATTTATCCACGAGACCAGTTGTTGCCCAACCCTCATTATGCGCTCTACAGCGTTACTACGATTTCCCTCCCAAACTACTTCCCCGCCTCCCCATGCATACCAGAACAAGCCTTTTAAAAATTAGGATTGGCAGCACCCATAGCACTGCTCCATGTTAAAAAATAAATAAAAATACAGTGCTATAGCTGCTGCCCTGAGAGTGCACTGTTTCTGGAAGAAGCAGGGCAGCAAACTGTTTCTCTAGAGGAGACCAAGCACAGTGCATGAAGATATATTCTCTTCCTCCTGCCGTTAAAGTGATACTTGGTCTTTTCAACTAAAAGTCACCAGTTCTTAAAAAAAGAACCTGGAAGTGGACTCAAAACAGTGTTGCTGTAACAACAGAAGCAATTTTTATGATTGGTATGCAGCAGTCGTAAGGGGTAAGGATGTGCAGGGGCAATTAAAACTCAGCAACGGGAAACAGATGAGAGGACAAGTAGAAGACTTCATGGCAACCCGAAAAGGTTCTCAACGGCGCTTTGCAAGGGCGCTTTGCCCCATCAGCTGAACTACTAAAGATAAATATGCCACAGTGAACTTAGCATAGCCTTCCCCGTAACCACCCCACGTAGTCCTTTACATTATCAGGGGCATTCAACCTCACAACTTACGCAAGCGGGGATGGGGAACCTGTAGCCCTCCGTATGTTATTGGAATACGACTCCCAGCAACCAGCTTTAGATACCAGCATCACCACCAGGGCCGGATTTAGGTTTGATGAGGCCCTAAGCTACGGAAGGTAATGGGGCCCTTTATATACAGTGGTATCTCAGGTTAAGTACTTAATTCGTTCCGGAGGTCCGTTCTTAACCTGAAACTGTTCTTAACCTGAAGCACCACTTTAGCTAATGGGGCCTCCTGCTACTGCCACGCCACTGGAGCCTGATTTCTGTTCTTATCCTGAAGCAAAGTTCTTAACCTGAAGCACTATTTCTGGGCTAGCAGAGTCTGTAACCTGAAGCGTATGTAACCTGAAGCGTATGTAACCCCAGGTACCACTGTATCCAGCTGTCCTTTGTCAACAACAAATTGTCACTGTTTTTTGCGTTGAATACTTGCTACAGTGGTACCTCGGGTTACAGACACTTCAGGTTACGTGTTTTCGGGTTGCGCACCGTGCCAAACCCGGAAGTACTGGAACAGGTTACTTCCGGGTTTCAGCGCTCGCACATGCGCAGAGAAAATAAATTGTGCTTTGCGCATGCGCAGAAGCGCCGAATCGCAACCAGTGCGTGCGCAGACGCGGCGCTGCGGGTTGCGAACGCTGTGGGTTTCAAATGATTGCAACCCAAGGTTCCACTGTATATGGTAATTTATGGACCTAATAGGTATCCAAAACCATTTGCACATAACAAAATACATATGTTATCAAAGTAATTGTTGAACTTCTCTTATATTTTGGAAATGTACATCAAGTTTTTTGTCCTTTAAATTTTTGGGAGGGCCCCAAGAGAGTGGGGCCCTAAGCTATAGTTTGTTTAGCTTATACATAAATCCGGCACTGCCACTGAGAGGGTAGGGACTACAGCCCTCGTGTTCTGCTTGTGGGACTTCCTGCAAGGATCTGGTTGGGAGAAACAGAATGTTGCACTAAGACAGATTTCTTTTCTGACCCAGGAGGGTTCTCAACAACCAACGCCCATTGGGCCATTATGCAAAAGCCGCCAAAAGCTTCTCAGCAAACCAATTGCGTACGCGCATTGCTTACACAAGGTACTGTCTACAGCTGGTAGTCTCCAAATATGCCTGCCTGAACTACAAAGCACAAGCCCTAATACCAATCTTCAATTATTATTTTCAGGCTAGCTGTTTTAATTCTCAAATAGAAGGAAATAACTTTCAACGGAGCCTTCAGATGTGTTGGCCCCAACAGCACCTACCTCTTTCATGTGCCGCTTCAAATGCATGTACACACACTGACCCGTCTTCCGGTAGTGCCTTTCCACATGTTCTCTTCCGAATCCCAGGAAGGTGTTCATGCACACGTAGAGGCCTCCTTCGGAATCCTGAAGAGAAAAAGAGAGAGAGTGAGTGGTTACATCATGAAAGAAACCTGATTGCATCCTTCGGCATGAAGGTAGGAGCCCCTACTGGATTAGACCAAAGGCCTGCCTAGTCCAAAGAAGTGTTCTCACAGTGGCCCACCAGAGGCCTATCGGAAACATGCACGTACGACCAGAGCATAACAGCACTCTCCCCTTCTGTACCAGCTCCACCTGGTACGCAGGCTAAGACCCTACCTGCCCGTGGACTGTCTCGCCAGAGTGGTGCATGCTCTGGTTATCTCCTGCTTGGACTACTGCAACGCGCTCTATGTGGGGCTACCTTTGAAGGTGACCCGGAAACTGCAATTAATCCAGAATGCGGCAGCTAGACTGGTGACTGGGAGCGGCCGCCGGGACCACATAACACCAGTCCTGAGAGATCTGCATTGGCTCCCAGTACGTTTCCGAGCACAATTCAAAGTGTTGGTGCTGACCTTTAAAGCCCTAAACCACCTCGGTCCTGTATACCTGAAGGAGCGTCTCCACCCCCATCGTTCAGCCCGGACACTGAGATCCAGCACCGAGGGCCTTCTGGCGGTTCCCTCATTGCGAGAAGTGAGGTTACAGGGAACCAGGCAGAGGGCCTTCTTAGTAGTGGCACCCGCCCTGTGGAACACCCTCCCTTCAGATGTGAAGGAAATAAGCAGCTATCCTATCTTCAAAAGACATCTGAAGGCAGCCCCGTTCAGGGAAGTTTTTAATATTTAATGCTGTACTGTTTTTAACACTTGATTGGGAGCCGCCCAGAGTGGCTGGGGAAACTCAGCCAGGTGGGCAGGGTATAAATAATATATTATTATTATTATTATTATTATTATTATCATTATTATCATTATTATCATCATTCTGCAGTTTCCAGCAAGCGGCTTTGGAGGAAGAACAGAGTCGTCATGGCTCGTGGTCATTGGTAGCCTCTTGTGGGATTGAGTTCCATAGATTAACCATGTGTCGCATGAATAAGTATTTTCCTTTGCCTTTCCTAATTCTCCTAATATTCAGCTTCATTGGAGCTTCCTCGAGTTCTAGTGTTAAGAATGAGGTATCTAACTGTTGGAGATGCAATAGGGATAATGCTTCTCTAAAACGTATGGGTTTTTTACATTGTCCTATATTGAAAGATTTTTGGCAGAAGGTAACTGAAACTATCAACAGAACTTTACGGAACAACCTTACATTTACAGAGCAAGATATCCTCTTGAATTATATACCCAGCACATGGAACCTTACGAAAGGACAATACGACTGGACAATACGAGTCACCTTCAAAGGTAGCCCCACACAGAGCCCATTGCAGTAGTCCATACGAGGATCCTCACTATGATATTCCAATAAATCAGTGCGGGTAAGAACGTCCCTAAATGATCTAGTCAGCCTTTTGCCTAAAATTGGTAAATTTTCACAACCTGGATTGTGGGAGATGATATGCCAATGCTGTTTAGTAACTCTTGCAATAGAGGAGGATAAACAATTATACTCTATAGAACTGAAAATCCTGTTCTGTTCATTCTTGGGTTTCGATACCAACAAACCCTGTCTGGAAATTATTTTAGCCCTATCAAGGGCTGTTTGAATTATAGTCTGTGAATAGCCTCCATCTCTTAATGAAGAGGAAAGAGATGCAACATTTAAAAAAATTTAAATTTAAAAAAATTCGGATTCAGGAGAAGAATTTCTTTTCAATCTAATAAATTGACTGAACAGGAACCTTATATCCAAAGGGTTTGAATACTGAATTCCATCTGGGATGCTATGTATGAGTTAATATGTATACTGTTGTTTGGTTGTAACAGAAAAGTGATGCTGCACCTTTAACCATGTAATCATGTGATGATTAATTCTATACACCTGTACTGTATTTAACTGCTTGTTATGAATCTGAACACTAGCTGTGCCTGTGAATACCTTCTTTATCCTGAGCAAACCGTTTTGTATGATTGGGTAAGGTATAGTATGAGACTGATATTTTCTAATTTTTATGGTTTACCACGCATTGTAACTCGAGTCCTGTTTTGTATCATGCAGCTTTTCGGACTGATGAAGCGTGTAGCGAAACCTGTAATATATCCGGAGAACAGGTCTCCTTTTGCCCGCTTGTGTTATTCTCACCAGGGTGGTGGCTTTGATTTGCCTTCCCGTGACTGATCCATGTACACGGCTTTGTGTTTCCAACTCAAGACCCATTGAAGAACATCTCACCCAGTTCAATCTTTGAAAAACAGCTTTGAAAAACTTTTTCATATTCTCCTGTGTGCTACCCTTGCCGTTGTGGTGGCAAGGGGTTGCCATTCCATGATTGGACTGACGTTACTTGTTGAACGGTTCATTTATCCAGTCTGTATAACGTTTACTGTACATGTAACTTGTTAAGATAGAGTTGTACATTTATCCACTCCATGTTTACAGTATCTCCAGGCTTTGTCTTGCACATGGCACCTAAAATATGGGCTTACATGCGGTGTTAGAAATTACCCAGGTGCCTGGTGCCTTTTGCGACCGGCGCGAGTTCAAGTGCGACCATGTGGAGATCTCTGGATGCCTAGTTAGCGACTGACATCTCCACCTAGCTGGCCCCTCCAGCTTTCTTAAGGTCACCTTGGAATCAGGCAAGGTTCTATCTCAAAGGATGTCCCCAAGCGCCTAACTTTACTACTGGCTATTCACTTGCTGGTGTTAAAAAATTAAGCTGTTTCCTGTCCACCTAAAGGGACTAGCGTTGTCGTTGAAGCAAAACCTACACAGAACACCAACACACAGTGCCAGCCTCTGCCCCAAGGGATCTGACAGTCACTGTGTAGTGCATGTCATGCACAGTGAATATTAAAATCACAGCACCCCTGCCTCTCCATCCACACCTGCCATCCATCATAAGGGCATACATTTTCCTTATGTATAAATATAGCCCCAATACACAGCCTAGCAAAATGGACTGGACTACGACACATTTTTGTCCCATTTAAGAGAATGGAAACGGGTAAGAGGAAGTTGCCTTAGCAAAGTGGTAGCCTGAGCATTTTGCAAGGCAGGAACTTCCTCCAGCTGGTCTACCTTAAGTATGCAAATCTTGACATTGTTTTGGAATTTTCTTTGGCCTTTCCTAATCAGTGTGAGTCTCTGCTCAGAGAGCTGCTGGGCCGACACTTGAGATCTGAAGTGTGTGGGTTATAAAAAGAACCTGCTTTCCACTGAGAGATGATAAGCACCAGGCAGCTGAGTCACTTTTGAATCCCATATAGATTCTCGATCAAAATGTCACAAAACAAAATAGAAAAAAGAGGGCGATCAAACACCTAAAAAAGTTGGATGAGTCTCATACTGGCACCTAATTTTCTTATCCCAAAAAACAAACAAACCCACTGTGTGCAAACCATTAAATTATAATGTACAAAATCTGGAGACTGACAACATGCGCAAGTGGGCACAGACAGTCCGAAATGAACTCAGGGAGATACCAGCGAAGTGACAATTTTGAACCAGTAAAGTAGGGAAATAATGTGTCTATTTTGGGGAACATTCAAAATTCACATGGAATTATGGGTATCCACATGTGTTCATTCAGGTGTGTGAGAGTGTGTATAATTTCCTTGCCCAATCAGAGCCTAAGTCAGCATGGAGTGCCCTTGGGCAGTTGCTGAGAAGCCAGCAAACCAGCAAATATGTTTAGTGAGGCTGCCTTGGGGCCAACACTCTGCCAGGGGCATTGTAGGAAGTTAAAATGCTCAGATCACCAGCAGCAGCATGCCTGCTGGAGCCCACAAGCACAGATAGAGCATTGGGGGTGGGGGGGATTGGCTATGGAGCCTGTCCAGTTCCCAACTTTGCTGCACTCTAGAGTGACTGATCATCAGGATCCAGGCTCAATTCTTAATAGCTGATGTCACAAATTGCAAGGAATGGGCCTAAATCCACACTAGTGATGTCCCTGAATGAACCCTTTTCCCTATTCCCATTAAGTGAATTGTGAAATTTCGCTTCTAAGGAGGAGGAAGTAACACACCAAGCTGCAAAGGAAGAATGGACAAAACCTGCCTTCTATCCCCAATGCTTGGGAGACCACAGTTCCTCCATTTTCATTTCACGTGCCCTTTCCTCCAATATTCACAAACCAACAACCAGGGCCGTCTTACCCATAGGCGCTAGGGGTGTGGGGCACCCGGGAGCTGAGCTCTCAGCGGCGCCGGGCCAAGAGTCTGGGGCCCGAGAGCTGAGTCCGGGGAAGAGCCCAACCGTCGGTCAGAGCGCCGTAGCAGGTTCTTCTGCTGCAAGCAGCTCTGTGCTGCGAGTTCGGGGCGACCGAGCCAGTGAGGCACTGAGGCGGCCAGCCGACTCCACCCTCCTGCGCACCTGGGACTGGGCAATCTGGGGGGGGGAGGACCAGGTGGATCTTTGCACCCCGGCGCTGCATATGCTTAAGACAGCCCTGCCACCAACGCAGTTTAGGAATAGTAGAGCAGGAATAAGCATGCATTGCAAGATAGGAAAGTAACTGTCTATTTTTAAACCGTCTGTATTAGAGCGTATTCAGATGTATCAGAGACAACAAAAACTACAACAATCGTAGCTGACGTTACATTACACAGAGAGGCATTAAAAATGAGCTGCTTTTCTCCTCCTGTAGTCTGAAGTGGTGCATTCCTGGAGGACTGGACCACAAACTTTTTCCATATGAAAAGTGCTTGTAAGCTGTGGTTGAGGCAATAGCCATTTTACCTTAAGAGACTTTGCATATACGCTGTTCAGTGCCTGTTGGAGCCACTGAAATCTTGTGACAGGTGTTGCCCAACTTAGATGCCAACAGAACACTTTCAGATTATGCTGGGCCTGCTGTTGTCTGCTGCTGCAATGCAGACAGGCCGTGGGACACAGCAAGCTCAAGACCTGTAAGGATGTGCTGAATAAGGACAATCAAACCCCCACAGAAAGTGCTGGGCAAATATCTGCGGACAGGTAAATTAGAACCCTGAACTTGTGATCACTCAGTGCGGACACCCTTTAACCAGAATTCTGTACAGTGGTACCTCGGGTTAAGTACTTAATTCGTTCCGGAAGTCTGTACCTAACCTGAAACTGTTCTTAACCTGAAGCACCACTTTAGCTAATGGAACCTCCCGCTGCCGCCACGCCACCGCCGCGCAATTTCTGTTCTCAGCCTGAAGCAAAGTTCTTAACCTGAAGCACTATTTCTGGGTTAGCGGAGTGTGTAACCTGAAGCGTATGTAACCTGAAGCATATGTAACCCAAGATACCACTGTACATGCAATCCAGAACAATAACAAAGGGTAAAAAAGGTATTTCACCCAACTCCAAAGTATTTATGTAGCTTCTAATACATAATCTGCTGCCAAATTTCTAGGCATTTTAATTTTTATTTAAAAGCAGCTAACAACATGTTGTTCCAAATTGGACTGAAGAAGGGGGTGCAGCTGGTTCAACAAATTCCCAGAGCTATATCACCCCTGCAAACTGCTGTTTACCACACTAAGACAGGCACGCACACACACACACACACACACAAGCAAATTAGGAACCAGGGGAGTGATTAAACATAATCACAGATTAATTAAAAGGAACATAAGCACTGTGTGCCTATCTGTGTGTTTATTAATTAGAATTATATTGGGCCTGTGAATTGTGCCATTCTCCATAAAAGTGTGCAAGTAAGCACTGTACAGAAGGCTCTGCCAAGTTACAGAAGGCCGGCCAGAAGGCTAGCAAGAGACCCCAGAGGATGAAAAAGTATCTGTGTCTAATCAATTATTTCAAAATCCCTGAGGGAGGAAGAACACGAGGTTCATATGAAACCAGCCAGCAACGTGCCCTCTGTTCAGCTGTGACAGACTAGCTGTAAATCAGTATCGCAAAGTAAAATAAGAACGCCAAACTTGGAGACCCAAGAACTTTGGAAAACTTTTTCCCGGAGAAGTAAACCTACTCAATATCCACTTCGTGGTCTTTAGTTTCAGCTGCACTGGAAAAGCAAGTCTGGTTCAAGCTAATTTTAAAAGGAGAATTTACACCTGCAGCCCTCACTATCCCAAGCCACTTGTACTTTGCAATGCGCTGAAACGGGGGGGGGGGGGGGCCTTCAGGAAATCCCAGTTGGCAGTTGCACAGTTGCTGCATCCCCCGCCCCACTCCCAAAATACAAACACGTCTATGTTGCTAAATCCAGCAGCTCCTAAATGTAGACATACAAACACTGCGCTCCAGGCAGCATGAAAGCAGCTTTATCACTGGGAAACGGGGGCGAATTTCTATCTTCCAAGGAGAAGGGCTACCTGGAACTCTTTCATACATTGCAACATTTCCAACACAGAAAGCAATCGTGCATGTGTGCATCCTAAAACATAACACAGCAAAACATACACAAGTTCAGTCATCACATGAAACAACCCAATTATGGATTTGTATGCTATTTCCTGCACAGAAACTGCCTTCCATCTAAACCTTTGCTGTTTGCACTGACTGGCACCAAGCCTTCAGACATGGTTCTTTCCTATCCAGCTCTGGAGGTGCCAGGAACCTTCTGCCCACCAAGCAAGTGTTACAATGAGCCATTACAAGTGTGTGAAGTAGACAAGAGGCAATCCACCCTATTGCTGTGATCTGTTTTAACTATTTTTAATTCTGACTTTTAAAACTGCTACAACTTCCCTGGGACCTACCGGTGAAAAGCAGGCAATGAATGTAACAACAATAATAATACAGAGTTGAACCCCAGCACCTGGTTTTCAGTATCCGGCTGCCACTGAAGATGGAGGTTCTATTTTGTTGTCAAACCTAAAATATTTTTCCAGTTTTGGGGAGAATATTAAGAGAGAGCTCCCTAAGGGTGAATTAAAGGGGTAGGCTTGCAGGTAAGGAGCACAGTGGATTGGGGGTGAAGGGGGGGTATTATGCAGTCAAGGAGGAGAGCCCAGACTGGCAGCAAAAGAGTGGTGCATTCTGGGTTATGTAGCCACAGGCAGGAATTATTTAAGTTGCCATAGGTGGGGGAGACATTGCAACCGGTACCAATTATGGAATGTATGGGGGGGGGACACTATTCAACTAGCCTAGGCACCGGAAATTGGGGGTGCGGCTGGGGAAACAGGTGGAATTGGGAAGTGAGAGACCGGCAACCTGAATATAACAGAGGACACTCTACGAATCCAGGTAGATGCTGAGAGACAGAGTTTGCAAACTCCCAAGTTTCAAGGTGGGAACTATGAAAAACGGGAGGTTTGTTAAGGGGCAATGGGGACCATGAGGGGTTGAGGGACAGTACAAAGGCATAAGCACAGGGCTTGGAGGGAGTAACCCATTGACCCAGATACTGAAGGGGTGTCAGGCTGAAGTAGCCGCTGCTAAATCCGCCTCTGGACCCACACGGGAAAGACCAAGATAGTAACAGTGGAGCGTTAGACATTGGGGCAACAGGCCTAGGAGCATCATGAGAAGATACAAAGGAACCAAAGAGAAAAAGCTTGAGGGTCGACAGCAACGAGAGACCCAAACTTGGGGAACTAATTGTCAAGGGGGGAAACCTATGGCCCTATGGGGTGGGGCGGAAGGCAGCATACAGCTCCTTGGGAATACAGGCCCTACAAAATAGAAGACCTGACCCGCTAACAGAAGGATGTGAGGAATGGGGGAAGACCAGAGGGATATTGAGGGGGGGCAGGCACCCTACTAAGCAGAACCGGGGGTGCCAACTTGAATAAAATATTGGGGGGCAGGCAAGCCCTGCCCCACATAATCGATCACTACACACACATACATTTGAACGGCAATGCCCATCAACTGGGGTGGGGTACCTTCAAATGTTTTATTGGGGGAGGCAAAGGGACCTCAGCCCCTAGGAGTTGGCTCCTATGCACCCTACTAAGTAGAACAAGAGAGGGATATTGTGGGGGGGGGACACTATTAAGTAGGAGAGAAGGATACGGGGTAAGGGGAGAAGCACCCTAAGTGGAAACAGACGGGATATGGGGTGATGGGAGGGGGCCCTACTAAGTAGAACAGAGGGGCGTGGGAGAGGCAATGGGGGCATCTTCTCTTGGGCTACCGGGAGCCAACGGGGTACCCTAAGAAGGGGGTTGAGGGTTAAACAGCGCTGGGGGGGGGGCCGAGGAGGGATGCCAATACTCTGTGGGCCGAGGACCCTATGAAAAGTGGGGAAGGGGGGGAAGAAGAAGAGGGCGGCGGAGGAGCCTACGAGAAGTGGGGAGGGCGGACTGGTGGAGAGCTTTGGGTGGGGAATAATAATAATGTGGGGACTTGGGGGGGCGGAGGGCGCAAGCGAGGAGGAAGAGCAGGAGGGACCCCCTTCTTGCCGGGCGAGGAGCCTCACTTACGGGCGAGTCGTAGGAGAAGGAGCACTCGGTCTTGTAGACGCGGTCGCCGGCCTTGGGCACCCGGATCGTGGGCATGTAGGGCACCAGCAGCTCGCCCACGTCCCCCGCCGCCATCTGCGACCCCCGGCCGCTCCCCGAGAGCGCGCCCGGCTCCAGGCTCCCGCCGCTGGGTCAGCAGAGAGGAGCGCAGCCGGCCGAGCCCCGCGGAGGAGCAGGAGGAGGAGGCGGAGAAGGAGCGCAGCCCAGGCCGGCCTGCCCGCCCTCCCGGAGGGGAGGAGAGCCGCGCCGAGCCGCTATTTTTAACCCAATGGCAGCGGCGGGGGGAAGAGGGCCGCCCCGCCCCGGGAGAGGTGCCGGGGCTCGCGGAACCAGCTGCGGCCACGCCCAGGGAATCCCGCTGCCCGGAGCTCTGCACATGCCCCGAGGCGCCCTTTTCCTCCTCCTCCTTCAACCCCAACCCAGGGCATGGGGGGCGGTTTAAGGAGACTTTCTGCTGCCCATCAGGCAATGGCTGTTTCCACCTGCCCAAGGAAGCCTTTCCCAGACTTTGGGAACAGCGAAAGCAGTTGGGAAGAGAGGAGTTCAGGGATTATTTTTTTTAAAAAATAATAGTTTTGCAAGTTGTGCCTCCTTGTTTCTCAGTTGGATCCTTTTCCATGGCTTTGTATGTTGTGTGGTATGTTATGCGTTGTGACTTGCGGTCATTTTTACTGACTATAGTAATTTTATTGTAACTGATCAATGTAAACTGTTTCATTATTGCTTGCTGATGTTTGATTTATTTCGTTGTTGACTATGGATTGTTGAATGTGGCTTTATTTGATACAAGTTGTTTGTTTTAAAGCCATCGTGACTTTTTTGCATTGGATCAGATTGTTATGACTTAGGTGGTCTTTGCTATCTATTTTGTTTTGTTTTGTTTTTTAAATTATTTTTATTCAATTTCCAATATAAGATTTAAACATACATTTCAATATTGTCACAAATACATATTTTTGACTTCCTTCAGCTCATCCGTGAATCTTCCGTTTTCTAATCTTCTATCCGCAATTCTAAATTTAACATTGCCTTTTATTTTAAATAAACCTATTCCCTTGTTCCCTTTTTTACAGTGTTTCTAATATTATTTCTTCACAAAGCTTCCTGTAAACCCACAAACGTTATTTGCGTATCACATATGCTTTTCATATAGTCCACAAATTTACTCCAGTCCTTGGTAAACTTGTGATCTCGTCGGTTTCGGACCCTTCCTGTTAATTTATCTAATTCTGCGTAGGCCATTAATTTCATTCTCCATTCTTCTATCGATGGTAATTCTGCCTGCTTCCATTTTTGGGCCAGTAGTATTCTTGCTGCTATTACTACATATAAAAATAATTTATGGTCCTTTCTATTTATTTCATTTCCAATCATTCCTAACAAAAAGCCTTCTGGTTTTTTAAAAAATGTATATTTCAACATGTTTTTCAATTCATTATATATCACTTCCCAAAAGGCTCTCACCTTTTTACACTCCCACTGTCTATTTTGTTGTTTCTTTCAGCTTGAAAACCGCCTTGCATATAGTAATACAGAAAAGGGGGTATACAAATTAAAAGAGAACAAATGAAATGAAGTGAAATACCCGCTTGGTTAAGTGTAGGAAGAGGAAAAAGGTGTGGGGAACCCAGGTCTCATAAAGGGAGGAAAGCTTAAAAGGTGACACAGTTGTGGGTTGCCATCATCGTCATCCCAGCTTTCGGAGGTTTGGGGGCCAACCAGTGGCTCCTGGGAGAGCCTTTTCGGTGGTGGCCCCAATAACACATCTCCAACCCTTTTCAGTTCCTGTGGCTTGCTGAGGGTTCACCAGTTTATTCTGGCCTTTGGGCACTGAAGAACTGGTTGCGGGGTTTTCATGGAGAGTGCCCTCCACAAAACCTGTTGTATAGATTGCAATTTGGAATTGCTGCTCACTGTTTTAGGCGTTGTCCACACTGTGCATTTGAAAGCAGAATTATACCACTTTAAACAGCCGTCGTGGCTCTGCCCAAAGATTCGCAGAGTTGCCTGGGAAGAGGGGTTGACTACCAATTCCGGAAGGGGAATAGGGGTTTCCCAACAACTCCCAGGATTTTGTGCTGAATCATGACTACTGAATGCGACATAATACTGCTTTGGATATATAGTGCAGATGGGGCTTTAATTGCGTTTTTGTATGCAAGGAATGAGCCCTTGGTGAAGGGTGGGCTGGAAATTCAGTTAACAAAATGAAATACTCATTCTCATGTTGATGTTGTTATTAAGCAATGAGTAATGTTTTACCAGAGAGGAGGGCTGGAAGAGAAATCCTGTTGAGATAACAGACTGTGCTTTTTATAGCCTCTTTTTATGTGATTTTCAAAAAACAATCAGGAAAAAGGAGGAAACTCTGGGACATCCTAACACTCAGTAATCAGTTGTTGCCAAGATCTCAGCAATATCCACACATACACAGAAAAGAAGCTGATGCAGTAGTTTCAGGCTATTGCTGACCACAGAGACACTTAATTCTACAGGTTATAGGTAAACACCAAAAACCATTATAGGTCGTGTGATTTTGCCTGCACACTTGGTTGCTGGATCAGCGCTGGGCAATTCTCAGCCAAATGTGTGAACTCTTTCCATTGAAAAGCATTGGCTTGGAGCTGATCTCCCAGGAAGCAGAGTTGTGCAATTTCTACCTATGGTGATCAATGTGTGTGACACACTTGTGAAAATCACTTGCTGCTAAAGCCATTACACGTGTTTGCTATTGGTCCCTCAGTTGTACCTTGAAAGCAGCCTGTTCCTTTAAGGAGAGACACAGTTGATTAACATGTTCTTTTTTGAACAGTAATAAAATCTGGTACAGGAATTGCATTGTTGGAGGGGACATCTTCCCCCGGGGAGAGCTAGTATTTATTTAATCTGCAAGAACAAAGAATGCTAGTGTATGAATTCTAACGAAATAATAACCATGCCAAATGGTGGTAAAATTCACCTTTGTTTGGTTTTAGCACATCAAAATATAACGTGAACTAGACTTCATTCTGACACAGCTTATAAATTTTGGCTTAGAGGAGTATGCAATGGCCTGATTCGCAGTTCTTGTTGAGCAAAAACATAACTTAGCACGATTATATGCGCTCTGGGAGATTGCAGCTGCTTTGCTTCTCCCCAGTTGTTTTGCTGCTACAATATGCAAAGTATGGTTTATTAAGGCAAGAATCCAGGCCTGCCATTACATGTGAATGTGGCCCTGTATCCGAAGAGTTTACCTGTAGTTTTCCTCTTTTTTTTTAACCTGTGGTAGTAAGCCCCTCTGCACATTTTGGCTAAAGCTCTCTTTACCACTTAAGAGCAGGAATCGGGAACTTCTGGTCTTCCAGATTGTCTTAGCCATGCTGGTTGGGGTTTGTTTATTTATAGGCTGTATGTGGCCTCCCCTCTGCCACATGGCTGCACAGAGGGTTAGGCATATGGTGAGCAGTAACAACTTCCACCACCAAAGCTCTGTGCAAAAAAAAGTGTGCCTTGACGTGATGCCAACATGTATACAGTAACACCACCACATGCATCTTGGAGGGAGAGCATGCCACACTCGAGGGGCCACCCCAGAAAAGGCTCTCACATGCCTCCAAACCATGAACCTCACATGGCCGCGAAACTACCAGCAGGGCCTCCCCTGTAGATCTCAGCACCTGGGCAAGCAGAATCAAGCAAAAGTTGGGAGGGACCCCAAGGGTCATCTAGTCCAACCCTCTGCAGTGCAGGAATTTTTAAACTGGGGCTCGAACCTACAATCCACAAATTAAGAGAGCCTAGGGCTTGCCGATCAGAGGATCGGCGGTTCAAATCCCCGCGACGGGGTGAGTTCCCGTTCCTCGGTCCCTGCTCCTGCCAACCTAGCAGTTCGAAAGCACGTCAAAGTGCAAGTAGATAAATAGGTACCGCTCCAGCGGGATGGTAAACGGCATTTCCGTACGCTGCTCTGGTTCGCCAGAAGCGGCTTAGCCATGCTGGCCACATGACCCGGAAGCTGTACGCCGGCTCCCTCAGCCAATAAAGCGAGATGAGCACCGCAACCCCAGAGTCATCCACGACTGGACCTAACGGTCAGGGGTCCCTTTAACTTTACCTTTACAGACTGAGCTATTCCAAATTGGGGGTCTAACAGCATCAGGAGGGCAGCTGACTTAAGAGGACACAGGTGACTCAACTAACCTGGTATAACAGAGAGGCTACTGAAAGCACCTATTAGATAAGGCCCCAATGACATTGCATATATTTAATCCCACCTTCCTCCAGGAAGGAGTATGCATACATTGTGGGGTCTTCCGCTGCCTGCACCCCAGCTGATGTTCCCCCCCAAGAATCAGGGCCACTGAGTGAGCTTCATCGCAGAACATGGATTTGAACCCAGACTCTCTAGCCAAAATCAATCACTCTATACAACCCTGCTTGTCTGTGGAGTGTTATTTGTTTTGGTACAGGCTTGTCCATGTGAGGAGCAGGGCAGGTGATGGAGAGGGAACTAGGCAAGGTCTGTGTAGTTTGTGAGAAAGAACAACAATGGCATCAAACTTTGGAAAGGATGCAGGTCGCACAGCCATAGGAAATAGTGTGGGGCAGGAGAGCTTCGCCTTGTGAGGATTGCCCTATGCTGCTGTTATTCTGGCCATGCTGTGATGTAGAAAGACAGGGCTGCCCTCTAGTGGTCCCAAACAACCGCTAGTAGCATCTTCCTACAAAAGTAGGCAAAAACATCACACTTAGGAGGCGGGGCTAAGCTATGCATTTCCTTACGCAGAATGAGGTGTCGGAATTCTGGGCGACGGCATATTTTGAATGCTGCCCTCACAAAAAGCTCAGCTGACATTCCTACATTGCAGGCGGCTGGACTAGATGACGCTTGGGGTCCCTTTCAACTCTACAATTCTCCGATTCCAAGCTTAAGCCAGAAGCTGCAGTTAGCGTGAAACTCTGCAGCTCAGAGTTCGGCACTGGTTGTTGATTCCCCTACTGGGATGAGTTCAAGGGCACCGGTTAACAACTTGGGACCAGTTTACCTACAAGACTGCCTTACCCCCTATGTGCCAACTCAACCCTTTGACTGGCAGAAGTGGCACTTTTACAGGTGCCACATAATACCCGCAACCGCATCTGTAAGGACTCGATTGTTTAGTGTTGCAGTGCTGACTCTTTGGAACTCCCTGCCTATTGATGTCAGGCAGCAGCCTTCACTGTTTTCTTTCCAGCACCTGCCGAAGACATTCTTATTTAGAGAAGCCTACCCCCCAAAGTAAGGGACGCGGGTGGTGCTGTGGGTTAAACCACAGAGCCTAGGACTTGCCAATCAGAAGGTCGGTGGTTCGAATCCCCGCAACGGGGTGAGCGCCCGTTGCTCAGTCCCTGCTCCTGCCAACCTAGCAGTTCGAAAGCATGTCAAAGTGCAAGTAGATAAATAGGTACCGCTCTGGTGGGAAGGTAAACGGCGTTTCCGTGCGCTGCTCTGGTTCGCCAGAAGCGGCTTAGTCATGCTGGCCACATGACCCGGAAGCTGTACGCCGGCTCCCTCGGCCAATAAAGCGACATGAGCGCTGCAACCCCAGAGTCGGCCACGACTAGACCTAATGGTCAGGAGTCCCTTTACCTTTACCCCTCAAAGTCACAGGTGACTGGGAAACACCCCCCCCCAAAGCAGATTCTGGGTGCATGGAGGAGGGGCGAGGAAAGGAACCAGAAGCCAAATTTTTAATATATTCCCAGCATGGTTTAAAAAATATTACTACTACTACTAAAATAACTGTTGTTGTTATTAATCAATAAATATCACATTTTTGTCATTAGTTGCCTATGTCCATAACTTGTCTTTCCATATACAACAGTGGAAAATCTGTGTCTGTTAACCATTAAATTTTAGCACATCTTTACCACTGGTCCACAAGCATGAGAGCTGGAAATCCTTTTTCTTTTCTTTTTTAATGGCAAAAGCAACTTGCACTTTCTCTGTAGAATCTGAAAGTCCTTGTGGAAGCCTTCAACACAGCAAGTAATTGAAACAATCTTTTTTTTTTTTATTTGAGTTACGAAGTCAGATATATATATATACATTACATAATTCCGCTACTCTTTTATGGGTGCACACCTCTGAGCCAGGTGGATAACCAGCTTAGTTGTCAGGTGTTGCTTTGTTAGAATAATCAATAAGACTTGCGGGGGTGGTTTCATAGAAATGCCAGGGTCCATCCCCCCGCTGTTGCATTAGCTTGCGTGCTGTCTTCTCCTGCCTCCTATAAAAGGAAAATAGCGGGATGAGGAAGGAGAATCAGGAAATTAATATGATCAATCGTACAATGGAGCTGGCTCGCACGTTATGTTATACCATACTTAGAATAAGCTGTGGTTTAATGTGAATGCACAATGGACTAGTGAAGACTGCTGGAATCGTGGACACATTTTTCACCCTTTCCTGCCCCCATGCCAGGAAACAAGCCACAATCTGTATTTTTTTTATTATTATTATTATTTAACATAATGTCTATATCGCTTGATTGTAGAAAGACCTCTAAGCGGTTTACAGAAACTGATTGATTCTTAAGTCATATGAACACAAGGTTATGGTTTGTTTCCCCCCCAAAACAAACCATGAGCAGTAAGCCAAAAGCAAGCCTTTGTTGCCACTCGTGGTTTGTTTGGAAGGAAACCATGAGCCCAAGTTCGGACTACACAACAAGCCGGATCATGGCCTGTTTCCTGGCAGAAGCAGGGAAGCCCCTGTGATTTCAGATTTCACCTGTGATTGCGGTAGCATTTTGCTTGTTCCCATTAAACCGAGTCTATTTTAACCGTGTTCAAAAGTGACTGATGAGCCGTGCCAACGTTATCGATTGTTCAAGCCAAATACAACCAGTCAGGCCAGAATTTTAAAGCAGCGGAGCAGATGGATCTGCCTCAGTGCAGAATTTGGCAGGCGGAGGCTGCAACCCATATGCTATTTAATACCCATGTGCCTGGATACTTAAGTTGGTCAATTAGGTCAATTAAGGCCAGCTCACAGTGCCAAATTCCTCCGCATGAGCCCATACAAGGGAGCAGGTGGAGAAAAACTACCATGCACAAGAATGAACATTTGGGGGAGCTTGAAACTTGTAGCCACAATTATGGCTCCTGGAAACCTTTCACCTCCAGGCTTGTGGAAATGGCCACCGGTTCCCTGCGCATTCAGGCTAGCCTTTCTCCGTGTGGCTGTGTGCTTGCCTGCAAGTTTGTGGGGAAGAATTTGGCAACAGGAGCTGAACCAGTCCTAGCAACAGGAGGGACAATTGTTTATTCGCCAGGGACAGGCCCATAAGCAATGCTATTCACTACACAGAGATCAGCTGAGGCCCGCAACTCAAAGGAGAGAGTCGCAACTGTTCATTCCCTTTTGCCTCTGACCGTGACCACTTTTTGCCTCTGGCTCCCAGGAGGGAAAAGTCCCTCCCTTGCCCTGCTTGGATGTCATTTCACAGCATGGGGGGGGGACTGGATTAGATGGATTTCCCTCCCAAGGGTGTTGGCAGACGTTGCCCAGCGATATTATCTAGGAAACATCATGGCTCAGCATCTCCAGCAACAAAACACAAAGTGGACCACAGAACGATGAGCAGCGAAAACATTTCCAATTAACTGCAGGAAGTCTGACTTTCAACCCCCTGCTTGACTTTGGCTCATGCCTGAAATGATAGTTCAGCAACAGTTCAACACAACTTTAGGAAGAGCTGTAGCTTAGTGGTACCACATCTGCCCTGAAGGTTCCACGGTCGATCTCTGGCATCTCAAGGTTGGGCTGGGAATGTTCAGTGTCTGAAACCCTGAAGAGCCTCTGCTAGGCCACGTATGATGATACCCAGCTCTCCCTCTCTTTCAAATCAGAACCAGTGAAGGCAGTGAAGGTCCTGTGTGAGTGTCTGGAGGCGGTTGGAGGATGGATGGCGGCTAACAGATTGAGGTTGAATCCTGACAAGACAGAAGTACTGTTTTTGGGGGACAGGAGGCGGGCAGGTGTGAGGGATTCCCTGGTCCTGAATGGGGTAACTGTGCCCCTGAAGGACCAGGTGTGCAGCCTGGGAGTCATTTTGGACTCGCAGCTGTCCATGGAGGCACAGGTCAAATCTGTGTCCAGGGCAGCTGTTTACCAGCTCCATCTGGTACGTTGGCTGAGACCCTATCTGCCTGTGGACTGCCTCGCCAGAGTGGTGCATGCTCTGGTTATCTCCCGCTTGGACGACTGCAATGCGCTCTACGTGGGGCTACCTTTGAAGGTGACCCGGAAACTACAACTAATCCAGAACGCAGCAGCTAGACTGGTGACTGGGAGCGGCCACCGAGACCATATAACACCTACATTGAAAGACCTACATTGGCTCCCAGTACGTTTCCAAGCACAATTCAAAGTGCTGGTGCTGACCTTTAAAGCCCTAAACGGCCTTGGTCCAGTATATCTGAAGGAGTGTCTCCACCCCCATCGTTCTACCCGGACACTGAGGTCCAGCACCGAGGGCCTTCTGGTGGTTCCCTCACTGCGAGAAGCCAAGTTACAGGGAACCAGGCAGAGGGCCTTCTCGGTAGTGGCGCCCGCCCTGTGGAACGCCCTCCCACCAGATGTCAAAGAGAACAACAACTACCAGACTTTTAGAAGACATCTGAAGGCAACCCTGTTTAGAGAAGCTTTTAATGTTTGATGTATTACAGTATTTTAATATTTTATTGGAAGCCGCCCAGAGTAGCTGTGGAAGCCCAGCCAGATGGGCGGGGTATAAATAAATTATTATTATTATTATTATTATTATTATTATTATTATTATTATTAGCAAACCCATGGGCACCCAAGTGTGCTTGGACTAGGACTCCCATCATTCCTGACTACTGGCCAGTCTGACTGGCGCTGATGGGAGTCAGAGTTCAGTAACAACTGGAGGGCCACAGGTTCCCCACACCTGGTGCAGACCATACTGCCAAAGGCCCGACTCCGTATACAATAAGTCAGCTTCCTAATGTCCCTAAGTTTGGGAAACCACCAAATTACCTGTTGATTTTCCCTACCTTAATTCAAGTTTCTCAGATTCAGCATAAAGGTACGCCAACCCCTTTTCATAGTCCTTTTCAGGAGGGTCGAGCATATTGCGAGCAATCCACCTTGTTATCGGATGCTGGAGAAAAGCAAAGCAAGGCATCACTAAGGAATCATGAGCACCTGCGTGCATATACAGCAGAGAAGCCTCAGACACGGATTGGCTTGTCTGGTGTGATGTCATGGAATCTTCAAGCTACTCGGGTGGGGGGGCAAAGCTGTCATTAACGAAACGTCCTGTGAGAAGCAAACGGAAGTAAAATTCCCAGTTTGACTGGGATTAAAATTTCGTACACACCCCAAGGAAAGAGGAGCTGTTGTGAGGCAGGCTAAGGGTGGAAAGCTGATTGGCAGGAGAGCCTAAAAGGTAGGAATCTAAGGGGTCAGAAACCCAGAGAACCAATTGCTGAAGGAAAGGGGCTGAGCAAGCAATGGAGCGAGATACAGGAATCTAACAAGATGGGCAGATGGAGGAATCAGAAAGGAAAGAATTCACTGAAAGACCATGTACCTAGCATGCATGATGTTCCTGGATCAAATCCTAACATCTCTAGTTGCTAGAACTTGAATCCAGCTGTTAACGGGACCTGCAGGGGTTGGGGAATGTCAGGATCTCGCCCGACTCAATCCAGTTCCACCAACCCTGTGCTAGAGGGATAAGGAGAGGAGCTGCTCAGCAATTCACGCTTCCAGAATTCACAGCCCCCTATTTCCCACCCTCCAAATATCTGCTCTGGAGGTTTGGATCAGCATCGGTGGTGGGATTAAGGGGCAAAAGAAAACTGGCAGAAATTGCCACCATCCTCCTTCCTCTGGTGGAAGCTTCCACTGGATCCAACTCCCTTCCATGAACAAAAGGAGTCATTTCGTCTGCGGACGGGCAAGTCTGGATGCAGCCCAGAAAACTCCTTCCCAAGCCGAGATTGCAATAAGCACTCAGCTCTGTACATCATTCTGCCTGGACACTAAGATCCAGCGCTGAGGGCCTTCTGGCGGTTCCCTCACTGCGAGAAGCCAAGTTACAGGGAACCAAGCAGAGGGCCTTCTCAGTAGTGGCACCCGCCCTGTGGAACGCCCTCCCACCAGATGTCAAAGAGAACAACAACTACCAGACTTTTAGAAGACATCTGAAGGCAGCCCTCTTTAGGGAAGCTTTTAATGACTGATGTTTTAATGTATTTTTAATCTTTCTTGGAAGCTGCCCAGATTGGCTGGGGAAACTCAGACAGATGGGTGAGGTATAAATAATAAATTAATAATATTTTATTATTACTTACACGATAGTACTCCCAGTGCTCTGGGACATAACCTTCAGGGATTTCAGCCAGTTCAGCTTTACCTGGTGAGAAAGAAGAAGCTCAGTTCAAATGCAATAGACTTCCAAAAACACTGTCAAGAAAGAATACTGTTGCCAGCCACAACATATTATCTTCAAAAGAGGACTAATTCAAAGTTTCCTGTCCCGTCCTTAGCATGTTTGCTCAGAAGTAAGTCCCACCAAGTTCAAGGAGACGTACATTCAAGCAAGCGCACACACAAAACTGCGGAGAAACATGCAAATGAGGGTGGGGAATTCCTGTCCCTACAAACACAATTCATGCTTTGTACTCCACATAACAAATAACCAACGTTAAAAATTCTCAGTTTTACAGGTAGCAGATAAGGCATGAAAACAAACTGGCCAAGAGACACATTTTTCTGGTTAAGTGGTAGTTATTAAAAAGTTTTAACACCTACAGGTTTTTTTTGTTTTAAGCGAACTAAGATATTGGTTCACGCCATCCACTGAGGCCAGGAGAAAGGAGGACTCCTTGAGACCATTCCTTCCAGGGGATTTTGAAAATACACCTAGCAGTTCTTGTACTAACCCAAACCAGATTTAACGTCATTGAAAAAGAGCAGCTCTTTAGGAGAGATGCAACTGCTCCCTTTACTTCACAGTTTCTTATGTCAGCCCTTCAAAATAGGATGAAACCTGCAGAAATACTCACCGATAAAGACATTGACAAATGTTATAATTAGAGCAACTGGGATTCCGGTGAGCAAAACGTAGAACCTCTGTTTAGAAAGTGAAAGGAAACGAGAAGAAGCAAGATCATTACGTGGCAAAAATACACAGTACCCTCACATCTTCATCAAGCCCCAGTAATTTTAGAACCTCTCAATATGTAATTTTTATTTATGCATTTTTCAGTTGTTGTTTTTTCACATACATTTGTCATCTTACCATGTTCCTACACAGACTTCCCAACCTATCCTTCATTGTCATTCCTTGTTCAAACTCTTTGTTTCGCTGCCTCACTGTTATCTCTCCACCCTATTTCATCCCTTCAATGCATTCATCTTGTCTACTGCTGATCACATACTCATCCCTACTTGTAAGGTAAAGGTAAAGGAACCCCTGACCTTCCCGACGGAGTGGTACCTATTTATCTACTCGCACTTTGACGTGCTTTCAAACTGCTAGGTTGGCAGGAGCTGGGACAGAGCAACGGGAGCTCACCCCGTCGCAGGGATTCGAACCGCCAACCTTCTGATCGGCAAGTCCTAGGCTCTGTGGTTTAACCCACAGCGCCACCTGCGTCCCCTACTTGTAGATTAAGCTAAATGCCATCTCTTTGTAAATATTCTCCGAAACATTCCCACACGCTTCTTATCTTCTTTTCATCCCAATTTCTTATTTTGCCGTCATGCTTGGTAACTCTACAAATTCTATTAATTTATGCAAACTCTGATCCTTTGTTGGAGTAATCTTTTTTTCTTTCTAGCTCCTTGCATAAACTATTCTTGTGGCCGCTGTTGCATACAAAAATAGATTTTTGACTTCCTTTGGTATCTCCTCTCCTGTTATTGCTAAAAGGAAGGCTTCTGGATTTTTCTGAAATTTGAATTCAAACATTTGCTTAAGTTCCTCATATACCATCTCTCAATATTTCTTTGTGTGTTTATATCACCACAAAATATGTATAAAAGAGCCTTCTGCTTCTGAACACTTCCAATACTGAACCTCTCCCAATACAAACACTACAGTCTGGACTATTAGGATATATTTTCTAGCCTAATATTTCAGACAATAACATTCCTCTTCTATCTAATTAAACAATCTATGGGCTTTTAAACTCGGGGGGGGGGGAGGTCATTGTTTTTGTTTCTTACTAAATTATATATTTTGGTGTTTTCATCTTGTAAAATATAAAACCACTGTGTGATCCTTGGATTAAGAGTGGTTTAGAAGTAATAATAATAATAATAATAATAATAGAAGATATGGTCATTTATTCAGAACTTAAAACTCTTGAATATTCAGATACCACTTGGCATTTTAAGTTACACATGTGAAAAGACCTCTAAACGAATGTACACCGTTCACTCTGAAATATCTTATTGTCTGTTTATGACAATGATCCAAAGAAGTAAAAAGCACACAAAGAGAGATAAGAATCCTGAATTTCATTTATTGTTTTTGCGGGAACAATGTTTTAAAATTAAAACTATTTCTGCCCCACTCTTCACTGATATGGATACCAGCTGCTAAAGAGGCAAGCCACTGAACGGAGCAATTCTTTGGTGCATACATGGATCCCAACCTAAACATGATGACCCCAACCCAATAGTTCTGCCGATGATACAAGAATCCCAGCATTGTAGCTGGGCTCAAGTTCAACCTTGAAACAAACAACAGTCACCAGAACTGCTGCAAAGTTGAAGCCACCCTTCTCCCATGGTAACAGGTTGCACTGTACAAGGGCTCTCTAGGAAAAGTGGAGTTGATACTGCCCCCTTTCTAATCCTTTAGTTACCAATAAGCTAAAAAAAAACCACCCAAAGCCATCGTACATCCTCTTGCAAAACAGAAAGGCGACTTTTATAGTCCACAGCAGTGCCGGATTTACGTATAAGCTAAACAAGCTATAGCTTAGGGCCCCACTCTCTTGGGGGGGCCCCAAAAGATATAAAGGGGGGGAAAGCTGGATGTACATTTCCAAAATATAAGATAAAAAACAAATAAAATAAAACCTACAAAAAGTGTTTTGTGTTGTGTAGGCTCCTATGATGTAAGTAATGGGCCCTGCCTGCTAGTCTGCTCCCTAAAATATCACATATAAAGGGCCCCATTACCTTCAGTAGCTTAGGGCCTCATCAAACCTAAATCCGGCCCTGGTCCACAGGTATCTCTGCTCTGCTTACAAAGCTCAAGAAGCCATCTCTAAGGTAAACCTTGGGCTTAGGAAGACTGAATACAGTAGCATTTAGAACACAGAATATCACAGAATATCCTGTGTGACACCTTTTGGTTTCCTACAATTCCTCCCTTCCCAAAGTGTGTAGACTCACCAACAAAAGCAGGAATCGCCTGTCGTAAAAATCCGTCGCCTGGATGACAAACATTCTTTTCCCACCTCCACTGCCATGGCGTACCGGAGCTGCAAAAATCAAATCCACGTGTTAGCGCAAAGCCAGCTGTGGTTTCTGTGACCCAGTCAAGCCGACAAAGAGACCTTCGGTTGTGTTCTCCTCTGTTTTTGCACATTCCCACACAGCTATTCTTGCAAAGCAAAAAACCGAGGCTGTGGTGTGTGTGGGTGGGTGTTTTGGAGGGTGGGGGCTATTGGGCTGTTGTTTTTATTTTTATTATGTATTTTGTGGTTTTATATCTTGGTTTTATTCTGTGAACCGCTCTGAGACTCCTGGGATATAGGGCAATATATAAATTCAACTAATAATAATAATAATAAAAGGGACTTGTCCAGCTCTGACCCAGCCGAGACAGGATTGCTTTGCTAATTATTTTCATCATTGACATGCCTTTGAAAGCACGCCCTTCCTCCGAGAAAAGTAGCCCTTGGGGGAAGGACTGTGATTGAGTGGCAGGTGCCCCCTGTGGAATGCCCTCCCAGCTGATGTCAAGGCAATAAACAACTATTTTACTTTTAAAAGACAACTGAAAGTGTTCCTTTTTAGGGAAGTTTTTAATGTCTGATGCTGTATTGTTTTTAATATCCGGCTGGAAGCCACCCAAAGTGGCTGGGGAAACCCAGCCAGATGGGTGGGGTATAAATAATAATAATTTTTATTTATTTTTATTATTATAATATGCATGGCTGGCCCAAACCAAGCAGGTTGGGAGGAAGCTTCACCAGTTGAACTTCTGCCTGCGCAATAGGTTTCCCAGGCAGTGGAGTCACGGCAATTAGATATAATACAATTAGATGTTATATGTAAAATTATTATTATTGCACATATATGGTGGCAACGCCCCTCCCCCCACACACACACCGTAAAACTCAGCGATTGTCCCAATCCTCAAGGTCAACCAGACGGGAAACCCCCATCCCACCCCAAAGATCCCCCCGTCCCCTAGCGAAGCCATACCGACGAGCACAGAGCGGCCGGCGGCCCGCCCAGGCAGGGAGAAGCGACCCCAGAGACCCGGGCCGGGAAAGGTCCTCCTGGCCGCGAAAGCAGCCGCCGCTCGGAGCAGGAGGCTCATGGCCGCCATGCCTGCGACTGGCAAGGTAACGGCGGAGGAAGGTGACTCGCGTTCGGCGGGCGAGGCTGAAGGCGCGTCGCCGCCATCTTTAGAACGGGCGCCAGGGCGGCGCGTAGATTCACTAATAGAAGACTGCCACGCAGAGCCGGTTTCCGAGTTCAATGCGCCGCTCGCAGAACCCGACGGGGTTTCTCTATTAGATGCTCGTAGGAAGTGCAGTTGCGACTCTTCCCGTCTTTCTCCCCCAGGCAAAAGATAACCGGCAAAGAGTTGTTGTTGTTTTAATTCGGGTCCTATTCACGAGCGGAGTCTGGATTTTTGTTAGGGGGCGCAGAACCGACGTGATTGGTCAGTTAGTTCTGTTTTACCATTGTTTTACTTGATCTAAGGGAGGGCAGCTGCCCCACCCCCTTGGCAACGCCTATGGTCCTATTGCATGCAAAATCCTTTAAAGGAAAAAAAGGCTGTATTTCTCCAGTAAGCACCACTGAATTCAATTAGGCTTACTTCCGAGTAGACATGGTAAGAACTGTACTGGATAAGAGCGTAAGAGCGCTTCATGCAAGTGGTTGTTTGGTTGTAAGTCGCTTTGGGTTGCCTTGGGCAAGATAAAGCGACATGTTGTTGTTATCATCATTATCACTATTCATATTGCACATTAGAAGTCAGAGCCCAAATCTCTTTTAAGCATCAGCTGGATGCTCCGTTACACAGAGTTACACTTCACTGACTTGCACCGTTAATAATAATAATAATAATGGAGACCTTGAGCAGTGTTTGCATCTGAAGAGTTCATTTGTGAATGTTTGAAAAGCTAAATCAAAGCAGAATTTCAACCCCTCAAAAATGAGATCTCAACAAGAGCAGGAAAGGCTCGCTATGTTTCGTTTCTTGACGGAGTCCAGCCACTGCTCAATGACTGTCAACGATAAGAATCCTTAATTTCTCAATCCAATGCGATTTTCACGTACGCCAAAACGGATTTAAAAATCCCTTCCTTTGGGGGCACCTTGCCCGCAACTACACGATGAGATGGATTCCTTTTCTTGCTTATAGTTCACGAAAGGCTGGTCGTGGTGTCGCTTTTTAAGGTGCCCAAAGACCGATATTTTTACTGCTGAAGACGACCTCGCACGGTCGCCTCTTCAATTTTTCTTGTATCTGCGGTCGAAGGCAAGGAGCATTGTGGGGAAACGAAAACTAGAGGCATTCATATAGCGCTTCCTTCTCAAACTGAACCGTTCCCCCTTAAATTTACAATGATAATAGGGGAAGGAGGTCCGCTCTAGGAATGCTCAGCGCCGCGGAGGGTAGACCCTGCTCTGAACCCAAAGGAAACCCCAAGGAAGAGCGGCTTCCGACCCAAACCGGAAGTAAGGCCTGCGTGCCCCAGCGTACTTCCTTCGCAATCTCTATGGGCCTGGGCCGACGCTTTCCGGCGGCTGCCGATGAGCATTGTGGGAAACGGGAGGTGTCATGGCGGCGGCGGCGCTTTGCCGCCCGTTCTCGAAGCTCCTGAGGTTGGCTGCAGCGACCTGGGGCGGCTCGTCGGCGTCCTCTCCTCCCAGGTGGGCAGCCGCCGGGCGGGAGGCGGGTGGAGGGAGACGCCCTGCGACCTCCGCTTTACCGTGTTCCTTTTATTCCTTGAATTTCCCGCGTGCCGAGTTCAAGCCAAACTACTTTTTCAATGCTTAATATTTCATTACGTTTTTTATATATAATAATATTAATAATAATTTATTATTTATACCCCGCCCAAGCTACTTTTTCAATGCTTAATGTTTCATTACGTTTTTTATATAGATATTATTATTATTATTATTATTAATACTTTATTTATACCCCGCCCATCTGGCTGAGTTTCCCCAGCCACTCTGGGCGGCTCCCAATCAAGTGTTAAAAACAATACAGCGTTAAATATTAAAAACTTCCCTAAACAGGGCTGCCTTCAGATGTCTTTTAAAGAGAAGATAGCCGCTTATTTCCTTCGCATCTGAAGGGAGGGCGCTCCACAGGGCGGGCGCCACTACTGAGAAGACCCTCTGTCTGGTTCCCTGGAACATGGCTTCTCGCAATGAGGGAACCGCCAGAAGGCCCTCGGTGCTGGACCTCAGTGTCCGGGCTGAACGATAGGAGGGGGAGATGCTCCTTCAGGTATACAGGACTGAGGCCGCTTAGGGCTTTATGTTGGAAGCCGCCCAGAGTGGCTGGGGAAATCCAGTCACAGGAGCAGGGTACAATTAATAAAATTATTATTGTGTTATTATTACTATCTGTTGATGGATGGCCATCCTGACTCGGCCCCAGACACACAGCTTGGAAGCTGTGGCTGGATGGTTACGTGGGAGCCGGTTGAAGTTAAATCCTTCGAACAGAGAGGTCCTTTGGCTGGGTCGGGACAATATGGGATTAGGGGGGCAAATCCCATCTCTTGCAGGGGCGCAATTAGTGGCAGCACCGTCTGTTAAGAGTTTGGGTATAATCTTTGACACCTCCCTTTCAGTGGAGGCGCAGATTGCAGCTATAACAAAGGCGGCATTTTTTCATCTCCACCAAGCTAAGCAGTTGGCTCCTTACCTCTCTCGCCCTGACCTAGCCACTGTGATCCACGCGATGGTCATCTCCAGACTATTGTATTATTGTAACTCGCTCTACGTGGGGCTGCCCTTGAGACTGACCCAGAAACTCCAGCGGGTGCAGAATGCTGCGGTGAGACTCCTCACGGGGTCCTCACTTCGGGATCACATTCACCCAGTGCTATACCAGCTGCACTGGCTCCCGGTGGAGTACAGAATCAGGTTTAAGGTGCTGGTTTTAACCTTTAAAGCCCTGTACGGCCTAGGACCTTCGTATCGACGGGACCGCCTCTCCTGGTATGACCCACGGAGGACCTTACGGTCTTCAAACAAAAACATCTTGGAGGTCCCGGGCCACAGAGAGGTTAGGCTGGCTTCAACCAGAGCCAGGGCTTTTTCGGCTGTGGCTCCAATCTGGTGGAACGCTCTGTCACAAGAAACTAGGGCCTGCGGGACTTGACATCTTTCCGCAGGGCCTGCAAGACAGAGCTGTTCCACCAGGCCTTTGGCCAAGGCACAGCCTGACCCCCTCCTTTGGTAATTCTTCACAGAACTTTAGCCCAATGGTTACCATCAATTTGATTTGAACTGATTTTATAATGAATTGATTTTAGAATGCTGTATTATTTTACTGTTGTTAGCCGCTCTGAGCCCAGCTTCAGCTGAGGAGGGCGGGATATAAATAAAGTATTATTATTGTCGCCATTTAAGGAATCCGTGAGGGAGAACGTTGGTTAACTGTTTTTGTATTTTTAACTCCCCCTTTCTCCAACTTGGCGATCCAAGTACTGACCATTCTGATCTCACAGGGTGGCAATAGGGAAACCAGTAGGCTCACCAGTCTACCACATTCAATGAGGTAGGTGAATCATAGGGTTGCAGAGTTGGAAGGGACCCCGAACGTCATTCCTGTAATGCAGGAATCTCAGCTCAAGCATCCGCGGCGGACAGCCAGGCGACTTCTGCTTTAAATACCGCCAAGGGAGGAGAGTCCACCACTTTCCAAAGGAGACCGTTCCAACCGTCCAACAGCTCTTACTGTCAGAAAGTTCTTCCTGACGTTGAGTTGCAATCTTCAAAGCCGTCTTCAAATATCTCAAAGTTCTGTCCCCATGGAAGGATGGAACTGGCTTGTTTTCTCCTGCTCTGGAGGGTAGAAGAAGAAGAAGAGTTTGGGTTTGATATCCCGCTTTATCACTACCCGAAGGAGTCTCAAAGCGGCTAACATTCTCCTTTCCCTTCCTCCCCCACAACAATCACTCTCTGAGGTGAGTGGGGCTGAGAGACTTCAGAGAAGTGTGACTGGCCCAAGGTCACCCAGCAGCTGCATGTGGAGGAGCAGGGACGTGAACCCGGTTCCCCAGATTACGAGTGTACTGCTCTTAACCACCACACCACACTGGCTCAAACCAATGGCTTCTACGTTGCAAGAAAGGAGATTCCAACTAAACATCATTGCAGGGGGTTGGGGTCGCTTCCAACTCCACAGTTCTATGATGTTATGTTATCAAAGTCCAACTGTGTTCAGGGAGTTTGATTTGATTTGTACGCAATAAATTGCAGCCTTCTCTGGGGGTAGGTGGAAATGGGCTTCTATAGTATAGCTGTTATGTAGACTAGCTTGCTAGAGGGGTCACCCACCATACAGTGTCCAGATCTGAAATCTCTTGAGTGTCTAAAGAAATATCTAGGTTTCCTCAAAAAGTGATTTTAGTTCAGATACTCGGTTTTTAAAAACCACTTAAACACTTCGAACATTTGCTTTAAACTAGGTAAATTTGTTTATATGAAATTGTAGAATAGGAGGGTCCTTGAAAAGTCATCTAGTCAGTCTCCTGCTGATGCAGAATATTCACTGCTACAGCATCCCTGATAGGTTTTGTGTGTGTGTGCCTATATCATTTTGTTGTTTTTTTAAATAAATCCTGGTTTTTTGTCCTTCAGATTCATCCTTAACAATCTGCACAAGAATGCCGCAAAAGTAGAAACAGTCTCTCCCTGTATGTTGCTTCATACCTCCTTGCCTCGGAATGGGCTGGAGGAATTTTTTGATGACCCCAAAAACTGGGGAAAGACAGAAGTCAAATCTGGTAAGATACTCAGAATCTGTTTATCTTGACTCCCCTTCTGGCCTCCCACTTTGTGGGTATGTAAGCTAGGTGGGATTGTAAAAGTTCAATAGCAGCACATTCTGTGCTGGTGTATATCTTCATGTGTCTGTAAAATCACTGTTCAGGTGTACACTGTTATTCAGAATATGTCACCTGAAGATATCATTATGTCCAATAATATGTTAGCATTATTTATATTTAATTCTGTTCGTTTAAAAATATTTGATTGTACATGATAATGATTATATATAATAATGTTGAGGAAACTTTTGTATCACCTTTTCTAACTTTCATTTTTTGGTGAAGCTTTCATGGGTGCAAAGCAGATTTCAGTCTGGTTGGGTCCTTAGAACAGTTCTCCATATAGATTTGAGCAGTCACTGTCTCCCTGCCAAAACACTGATGCGCTTTGTGGATTCCACAGGGGATTCTTGGACAGTAGAACAGCTCCGAGGCAAGAGCAGTGAGGATTTGCACAAACTTTGGTGAGTATATTTCAGTGTATCTAATGGCTTGTGTTTCTTTAAAGTTACTGTACTCGTTTCATCCTTGTGCACAGTATTTCAAGAACTGCTTGGTCATGATTTCAGAATCCAGGAATATCCTCCTCAGTCCAGTTAAAATCAACACTGGGGAAAATCTCAGTGTTAACCCATTAATATTATTGACTCAGATTGCTTCCAAAACTCATAAGCTTGCTGACATTCCCACCACATGTGTAATATAGTTGTGCATTTACAGCCAGACACTTCAACACTGAACATTTGTTTCCATAAACATTCTGTTCAACCTGGCAGGAGTTAAATATTGGTGCAGTAAAAGCTTGTACTGTATTTCCCTTATTGATAAACTTAGTGCAGATTTTTTACTGTATGCCAAATCTTAAATCATCTCAATTCTGGCATAGTAAATCCCACTTCTTTATCTCACCTTATCCTGAAGACAGACTCCTTTTTACTTAGGTCAATCAATAATTTGTAGGATTTTGCCAAGAGGCCTTTTGATTTATTAGCTGCCATTGTGATTTCTCATGTTGTCATCTTCCTTACCATATACTCGACAAAAGATTCCTTAATTGAAAATTCTGAAAGCATGGAGTACCTAGCCTCCTGTTTTTTAAGCTATCTCATTCCATGTTAGCAAACTTTCATCTGTTAAATCCCTAAATTTGTGTATACCCTTCCCCCAATTTACAAACTCTGATGGCTGATTTCTCGTTAAAAACATTGAGTGACTTTAAGATGAATGCTAAGGAGGGAAACTTCTGGGCCTGATTTCATCCTATAATTATTCCAAGTTTTCACCATTTGTCTTAGAAGTAAAGTTCATTTTAACTTGTCTTTTTCCTCTGCTAGTTGTGACACCCACTGTCCCTATATCATTATAATTTAGCCAAGAAGCTGTAGACAGAGGTGGCTGGACAAAATTTCACACATTTCAGAAAGCTCTATTGAATTGCATGTGGACAGCCATTTTGAGAGCTTTTGCTTCCACTTTAGTTTAAACGTAATTTCTCATATGACCCAGAACCAACAAACTCTGGTTACCGTTAACTATAGTTATTTTCAAACATGCCCATTTCAAATCACAGTTTAAGCAAACCACAGTTAAGATTAACCACAGTTCTGGGTCCAGCCAACATGGTAAGCAATAGTTAATCAAAAGCAGAAGCAAAAATGTTCAAACTTCACCTCCAGCTACATGGGAGGTGGAAGAATTTCAGCCCCAGCTTCTCATTGCTTATTGACATAACACTAAACTATGGTTAGGATGACCTGTGTGTAGGGCAAACGAGTCCCAGTTAACAATCTGTTAGTACTTACCAATATGTTCTTTGACTTAGGTACGTCCTGCTTAAAGAGCGAAACATGCTTTTAACGTTGGAGCAAGAAGCAAAACGGCAGAGGCTGCCAATGCCAAGCCCAGAGCGATTAGATAAGGTAACATGATGCCGAGGTCACTGCTAGTGTTCAAAACTCCAGTTGTCCTGGGCGCATTTTGCGACAGGGAATTTCATTAGCGCAAGCAGTTTCTGAGATCTGGGTGCAGTACTGCGGCTAAGATTTCCGATTAAAACTACGAAGTGGAAGGAAAGAAGGACCTTTTTCTGCCTCCCCACTTCCAGCTACTCTCTGAAGACTGGAGAAGAGACCCTCTTAAGAATATTAGGGGGGTGGGTAGGGAAAGGACTAGACCATGTGAAAAATGAACATCATATTTCAGCTGCAGTTCATTCATTTTCAGCTTTGTATACTTGTTATAAAAAAGTGTTCCTAGACATTCTGTTGCTGCACCCATAACCTAGGTTTAAGGTGCCATTTAGCTCCTAGCTTTCATATCTCAGTTTCTAACCTGGACATGGGCAACCCTATTTTCTTTGTAAAGGAGGCAGCATTTGCAGTTCTTCCAAAGACTGTTTACAACTTTTACCTACATTTATGTAGGAGTCAGATAAGATGAAGCAAGTCTTTAAACTTTCCCTAATTCTATTAGGCTCCTTAAACTCTTGATTTGCCCTCACTCTCCTTGTATTTTGTCACCAACCCTGGCTGCGTGAGCCCTGGCAGCAAGGGAATGGGTGCAGGATTCTGAAGCAGTTTCCAGTCGAATTTTTTTCTGGTGCCAGCAGACATGGTAAAATGAAATAAGTCTGTAAGTAAGGGATACGAGTCACAGAAAGCCTGGTTGTAGTTTCTGGTGAAGAAGTTCCACCCAACAGCAGTGCTGCCCAGTGACAGTGTAATTATGGTTCAGGTTGTTAGAGCACAATCCATTGGCATGTTCTTGGCACAGACTCCAAGGAAAGGGATTTCTATATATTTCATAGTTCTCATTCCAATGGGCCTTTCAAAAACAGATTTCCCAGCAAAGTGTGGTTTAGTTTGTAGGGACAATCAAAACCTGTTACAGTGGTACCTCAGGCTACATACGCTTCAGGTTACAGACTCTGCTAACCCAGAAATAGTGCTTCAGGTTAAGAACTTTGCTTCAGGATGAGAACAGAAATCGTGCTCTGGTGGCGCGGCGGCAGCGGGAGCCCCCATTAGCTAAAGTGGTGTTTCAGGTTAAGGACAGTTTCAGGTTAAGAACGGACCTCCAGAACGAATTATGTACTTAACCTGAGGTACCACTGTATAAGACTGCTAAGCCCATGCACATTCTACAACAGAATGCCTTCCATGTTTTGGACTACAACTCCCATCAGCCGTGACAGCTGTGCTGACTGGGGTTGATGGGAGATGTAGGCCAAAACATCAGGAGAGCACCAACTTGGGAAAAGCTAGTGCCTGGAGTTCTCCTGGGCTCAGGCTCTTTCACGTGGATTGGTGGCTTTGGAGCTGAAACACTCTTTTTGTGGTCTTCAGGTGAAAGATTCCATGGACAGAATGGATCTTGTCATCCAGGAAAGGGAAGACGCTTTGCGGCTCTTACAAACCGGCCAGGAGAAAGAGAGACCAGGCGAATGGAGACATGACTTCTTGGGCCGCGTATTTTGGTACAAGAAAGAATTATTGGTGTTTATTGAGCAGCATTTGTGTGGTGGGGAAAGCAAATACCAAGCGTGGCTCCGTGTAGAGCAGACACTTTGTACAACATTCCACCTTCAATCCTTGGCCTCTCCATCTTTTGAGCTAGCAGAGTTAGGAAAGACTTCTACCCGAGACCTCAGGGAACCACTGCCAGTCCGAATAGACAGTACCACTGGGACATGCAAGGAAACACTAAACAATGTGGAATGCTCCTTTTCAGTGTCAGTCACCCGACAATTTTTTTCTAATCCCTCTGCCAGCAGATTTTTAAATACTTTTTCCTAACATCCAATTAGCATTCAGTGGCCGGTGAGCATGCTTAATCCTCACTGTGTTTTGGGTTGGGGAGGGGAGGCTTGTTTCCTTCCCTTTAGTTTTCCTTTTCCCCCTAAAGGGTTTTTTTTTTTTGTTTTTGTTTTTTTTTGTTTTGGTACAGTGGTGCCCCGCAAGACGAATGCCTCGCAAGACGGAAAACCCACTAGACGAAAGGGTTTTCCGTTTTTGAGTTGCTTCGCAGGCCGAATTTCCCTATGGGCTTGCTTTGCAAGACGAAAATGTCTTGCGAGTCTTGAGATTTTTTTTCCGCTCCCCCCCCCCTTTTTCTAAGCCGCTAAGCCGCTAATAGCCTTTTAGCAGCTAAGCCGATAAGCCTTTAATAGCCGCTAAACCGCTAATAGCGCTAAGCCGCTAATAGGGTTGCTTCGCAAGACGAAAAAACCGCTAGACGAAGACACTCGCGGAACGGATTAATTTCGTCTTGCGAGGCACCACTGTACTTCTATAAGCCTGGTACTTGGGAGCGACTCAAGACATTTTGCTGCCTGAGGCCAAGGACAAGAGAGATGGTGCCCCAGATCCCATGAGCAGATGCCAACTGGATTGCCAGTTGGATCGTACCTCCACACTGGGGCAGCATCCTTCATCACACCTGAGGGCAGCAGGCTAGCTTTTAAGGGCATACTTCATAGGATACCCAGTAATTGCCCGACTCTGCCTAATGGTAGGGCCAGCCCTGCTCATGCTGCTGCCTTGTGTGTAGTTACTGCCTCTCTGACCACATAAGAATCCACACCAAGAAATAAAAGGGTATGAGGACTGGGCTGAATGGACCAATGATGTGATGCAGTGCAAGGCAGTTTCATATATTCAAGCGAAACATATTGTGGAAAGAACTCTCCGTTTAAGTTAAGAGCGAACAAAAAAAAAGTCTCTTCTACCATTTGACGTTCTTAGCTTTCTAGCACATTTTCTCTGTAAGCTATTCAGAGCAGGAGGGAACTTTGAATGTATGGGGTGGAGTCTTCCATTATGTGCTTTGCAAGCAGGTCAGGGCTGCCTTTCATGTACAGCCAGTTCAGTTTCTAAAGGGCAGTGGAGGCTTGGGAAGACTGGTTATCACTTTGCCTTTCCTTAGTGAAAGTGGTGGCAAGGAGGGGTGAGTGCTGCTACTGCCCTAAAATAATTAACCTACCATTCTGCCTTTATCATCTGAAACCACCAAATAATTTGCTTAGATAAGAACTGATCAGGGCAGATCAGCTACTGATGGTGAACTAGGGACTGATGCTTGTGTTTGTGCTTTGATGTGTTTTAGCTAAAAATAGGCTCTAAAATGTTGTGTAATGTATCCTGAGATTTTGGGGTGGGAAGAGGCAGCTAGACATAATTATGAGCTTTTCAAAAGAATCTCATCTCACACATTCCCCTCGTCTGTCATTGGCAGGTACACTTTTAGGGAATGGCCAATCCCTTGGTACCTAAACGCAAAGCATAACAGAAAGCGGTTCTACTATTTGCCAAATGTCAATCGTTTTAACAGGTAAGACCAGCAGCCTTTAAAACCAGACCCTTTTATATGTCCTCTTACCATTTGTCCTGCTTTGCTGATTGTCTAGGAGAGCTACGAGATCGCCTTGCGCTACATGTGCCTGCTCGACCACTTCAATCGGCAGAATTGGCACCACTGCAGGTGTCACAGAGGTGTCTGCGTTTGTAAGAACATGTTTAGTGTGGCAGTGGCTATACTTTGGAACTGTTGAGCTCAAGCAGACACCTTCACTGTACTCTCTTGGGCACCTGCTAAAAACATTGTTGTATACACATTGTTGTATATAATTGTAAATAAAACAAACAACTTATACGCTAACTTGCACTGGTTGGTTTTCTCCTGCAGACTCCGACTTGAACAATATTTGCGCAATGAATCAAGGAAGAGGAATATGCAGAAGCAGAGAGAGATGCGTTTAAAGGAACAATTCCCTCATCTTGGTGCTCAGTCTCAAAGTTAACGTGAAGTTGGCAGTGTTTGATGGAATTGTGGCACAAACATTCCTCCTTCTGAACTGCTTGTAAATGGACAAAGAGTAAGGCAAAACATACCATGTGATGTAAAACAAGTTCATTTTCGCCCCTACCAAAATAAAGTTGTTTCATCTTTCTTGTAAAATATTTGTTCTTTCATGGACTTGTTTGTCAACAACCATTTAATTAACTGTTTTCTATGTCATGGCACATACCATATTTTTCGCCCTATAGGACGCACTTTTTCCCCTCCAAAAATGAAGGGGAAATGTGTGTGCGTCCTGTGGGGCGAACGCAGGCTTTCGCTGAAGCCTGGAGAGCGAGAGGAGCCAGTGTGCACCAACCCCTCTCGCTCTCCAGGCTTCAGGAAGCTATCCGCAAGCCTTGGGAGCCCGGCAGGAGTTCCCGCCAGGCTCCCAAGGCTTGCGGACAGCAGCCTGCAGCCCGAAACCCGGGGAGCGCAGCAAGGCACACCCCGGGCTTCGGGCAGCTCTCCGCAAGCCTTGGGAGCCTGGCGCGACTTCCCGCACTACAGCGCCGCGCTCCCCGGGCTTCGGATAGCAGCAAGCTCCAGGAGCGATGGCGAGGTTCCGCAACCTCGCCTTCGCTCCCGGACCCCCAGCCCCGAGGCTAAAAACGAATCCAGGCCAGCTAGCGGGATCCATCCCGCTCGCTGTCATGGCTTCTTTGCTCTTTGGGGCTCAGGGGGGAAATATATTTTTTTTCTTTCTTCCCCCCCCCCCCAAAAAAGTGCGCCCTATGGGCTGGTGCGCCCTATAGGGCGAAAAATACGGTAGTTTGTAGTTGCAGTCACAAAGAAACAGGTGTGCTCTAATTAAAATCCAGATTGGCTTTTGTATAAACCAGTTTCTGGTCCTCATGTTGAGTTTACTTAGCAATTATACTTAAAAGACAGGAAGGTTTCGGGGGTCATGTAGAGCTCTCTGGCCCATGAGATGATCAAAAGTTGCATAAATATGCACAATTTATGCAGCCGGGCTGGATTTGGTTCAGGTCTGTTAGTATTAACCCCAGTTTTTGATGCAAGTAGCATGGGCACCAGGGAAGCAAAAAGTTAAATGATTCCTGTATTCAAGGACCATCCCTCCAACTCACACAAATAGAACACTATTACTGCAGATCTAGCAAACCGTAGTATTAAAGGCAGGGATTAGTTCAACCAAGAACTGAGTACCATCCATTCTCCCCTCATTTAATGAGTTGTGTGAATGTAAAATAGAATTTCTCTGAAACAAACACAAAGGGACTCTAAGACAAACTAGAGGAATTTATTAAGGCCAACGTAACAAGGAAGACTAGTCTGAAAGTAGACACATTTCTCAGAAAGGCAGGAGATTACATCCACAGTTTATAGCTTCGTTTCCAGTGGGGGGACGGGAATTTTGCAGAAAATATATATCTATACAAAAATTATAAAAAGAGTTTGTATAAGAGTTATTGCATTTACAAAGGATGTGGGCATCCATCTGCTGTGACAGAATGATGTTGGCCTTTTAAAATACCTATGGTTTGTTAAAAATGGGAGATTGCAGAATGCACAAAAAAGTATACATTTCCTACAAAAGAGACACAAAACTTTGGATTCCTGAGTATGCTAAAGCTATCCAATATTAGAAGCGCTGGGAAAGGCAGCTGTCTTTTTTTATAATAAAAAAACCAGGTTTTTATGGGCATTTTCTTTCTACACATTGCTTCCCTCCTTCTTCATATTCTTGCTTGGAGATCCACATCTGCTGGAAGGTCCCCTGCAAGAGACAAAACCAAAGATGGTAGCCTTTTCTTCGAAAGGACAGTGCAGAGTATGAAACAGAAACCATAATGACAGGAAGCTGAAAAGAGCTATTGTTTTCATGTTGGACTTGTTGAATTCCTAGGTGTCCAAGTGGCCAGCTGGAGTCCCACAATATCCACAGGGAACCACATTGGTTATCACTGCTCTAAAGACGGCAAGCAAGGAGAAACAAGGTAGTTCAGGTCTGATCTTGTTCCTCAAGAAGGCGTTTTGAAATAATAATCATGCCTATAGTAGTTTCCAATGGGGAAATTGCTTTACTGTTCACACACACACACACACACACACACACATCCATCAGATTTCTCCCTATTAGCAAACTCTCCCCATTGGCGTTAAGTCTCACCCAAATCTTCTTGGGTAACCTTTTTGAGCAGCGCTGCTTCCCCACCAATCAAGCTTAATCCATCTACTAACCAAAGAAGCCAAAATGGAGCCACCAATCCAGGAACTAAACCTTCGCTCTACTGTTGTATTGTTCGCTATCAACTTCAGTCGCATGCTCTGAAATCAAAAGAGAAAAAAATATTTATTGTCATTTTAAATTGGCCTAGATCCAAAGGGGTATCTGAGGAATGCCCAAGCTACAGGCGTGTATATGCCTAGAAGCATTATCTTTCTCTTTGAACTGGTTGCAGTTCACTGGTCTCGTGTTTGGCAGGAGCACTGCTCCAATAGCCAAATACCTGCACACATTTAAGAAGTACAAGGAAAATGTTGGCTGTTTGGTAGCCACTCACCGGAGGTGTTTTCTGAGACAGTTCTCGATTTAGTCTGTCTGTAAAGCTCTGTAGTAGGGTGTTCCCTCCTGCTACAATCACACTCCCATAGAGACCCTGGAGAACAAAGGCAGGACTCATTATAATGGTATTTTTGCCTCTGTTGCCCTTCACAACACAGATATATATACTGAAAGAAACAAGTCACAACTTCACTCTGCTGATAAAACAGTGTAAGAAAAAATAACTAGCATGCTTAAGACCTGTGAGTGGTTCCAGTGCAGAAGACACAAGAAATGAACTTTCCCACTAGGTAAATTCTTCAAAGCTACATGGGAAGTCTAGATAATTCCATACTAAAACCCACAGTTTGGCAGATGGGAATACCTAATTCACCAGAAGCCTGAGAAATGAATCTAGCATGGACAACGTTCATGGACTTTCTACATTTGCTCATTCTTCTGGGCAAGCTGCTGACAGAGGTGGTGAAGATGACTGGGGGACAAAGCAACAATACAGAATGTGGGTATGCAGGGAATCAAGCTGTTGGACCATGAGGATGGCAACCCCAGCCCAGTTTAGTTTCTGCCATTTCATGGAAAACAGCACTACAGGGAATCCTACCTTCACATTTTACATTGTGGTCTTAGGCGCTCTTACTCAAAAGCGTATCTTATCTGTTGCAATGGGAGTGAGTTGCAATATACAGGGCTGCAATCCTCAAGAGAACAGGATCAGGCTGACCACCTGAGACATAGGAGGGCCACCTCATTGCCCATGAACCTACACACACGTTTAGATCATCAGAAGCCCTGCTCCCTATCCTACCAGCTGGCAAGAGTTATGGCCTGGGGCAGGGCCTTTCAGTAGTGGCACCCACAGGGCAGAGTAGTCTGCCCATTAGTCATTGCCTTTAGATGTCAGGTCAGAATGCCAGGGTGGTAACTAACCATCTGCCTGGGTCTGCTGCTTCTCTTTTTGAATGTTGTCGATTGGGATTTTGTTCATTTTCAGGTCCATTTAAATGTAGTAACTGATTGCTGGGGTTGCATGGGTGGAAAGGTAGGGTAAATCATTTCAAAACTACTAGAAACACAGACTTTGGCTCAGTGGTTAGAGCATATGTCTTGCACACAGCAGAACCTGGGTCCAAGCCCTGGTACCTTCCCTTTAAACGGTTCTGGTTATCTTTCTGGTCAGATGATAAACAAGCTTGGGCCACCTGGACAAATAGCCTGACATGGTATAAGGCAAATTTCTACGTTCCTAATGTATTATCAACACACACCAGCTAACATTTATGCAGTATGTTAGAGGATATGCAAAGAACGTCAACATTATCTTACACTAAGTCAGTGTGACCACCACTGCCTTGCAGATGGGAAGGGCTGAGATTGAAAGAGCAGTAGCTTCCCTAAGGTGACAAAGCAAGTTTGTTGCCAAGGCAAGACATTACACCAGCTCTCCCTTGAAGAATGCAAGCAGGCTTTTAACAGCATTGTGTGGAGCAGATCACTATTCAGGGCACTTTGAATTTTAGCTAAGGAAAGGGAATCACTCCCTGGTCTATTTTCTATTAAACCACCATGCCTAACTAATACCTACTGGCCTGATGTCGATATCACACATCCCGACACTTGTAGTGACCACATGGCTCACGCCAAGCATTGTGTTGCCAGATAAACCCTGGAGAGGGAAGAAAGAAAATGGCAAGTTAATGCTATTATAGTAGACTCAAATTGATAACAGTGTGATAGAATATGCCCTGTATTCGTTTTTTCCAGCCCCATAGACAGGAGGTGACGCGGGTGGTGCTGTAGGTTAAACCACAGGGCCTAGGACTTGCCGATCAGAAGGTCGGCGGTTCGAAGCCCTGTGACGGGGTGAGCTCCCATTGCTCGGTCCCTACTCCTGCCAACCTAGCAGTTTGAAAGCATGTCAAAGTGCAAGTAGATAAATAGGTACCGCTCCAGCGGGAAGGTAAACGGCGTTTCCGTGCGCTGCTCTGGTTCGCCAGAAGCGGCTTAGTCATGCTGGCCACATGACCTGGAAGCTGTATGCCCGCTCCGTCGGCCAGTAAAGCGAGATGAGCGCCGCAACCCCAGAGTCGGTCACGACTGGACCTAATGGTCAGGGGTCCCTTTACCTTTTAGACAGGAGGTACATTGGTTGAGGAGGGGGCTGTAGCTCTTGGGAATCCTCGCCTAGCCATATCTTCTCAGTGTGTGAGAGTTTGCCCATTTTTAAAAAAAATAGCACAAAGCCCATGAAATCCCTTGCACAAGCAGTGGGGAGAACAAACTGTGGCAAAATCTGAAAATGCTGTTGGGGAGGCCCAAATACCGTTAGCATGTACCTTACTGCCCATTCACTGAAATTGTTATAATAAAAATAAAATCTTTCTTCCCAACTTATTATCCAGTTTAGAACTGCTACTAAACTTGTTCAAATATAAGGCAAGAGTGGATCTTTCCTTTCAACAGGTAAGTCCCAGTCTGCTAACAATGGATTTTATCAGAGGGCAAGTCATAATAGTCTTGCATGTGGGTATTTCTGGGAAAGAGAAAGTCTTCATCAGAGAAGCACAATATATGACCCATCAAACCAACCCAGCCGACCATATACTGTATTTGCAATCCAGGCAGAAAGCAAAACAACAGAGGTTTATCAACCTCCCAATGGGCTGCAATACATGGCTGGTGAGCTGTGCTAGCTTGGTGGCCAACCAGTTCAGGTTGAGGATATGGGGGGAAATATACCACTTGTAGGAGAGGATGCTTCATGGTCTGTACTCATATAATGCAAGGATGGGGAACTGGATCCAGCTGGCAGACCAGATCCTTCCTGCCCCCATCCCACCTCCCCCAATCACCTGTTGATGACCTGGCACTATTATGGAATCAGGTGACAAGCTGAAAATGGCATCCATTTGCAATTTGTTTCAATACAATTTCAAAGTGATGGCAGCCATGCCTTCACCTGCCTCGCACCTGAAGTCACCTGCAATTTCAGAGGCGAGGCAGATGGACGGGACTTGGAGGAAATGGCCTCATGGGTCAAATTAGGATCCCTGCCAGAAACAATGTGGCCCAGAGACCAGAAGTCCCCCACCCCTGATGTAATGCGATGAGAAATGTAATGCAAGACACATTCTGGTTCATCTGAAGCTCCAAATACCCTGCTATTTCTTATCTTCCCCAAATCATTTAAAACAGTTAAAAAGATTTCAGGACATTTAACTTTACGGACTCCTATATACTTCCATAACGTTAGCTAGATGCTTGCACACAAAATGCAATCTCACATACTGTCCTACTTAGTTTTACCTTTACATTGGAAGGGTCAAACAAGCCTTCAGGAATTTTTAGCCGCTCAGCACCAAAGTCACAGTTGTAACCATTGGGGAATTCGTAATGTACCGTGGGCATCTGTGCAGCCACCCTAAAGGGCAGAAACAACTCGTTTTTAGAAGGTATTCAACCGTTGCCAGGTTTTCCTTTCCCACTTCTCATGCACAACACAGCAAATTGCATTTCTTACCAAATTTTTCTTGCAACAATCGCAGGAAACAGGGAACTGATAAAAGCCACCCAGAGATCTTTGTGGCATGGAAGGGATTAGAGCACGGGTGTCAAACACAAGGTCCGCGGGCCGAATCCGGCCCGCCAGACCTTGTTATGTGGCCCGTGTAGCCGCCGCCGGCTGCCAGCCTTCACCTTTTATTCTCGCTTTTTTTTTTTTGACACAAGAAAGCCGCTTCTTCAGCGCATGCGTGGCAGCCTACAAACCAGAGAACGTCTGCCCACTAGCGGCGCCGCGGCCCCCGATGAATTTGAGTTTGACACCCCTGGATTAGAGCAATGTCCCCATCCCATATCCAAACAATTCCCTTCCCCTCTCCCAAGATTTCCATGTTGCCCTTGTTTTTCTTTTTCTTCCTTGCTCTACAAGTTCTTTTCACAGTCTCATCCCTTCACCACTAAGAGACTCTGCCCAACAGTTTCACTAGCTATTAAAACTGGAACACTGGGAAGGAGGGGTTGGCCTGGCTGGCTAGCTTGCACCCCTTACACCTATTTAGCAACAAAACGTCCGAAATCTAAACCACTGGTATATCACAAGTGGACTTTTTATTTACTGCGCTTGCAATTGTTTAAGATAAAATCTATTTTGGAAAGAGAAGAAATGAACACTGAACCACTGACATATTACAAGTGAACTCTTTATTTATGGTGCTTGTAATTGTTTAAGATAAAAACCTATTTGGGAAATAAACCACTTTTGCCATTTTTATGGATGTTTATTGTTGGGTTTCCCACAAGCATCCGGTGGGCCACTATGAGAACAGGGTGCTTGACTAGACCATTAGCCTGATCCGACAGGTTATTCTTACATTATGTTTGTTTATGACATTTATATACCACCTTTTCTGCCAAGGATCTCAAGGTGGTGTACATGGTTCTCCTCCCCATTTCATCTGCACAACAACCCTTTGCAGTAGATTTGGCTGAGAGGCAGCAACTAGCTCAAGGTCACCCAGAGTGTTTCATGGCTGAGTGAGGATTTCAGACCCTGATCTCTCAGGTTCTAGTCCACCACTCTAAGGGGACACTGGCAGAGCTGTCAATGCGAACAACGTCCCCCATTCTTGATGCCAAGTTTGAACAGCTCTGCATGAGGTTGAAAAAGTACTTCTGTCTTTTTAAGAAAATGCTTGCTTGCTGGTTGTCTTTAAGCAGCTTTTACCTGCCCTAAATTGTTGTTATCCTCAGCTATGGTTAGTGAAAACAAGTCAGCTTCATAAACCATGGGTGGCACTCAACTAAGTTTCACTCACGAGTAGACCTACTGAAATTCATGAACCTGACTTAGCCATGACTATTAATTTCAATGCGTCTACTCTGAGAAAAACTTAGTTGAGTATCACCCTATGGTTTGAAATTGGTTTGTTTTCATAGCCAGAGTTAAGATTAACCACAGTTTGTCCAGTGTTGACAACATGTCAAGTTGCGGTTAATCAAAGACAGAACCAAAAGCTTCCAAATTCTTCCTTACACCCTGCTGGGGTGGCTTGTAGGAAAAAGTGCAAGCCCAGCAAGAGGAGAGGCTCATTCTTGTAACGCTAAACAATAATTTAGTATGATGTTCACAGGCTCAGGTTGGAAATCACCCAGTTATTTAAGTTAAAAATAAAAAGTTGAAAATAATTTTAAAAGAACATACTGTTCATCATACGTTGAATCAGACACTTGGAGGACAGAAGCCTGGAAGTCCTGAATCACACACTGTGGAGGAGAAAGTATTGCAAAGAAACAAGGATGAGGTTCCACGTTCCAAACACAAGAATATCAAAGAAAGGAGGAACTGCGGACCATACAAGAGAATCCTAGGCAGACAGAAACATTGACATATATCTGTAATATCTCAATGAGTTGAAGTAGATGACCCATGGAGAGTGGAGAGTCCCCAGAAGAATCTGTGAAACCTGGTTCAGAGTTCCAGAAGGACAAATCTTAGAAGGGAAATGTCTGCATTAGCTACAAATAAAATGCCATAGAGGTTTCTCTTCCTGCCCCCACAACAGTACTTCCATCTTCAAAATTAAGGCTATTCTTAGCAGAACCTGTAAGGTATACTAAAGCAGACCTAAGAAATGAAGGCTACCTGCCCCTGGAATAAACCTTCACAGTAATCAAGCTGTGATACCTGAAATTCTCAAGTTTCCACGTTGCTATATGTGGGAACTCCAGGATGACAGACATTTTTAATTTAGAACAATAATGACCTAAAACAAGAGATTCCATCACACCATCATACATAGGCTTTATTATATTACTGCTTTCATCTTTTCTCTCCCAGTGACCTGCATACTACGTACAGTTCCAGTTGCCTGACCTCAAAAAATATATTGTTGGGTTGGAAAAGGTTCAGAAAAGGACAACCCAAATGATCAAGAGGGTGGAGCAACTCCCCAAAGAAGAAAGGTTACAACATTCCGGACTTTTTAGTTTAGAGAAAAGAGGAGTGTCGACACAATAGAAGTTTATAAAATTATGGCATGGGGAAGTGGCTAGAGAAAAGTTTTTTCTCCCTCTCTTGTAACACTAAAACTTGGGAACATCTAATGAAGCTGAATTTTGGAAGATAAAATTCAGAACAGATAAAAGAAAGCACTTCTTCATGCAGTGCATTATTAGACTACGGAACTCATTCCCACCAGAGGCAGTGAAGATCACCAACATGGATTGCTTTAAAAGTAGACAGGTTCATGGAGGATAAAGCCATCAATGGCTACTAGTCATGCTGGCTATGCTCTGTCTACATGGTATGCTTCTGAAAACCTATTGCTGGAAACCGCCAGAGGAGAGAGTGCTCTTGTGCTTGGGTTTCCCACAGGCATCTGGTCGGCCACTGCAAGAACAGGCTCTCAGGTTTTTCTGCCATTCCCCATATTTTTTTAAGCACTGTTCCTGATTATGCAAACCTAACACATTCACGAGTGCTAGTTATATCTGAGTTTATTTAGGGCAGGGTAGGGACCCTATGCTCCCCTACCCACCCAGCCCCAATATTTTGTTTGACAACTCCCATCATCACCAACCACTGGCCAGCTGGCTGCAGCTGATGAAAGGTAGAAGTCTTGAGAAGACCTGGAGGGCCACAGATCCCGCATCCCAAGTTACCTCTAGCAGAGGAATCCTATCTAGCGCAAGGCATACTTCCCAAATTATTTTCTTTGTAGACCTGGAAGAACATACTCACATTGCACATGTAATTGTGCCACGTTCTTGTGACTTGTGGCAATTTCTCTTTTCGCTTCCAGTTTGCTGGAGAGCCCTCACGAACTGCTTCCTGCAATAGCAAATCAGGGTCAGTTCAAAGTGTCCACATTCCAATACATTATTTAACAAAGGCCAAGAATACAGGGCCTGTATTCCAACTTCTTTGTTGTCTTTCCTCAAATCCACAGGATGAGCCTTGGTTTCATGAGTTTTTTCAACCAGTCAAGAAGGGAGCTGTCCCTCCAATTCTCACCTTCCCGTTTTGGCAAGCACTAATCAGCCCTGTCCTTAGGTGCTACCTGATATTTACTTCCAACACCCTTTCGGCCCTCCTGATTAGAGAAATTTCCCTTCTCCTGTCTATCTTTCCTTCCTTCCCTCTCTGTTACTCTAGGGAAATAAAAGGGGGTACAATTTGTTGTGAAAGGTGTTTAAGTACAGTGTCTGGTTGAACCTTTGTTCTGTTGATTCTCTCTAAGTTGTCTCATCTTGAGTATCTAGAGAACCCTTGTCGATTTCATTTCCAATGGGACCCACAAGACTTTCTTCAATTTTACCATACAAGTTTCTAAATTGGATTCAGGCTTTTGGCTTCCTACTGATTACGCAAGGGATATTATTCCATATGCCAGATTGTTTGATTTTATGCTACGGGCCTTGATCTGAGAGAGACAAGGGGGAACTGTCTGGAGCTCACTCAGCTGGCAGTGCCTCTCCTTGCAACTTTTGGTGACAGTTGTAAAGGATAAAGGAGCGTGGTTCAGCAGCCTGTCTTGCAGGTTTGTTGGGTGATTCCTTCACAGCTGCCTTACCAAAAGTCAGACCAATTGTCCACCTAGCACCATCAGAACCAAGTGGTGGACATATTATACCCAGCTCTCTAGGAAGTCATTCCAGCCCTAAAATCTAAGGGGTGGCTCACACGCACTTGAGCATTCCTCACTGAACATTTCTCAGCCAAATGATCTGAAGGCCCTGTATAAATGAGAGATGAACACGCATGCAAACTGTTGTTGGGGCCCTACAAGGCAGAAGTTCAAGAGGTGCTCCCAATTTCAAAACACTTGAGAAATACTGCCTGGACTGGAGGAGAGGCTCACAAAAGCAGCCAACATACACACAAAGCAAACAAGCCCTTTCATTCTTTCCAGTATAATCTATTACCTTTGATGCGATCATATATGGAGGAATTATCTCCACGTTCATTTCCTGAAACAGTTCTCTGCACTGCATCGTAATGAAATCCCCAGCCAGAGGTGATTTCACAATGCCTGCAAATACAGAACACAAAGTGGGACACCTAGAAAAGGTTTCAATCTTCCAATATCACATTTTGCATGCAGGAAGTCACCCCCACCCCAAATAAACAGAGCTATTTCCTTAGTAGCAGGCCAACTGACTTCTGCGTTCTCAGGGACCGTTGTTCTCCAGTCCAATAGCAGACTGGAAGAAAATTCTGCTACACAAACCACCCCCTTCCCCTTCAAGAGCGATCAGGCTGCAGAATAAAGATGGTAAGCGACTTCACAGAGCAGATGCACTCGGACTCAGCCAAGGGATGAAATACAAAATGCAAATGAAAGATGTTACATTAAAGCGTAAGGTATCTCTGTTTTGTAAAGTTTGAAGACATTGGTCTTATGACAATAACAGGAGGGAGGGTTTTTTAAAAAAGAGTGGACTGTGGCCTCTAGTCCAGCACTCTTTCTTTAGCAGAGGCACTTAGATGCCCCTGCAAAAGCACACAAACAAAACATGAAAAAGATGACCCTTTTCTGGCCTTGTTCCATTAGCGTCTGGTACTCAAGAGTATACCAATTCTGAATATGAAGGTTGAATTTTGGCTTATATTGATACCTTAAAAATAAGCTCATGAAGGATAGATCTATCTAAGCCGGTAACCCATCACTACATCTTTATGGGGGAAATTCCTCAAGGGATTTAATCCTGTGTTGGGCAAAGGAATCCTCTCGTCTGTTTGTCCTGAACCTCACTTATTAACGGGGCAGCCAAGATTTCTACCAACTCCTCTGGAAGAATGCTTACCTTGCTGGAGCACGTATCCATCATGCACTGGGATGGCAGTGGTGTGGGTTGCTCCACTATCCAGGATCAAGCCTGTGGATCTGCCATTAGCAAAGCTAGTTGGAAGGGTTAAGGAAGACAATGGGATTTGGGCACAACATAAACACAAATGGCACTGCAGTTCATTTTGCTCTTGGACCTGATAGGGCACTTCCTTTCTTGTCAAAATTACATGCAGCTTTTGGGGAAGGCAGCTAAGAAAAATATATACCTACACTATGGTTGCAATTCTATCCATACTTGCTGGGGTGTAAGCTCTACCGAACTCAGTGGGGGGACCTGCTTCTAAAGAAATATGCATAGGATTGAGCTGCATTATTGCTTGAAACTCAAACACCAATCTCCAGTTCCTGAAAGGATTATATCATTTAATTCTTACACCATCTGAATGGGCAATTTATTCCTCCTGTTGAGTTTTATTCATTCATACATACATACACACATAATAATAATAATAATAATAATAATAATAATAATAATAATAATTTATTTGTACCCCACCCATCTGGCTGGGTTTCCCCAGACACTCTGGGCGGCTTCCACAGAGACCAAAAATACACCAAAATGTCACACATTAAAAACTTCCCTGAACAGGGCTGCCTTAAGATGTCTTCTGAATGTCAGGTAGTTGTTTATCGCTTTGACATCTGATGAGATGATACCATAGTTTACACCCTACCATACCATACCCTGCCATTCAAGAAGGCTTTCTCCAGGCAAAATAAAAGCTTTAAAAGCATGCTTATTATAGGAACCTTTTCACTGAGAAGCAGGGTAAAAATAATTTCAATAAGCAATACTAAGCAGCTTAGTATATACAAAGTTAATTCAGACCTTAGGGTCTTTTATTTCTGTCTGGAGAATGAATTTGGCAAGGCTGAAATCCAACGGGGTTGCTCAGCTGATTGTATGTCTTTCAACAGCAGAACAGAGAGGGAAGGGTCTTTTAATATCCCCCCTCCTCCCAATATACTCCAGAGGATTGAGGTAATCACTGGAAATCGCTTCCCTTCCAGCTGACAGAAGCCTTAATATCAGCCGAGAGATAACTTTGGTTACAACCCAATAAATATAACCAACCCATCTTTGAGACTAGCACAGTGACAACACCTTGGTTTAAATGTTAAAAACAGTACCATATTTTTCCGTCTATAAGACACCCCCATGTGTAAGACACCCCCATGTATATTTTTGGGGAATCCAATTTAAGAAAATGGGGGAGGATGGCCCCTGTGTATAAGACACCCCCAAATTTTGGACATTACTTTTTAGGGGGGGAACCTAGTCTTATACACAGAAAAATATGTTATGTTTGTTTTTTTCTATAAAAGTGCAAAAAGCTCGAATGATGTCCACTTATTCATTAACATGTTTGGGATACGCTGTGAGAACTGCAGTTTTGCACAAGAAGAAAGCAGGGATATTGTAATGTTCAAACATCAGCTCTGTCAATTTCTCACGCTTGGCTCTGGTGTTCCACTACAAGAGTACAAAGATAAAAAAACAAATTCACCTATAACTTGAGCAGAAATATGTCACACTCAGAACAGGATGTTTAAATGTTCACAGTGCAATAATATGTCAGGCAGGAAAGTGAGTTACTTCCCTATGTACAAATCAGTGGGCAGGTTCATGCAGAAGCATCACTTGAGCCTAATGCAGACAAAATATCAGCTTCCTGCAAACTATGGCTTGAAATTGGAACCTGATGCTATCTCTGCATTTTCTCTCAAGTGACTTCCTTCCCAGAGTAGACCACGTCTCATATTATATGTGCATCAATATAGCATCTGAGCCATAAATCACAAGCTAAAACTATAGTTTACAGTGGCTTTTCAAACCATAGTTAAAAGGGAAGAAACAAGCTAAGAGTAGGAAGGCAACAGGAAGAAATCACTTGAGACAGGAAGGGCTTGTCTACACTGAGTTTACTTTGTGCTCGCAGCTGTCTGTGTCCGCATTTAATTTGAATAATCCACATGACATAACCCTTAAATAACCCCTGTCTTGATGTTTTCCCCCTGCACATTTAGGTTTACAGGGATAATCCAAAAAGTTGTGAGAAATCAGGCTCCAAACCTCTCCACTTGGGGATGCAGACTACTTGCTTTGGTGTTTGGGGTGGGTAGATAGATCATCCCTTTCTGCTACTCCCCTTTCCATGCCCACAACTTCCTCAGTGCTGACATTTCTTCTCTGGCAGTGCTCATAACCATTTCTAGCATGTCCATACAGGCAATCTAGTCACAGATATTACAGTTCATCTTGATAGGTTCTTTTACCAAGTCCTGGTTTTTTAGTTATCTGCTCTTCCCCCTTCCACCCCCAAGTTTGCAAGCTTCACAACAGTCAAACTGCCTTCTATGCTTCAAAATTTGATGGGCTATTTCAAGGAAAGAAACTGGGCTTTTACTCACTGGCGCTTCAGACATTAGAACGGGATGCAAAGCAGCTTCAGATTTAATGTGCATCTTGTAGGTGTGATCCAAAATGGCTTGGAAGCTGTCCCAGTCCTCAACTGTAACAACATAAAAATAAATTAAATCTGCTGCTTTTGCTGGAGGAGCTGCTCTAGCTTAGGCATGTATGCAACGTGAAGCACATTATCAGTGCAAGGCTGAGCATGTGGACAGTATAGGAGTCAGGAAGGAGAATGAGGGATCCTAGTCACGCTTCCATCCTTGCACCAGTGAAATCCTGTATCTAAAGAATCAAAGTACACAGCATTCAAGCCAATCTCACAGCCCTAAGAGATTAAAGGATTCTAACTATACTTCACTGTAAGCACTGGTGCAGGAATAACCCTATGAAGGCAACTGTACAATCAGATTATTTAAAAATGTACAAGACAATCTCCTTGCTAATTGACAACAGTTCACTTTCAAAGCAATACTGGTCCTCTGCAGACACAAGACTTAGCGATGGTTTGTATTCCTTACAGGGAACCATGGCTTGGTTTAGTGTTATGTGCAAACCAGACAGCTGGCTGGATGTGAAACTAATATGAAGAGGGTTTGCAAACAATGTTTGCATTATACATGATTAAGCAATACATCCATATTTTTTTTAAAAATGCCATGGATCAAGGAAGGATCTCCAACTCTCCAGATGTTCTACCTTCAGTGTCCCATTGGTGCCTTTTTGAACATGGTTATTTGGAGAATGTCCTAATCAAGCACACTTGGCGACTGTCTTTCCAAATAAGTAGAATATTTGAAGAAAAGGGAGCATAGATAAACCTTGACAGGACAGGGGCATGTTTTTCAAAACACACTGCCATTTAAGCAGTTATATTCTTCCCATAACCAGCTTTACAAACTAAACAGGAAAACCTATTTCAAAACAGGTCAACATAAGTTAAAGGGAATATCCACAGCTTTTGAGTAGATCTAGAAAACTTTAAACACTTGGCCCAAAAACCACCAGAATAAACTTCTTTTCAACTCCAGATCAAACATTCTCACAAAGCAGGACAATGCCATTTTGTGAGTAAAAAGGTTAATGCTTAATGATGTGTCTGAAATCAATACTCAAGATTTAAGAAAAAAGGAAAGGAAAATGCAAAGCACCATACTCATTCCATTTTTCAAAGGTAAAATGGCTTCCATGTTCTCCCTTGGAACTCGCAATGCATTAGTGTCTATGTAGTAAGTTGGGCCTCCTTGTTTGCTTTTGTCACCATCAATTTCCATCATGGAGCTCCCATCATCCCGGTCCAGTACCACGCCAATTGCAGTGGGAAAATCAACCTACAATGGGAGATTTGGAAACAAAATGCACCAAGTTACATAAAGATTGTCTGTTTGCATCAAGCCTAACTAATGGGGAAGAGAAAGAAAGTTATCACTACTGCCTCAAATTCCTACAGCATGTTAGGCATGCCATGCCTCTATTCTGTATGGGGCGTGAAAGGATTCGCTTTCACCGAGGCACCGAGGCAAAAATGAAAATATAGCTACACTCTCTGATACATCAGGCTTTCCATAATCTGGCTCACTTATATAATGTGCACATTATTTAAACACTTTTCAAGAAAGATTTCACACTACACGTGGAGTGGGGGGAAATCTCTGGAACTGCATTTATAGTTGAACTGCTTATAAGGCTCTGTCTTGCACTTGCCCAAATCCCAGAATATTTTACTACAAGAACTAGCAAATCTAGTTGAGAAGGTGACATGGCCAAAACACGTCACTGAGATTCACAACCAAGCAGAGATTTAAACATGGGACTCCCACATTTATCCATCCCTCTGGCCCAGGCCATCTCACTATAACATTCCCCTCAAACCAGGACAACCTCTTATTTAAAAAAAACTCTGACCTTCGTCAATATATTCCCCTAAACATACGGCCAAAACATGAAGTAATCGGTGGAAGAATTTCTAGGGAGCCACGTCAAATGAAGACTACTTATTCAAAGGAGAGGAAAAGGCAAAAACTACTTAGGTGAAAATTGCAGCGCAGGTAAAAGAAAGATGATAGGTAGTAAGTGTGTTAGGGGAGAGAAATGTCGATATTTTCACCCCCTCCCATTGCGAAAATCTCCTGATATGATGTTTTCAGAAAGGAGGGGGCGGAAACTGCTCTTCGCTTCTTCCGCTCCTGCCTGACTCTGTGGGGAGTCTGTGTGTTATCTATGTAGAGATTAGATGGCTGAGTGAGAGCTGTAACACTCATGCAAGCCAGTAGCTCTTTAGTTTTTTAGTTTGCAGTAGCTATTAGAAATAAAAGAAGTTATACTTCACAGCTTTCTTCCGTGTTGTTTATACTCTGCTGAGTTTGGTGCTCACAATGGACAGTTGTGGGTCCAGGGCACTTAGACCTGCTTTCCAGGAGTGGAAGGTCTTTGGAAGTGCTTCAGTTTGCCTAGCCCAGTTGGGGCAGAACCGGTTGTTGAGCCCAGTCGTTGGCATCGGCTCAAAGGCGTACTGACAAGAAATGGCTCAGTGTTTTGCAGAAACATTATATCAAGAAATTGCAAATGCTACTATTTAAAATGCAGAGGGGAACGAAACAGCTACTGATGATAACCTCTCCTGACCAGAGGTTCCAGCAGACGTTTGTACATGATCTTCATATACCATATTTTATTGGACTATCATTTATTGCTCAAGGGATTTCAAGTCCCTTGCTATAGCATACAGAGTTATCCCACAATATATACAAGTATTTCAGGAGTTCTTTGCATAGGAAACCCAAATTCTATTGATCAATCTAACGTCTCACTTCTGCTCTCACCTTTGGGCAGTCCTCCCCAGCATAGCCAGCTCTGACTGTATAGGAGCCGATGTCAAACACCAGAGCACCAACTTCATCTGCAAACACAAATTCACAATTTGTGTCGATTTGAAAACAAACCCTTATCAGACATGTGTTTATTGGTAAAAGGCTAAATCTCAAGACATCAAAAGGGAAGAACAACAGTGGGACAACTAGAAAAGGTTTCAATCTTCCAATATCACATTGGGAAAGCAGGTTGCTTCCAAAAATCTACACACAGAATTAATCTGCAAAGTGTGCCATAGGCTATTGTAGATTAGGACCACCTTGAAGCTTTTAAAGGCACACAGTGCTCTTTCTACAGATCCCTTTGTGATAAATATATCCTTCTAACATGGCAACAACTATTACCTATGAGATGGCCTGCAACGATATGTGCCACTCGACTACTGTGGTCAGTAGAACTGGCACTTTTATAGGTGCCACATAGTATCCGCACGGCATCTGTAAGAACTTGGGTTGTTTAGTTTGGTGGCACAAACACTTTGGAACTCCCTGCTTATTGATATCAGGCAGACACCATCACTGCATTCTTCTTGGCGTCTGCTGAAAACATTCTTATTTAGACGAGCCTACCCAGGTGTTCACAAAGTTTGTATGAGTTTTAATTCGTTTCAGTCTATTCTACTGTGGCTTTTTACTTTCTGTTATACTAGATTCAAGTAGGTAGCCGTATTGGTCTGCCGTAGTCAAAATAAATTAAAACAATTCTTTCATAAGATAGTTAAAAAGACTCTTCTTAAAAACCTAAAAACACCCTTAAAAGAATCAAGTCTTCAAAAAAGTTATATGATCTAAGAAAGACTTTAAAAGAATCCTTCCAAAAGAATTTAAAAATTATAAGGTAGCACCGTAGAGACCAACTGAGTATTTTTAGGTATAAGCTTTTGTGTGCATGCACACTTCTTCAGATACACTGAAACAGAAGTCATGTTTTAATGGTTCTGAAAGGTTGTGGGTGAGCTGAGTTTGCTTGGACTCTGGCTGAGAGAACCTGGAAGCTGCAAAGGAGGGGTATGCCAGAAGGAAAATGAATTGACATTGATTTATATATGACTTTGTATTAAATGCAACATCCTTATATGCAACTCTGTATTTTTGTTTAAGCTGTCTGCTGTTGCCACAACTTATAATATAGTGAGTGGTAGAAAAATTAAATAATCAAGTGGTTTCTTGGTTAAGTGACCATTTTATTGTTTTTCTCTTTTTTGGTAAACCGCTTTGAGGGTGTGGGTTGTTGTTTTTTTAACCAATTTCATGAACTGAATATTAACACAGGAATCCCTTTTTTAATATGAAGGCAGACCTGCCAAAAGCTTTTCTCCTTCAGGCAAACCTACCCAGATTCATAATGGCTATCTAAGCCCGTTTCTTTTTTTAAAAAAAAAAAAAACCGTTCACATATTTCCTACATTCAGATTTAAAATAATAATAATAATAATAACGTTCGGTTTCTTCAAAAGTTTTTAAACTTGGTAAAGTAAATAAATATAGAGGAAAGCTTTCCCCCTCGGCGCGTCAAGGTGCGGGGAGAAGCTGCGCAGGACGAAATTCTCCCTCCCGTCGCCCCGCCTTAAAGGCACAGGCGCCTTTTCAGGCTCTGCCGGACCGGCGGCGGCGGCAGCCTCCCCCTCCCCGCGGGGAAGAGAGCGAGTCGGTAGAACGCGCAGCCCTAACGGTCCAAGGGGGGGAGGGGGAGAGAGAGAGAAAGAGGAGCGGCCCCTCCCACTCTGAGGAGAACTTACCCCCTCCGTACACGCCGCCGCTCATGTCCGCTCCGGACTTCACCGCTCGGCCGGCAGCGACACACACAAAAATCACCTCAGGCCGCCCCCGACTCTCTCAAACACAAGCTCCGCCCGCTCGACCTACCTTGCTTACTGCCGCCCTCCTGCTAAAGCCAGCCAATAGGGGAGCGAGGCCCTTTCCTCAGCCGGCCTATCGCGGCACAGAAGGCGCCCTCGAGCCAATCGCCGGCGCTCGCCTTCCTTGGGCGGGACCGCCGCTGCGTTTCTTCCCCTTGGCTTCCGTCCAGGCGGTTGTAAGGTCGCGAGGGGAGTCTCGGAGTGTGGCTGCGGGGAAAGAAACCACGCTCGGTTGCAGATTTTCAAAGAGGGGCGGGGCGGAAGGCGGAGCTGGGAGGAGGATGAGCTATTAGCGCAGGGGTTGGAGCTGGTCACGTGATTGGCGGCAGCCGGCTTCTTTGATTGGCAGCAGCCAGGTTGCTTTAGCGGGCAGCAAGTCCCAATATGTTCAGTGGGACTTTTGTTTGGTCGTGTCCGACTCTTCGTGACCCCCTGGACCAGAGCACGCCAGGAACTCCTGTCTTCCGCTGCCTCCCGCAGTTTGGTCAGACTCATGTTTGTAGCTTCGAGAACACTATCCAACCATCTCATCCTCTGTCGTCCCCTTCTCCTTGTGCCCTCCATCTTTCCCAACATCAGGGTCTTTTCCAGGGAGTCTTCTCTTCTCATGAGGTGGTCAAAGCATTGGAGCCTCAGCCTCAGGATCTGTCCTTCCAGTGAGCACTCAGGGCTGATTTCCTTCAGAATGGATAGGTTTGATCTTCTTGCAGTCCATGGGACTCTCAAGAGTCTCCTCCAGCACCATAATTCAAAAGCATCCATTCTTCGGCGATCAGCCTTCTTGATGGTCCATCTCTCACTTCCATACATCACTACTGGGAAAACCATAGCTTTAACTATACGGACCTTTGTTGGCAAGGTGCTTTTTAAGATGCTGTCTAGGTTTGTCATTGCTTTTCTCCCAAGAAGCAGGCGTCTTTTAATTTCGTGACTGCAGTCACCATCTGCAGTGATCATGGAGCCCAAGAATGTAAAATCTCTCACTGCCTCCATTTCTTCCCCTTCTATTTGCCAGGAGGTGATGGGACCAGTAGCCATGATCTTCGTTTTTTCGATGTTGCGCTTCAGACCATATTTTGTGCTCTTCTCTTTCACCCTCATTAATAAATTTAATAATAATAATAAATTTTATTTATATCCCGCCCTCCCCAGCCGAAGCCGGGCTCAGGGCGACTAACAACAATAAAACAGTACAAAAGTATAGCACAACAACACTCTAAAATCATTCATTATAAAATTAATTAATTCAAGCCACTGGCAACCACTGGGCCAGAGCTCCACGAAGACTGCCGAGGGAGGGAGTCAGGCTGTGCCCTGGCCAAAGGCCTGGTGGAACAGCTCTGTCTTGCAGGCCCTGCGGAAAGATGTCAAGTCCCGCAGGGCCCTGGTCTCTTGTGACAGAGTGTTCCACCAGATCGGAGCCACAGCCGAAAAAGCCCTGGCTCTAGTTGAGGCCAGCCTAACTTCTCTGTGGCCTGGGACCTTCAAGATGTTTTTATTTGAAGACCGTAAGTTTCTCTGTGGGGCATACCAGGAGAGGCGGTCCCGTAGGTACGAGGGTCCTAGGCCGTATAGGGCTTTCAAGGTTAAAACCAGCACCTTAAACTTGATCTTGTACTCCACTGGGAGCCAGTGCAGCTGGTATAGCACCGGGTGAATGTGATCTCGCAGCAAAGACCCTGTAAGGAGTCTCGCTGCAGCATTCTGCACCCGCTGGAGTTTCTGGGTCAGTCTCAAGGGCAGCCCCACGTAGAGCGAGTTACAATAATCCAGTCTGGAGGTGACCGTCGCGTGGATCACAGTGGCTAGGTCAGGGCGAGAGAGGTAAGGAGTCAACTGCTTAGCTTGGCAGAGATGGAAAAATGCCGCCTTTGTTGTAGCTGCAATCTGCGCCTCCATGGAAAGGGAGGTGTCGAAGATTACACCCAAACTCTTAACGGACGGTGCTGGCACTAATTGCGCCCCCGCAAGAGATGGGATCTTTAATTCCTTTAATTCCTCCTCACTTTCTGCCATCGACTTTACTCCCAGGTAACTACCTAGGATTACATACTTTGCAGTGGAAGCCTGTGCAAATCAGAGGGTCTTTTTCGGGCCACTTGATAATTTTTCTGCCCGTTGCAGCAATTGCAAATGTGCTCCATGACTTGCTGGAAAATCTATCACGTATTATGGATTGTATTTTATTGTTATATATTGTTATATCCATACCGCCCTTCATCCGAGGACTACAGAGCTGTTTAGTTATAAAAACACAAAATAATAACAGACAACACAATCACACTGCCACAAACTAACATACCACCCAGTTTAAAAGGCCATAGATTGCTTAATTAGCCAAAGGCTTGGAGGAAGAGGAATGTTCCCGTATTTATTTATTTTTACAAGAAGGAATAAAGGAAGTAATTAAAAGTCAATGTGAATATTTAATACAGTGGATGTGCCCACCTTCCCAATTCAATCACAAATCCACAGCTGATACTGTTTTTATTATTATTTATCACTGGCTTTATTAACGGCCTTCTATATAACTGCCTCAAGGCGACTTACACTAAAAAAGTAAATGGAAAGCGTTTTTAAAAAGGGCAGCTGAGTTTGAAGCCACACGCGCCGCCTCAACGAAGTCAAAGCGGCGGACTCCTGGTTAAAATAAAAGGGGTGGCAGTTCCACTCTCCATCCAGCAGGGGCCGCTGCCGTTCCCTCCCTCGTTCCATCTTCATATTACCTCTCAACGTCACTTTCAAGAAAGGAAGAAAAGAACTCCCTCGTCAAGAGGAAATGACGTAAGACTGCATCCGCTTCCTGGTTTGAACACGTGCGGGCGTTCTCTTCCGCACACAGTGTGCGCGATGGCGGCGGCGTCTTCTGTGGAGGCGACCAAACCAACGGCCACCCTGGCGGCTCCCCCTCTCCTTTCCCTGGACCCGGAGAGGCAGAAGGAGTTCCAGGCCAAGGTGCACCGCGTACGCAAGGCGGCTGCCCAGGTGAGAGCGAAAAGAGGAGAATAATAATAATAATAATAATAATAATAATGATTTTTTGTTTATACTCCGCCCTCCCCAGCCAAGACCGGGCTCAGAAGCAGGGATCTGGTGTCCAGGTGCATCAGTTTTGGGCTACAACGACTTCCATCTGCCCCAGCCTGTGGCCCCCTTGTGGCCATGCTGAGACCCTAGATTTCTCCACTTCTTTCCTAGGAGTAGCTGTCAGACGTGCGTGTGGTAGAAACTCCATGGAGTTGGACAGAAGCTAGAGCAGCTAGGGCTGATGGGAGTTGTACTTCAACAACATCTGGGGACCCACAGGTTGAGAAAGGCTGAGCTAGAGTTTCGCTGCTCGGAAGGTGGAGCTTCCTGTTGCTTTTGACGCGACTCTTTTATTTTTCTCCTCTGGAGCATTAGGCATCATGTTACCCATTTGAAAAAGTGTGGGGAGGCCACTTTTTAATCATAACTGTTTCCGTGGTGATGGAAGCCTCTTTCATATGTTGCTTCAGTACCACAGAAATAATTTACAACACTCCTATTATTTTTATTATTCGTTAAGTTTCTATATCACCCTTCATATGAGGTTTACAATATAAAAACACAAAAATGCATGATGTAGTAATGAGCAAAAACAATAACGTGACTGAGTGGTGCTTGGACAAAAATAAACGATCCTACTTGTCCGCCATACATAACTACATAAACCACATGTCAGCACTCATACATAAGTATATAAACCACATGTCCAAAATAGTACAGGAGAACAATCCTGAAGCCATTTTGACTGTCCCTGGCAAGCCAGTTCCTACACCATTGCAATGCCATATGGTAAAAATTAAGAATTTGTGGAGTAGCAGCTAAGCTTGCGTCATGCTATTTTATGTATTATCTGAGTGTGAACTCCTAATGGTTCTGTGTGTGTTTCCTTGAGAGCAGGCAATAGAAACTGATGTTGAAAGGCTTTTGAAAAATATTGATGCTTAACAGTGCCAATGTTCAGGATTCTGTGAGGAGGCAGCAGCATTTACCAACCCAGCGCATTTAAGATTATATACACACACTGTGCATCTGCAACTGTCATCATGCAGATTTGATGTTTTATTCATTTATTACTTATATATCATGTTTTTCTAGCATTGTGGAGTTCAAAGCAGCCGGCTCAGATGGTCTCCTATTTGGGCACTGCTCCCACCTGCTTAACTTTAGCAAGGCTGCTGCATTTTGTAGTTTCAGGCTGAACTCCAGGGAATGTTTTTGTCTCCCCGCCACCATGTCTCTGCAACTGCTCTGCACAGGGAGATCACCAGAGATAATGAACCAATGCGCACGTGGGTGTATTTTGAAATCTTAATTAATTCCTTCATATATATTACAGAATCAGAAGCTGACACCTGGTGTCATTTACTTGGGCCATATCCCAAAGGGTCTTTCTGAACCACAACTTAAAGAATACTTTGATCAGTTTGGGACAGTTACAAGACTTCGACTTTCAAGGAGTAAAAAGGTAACATTGGGAGGGGAATTATATCTTGTTCTTCTTTCTCCTTAATAAGGTAGAACACTATAAACACCGCAAAAGATCAACATCCAGCTCACAGCACCCTGAAGAGCTAGGAGGGCACAAAAACTTAAATAGAAAAGTTTGAACTACCCTCCATGCAGTGAAGGATTTCTGATGGGAGGGCTGCCATAGAAAAGATCCTCTGGTGTGTTGTTACTTTTCCATATATTCTTAGGGGTAACACTTCTTAAAAGGCTTCAATTAAATTCTTCCCCCTTCAACCAGGCTCTATCACTCCTTACAGCGGGCAGTTGTAGTTTATGGAGTAATTCATGTTGGCCATCAGAACAATATCAATGTATATTTATTTATTGAATTTATATACCACCCTATACCCGGAGGTCTCAGGGCAGTTCACAGAGTATATAATTTAACATGTAGGCTCTCTGTGGTCATTAAATTAAACCAATGGGTGTGTCTGCATATTTTTCTTACTTTAAGAAATATGTTTGCAGTAAAAGTAGTTCATTGGGCTCAGAAATCCTTTTTCTCTAAGATCCTTCAACCAAGAAAAAATAGTGTTCAGCACGGATACATTTTAACATGTAAATGTATTTCAAGGTTTATCTCCTTATCTTTAACAGACTGGGGGCAGCAAAGGTTATGCGTTTGTGGAATTTGAATATGATGAAGTTGCTAAGATCGTTGCAGATACCATGAACAACTACCTTTTCGGTGAACGACTTTTGAAATGTGAGTATGAATGAGTTTCTTGCCCAAAAGGAAAATTGAATGTGGCAGTTCTGAAGCAGTAACATCAGTTTCCAAACCTTGCCACAGTCTGGTTTACAGAGTATCATTTCTCTGAAAACTGCCCCTCAAACCTGGCTGTTACTTTGTCTTTTCTTCCAAAGTCCTTGTATCTCTTCACCCACCCCATCTGTCTTTTTTCCCTTGGTACTTGCAGATACCCTTTCTCCCAAAGAGAGCAATTGACACACAAGGCCCTGTGACCTCCTGGAATACCCTGTATTAAGATAAGGTGCAACCTGCAGTCACCTTTCTCAGGAAACTGCCTGTTAAACCACATTTGCAATGGCATGAAAAAGGCATTGTGTACTGCTTAGTAGGAATTTCCTCCCTTCCCAGCGCTTGCCACAGTTGTGTGGTGTGTTTTTGAAGTGGCTCCCAACTGCTCTCTGTAGTACATTGGAATTGCTATTGTTCATGGTGACTCTTGGCTTGAAAACAGAAAAGGATTAGTGAGTCCTGTTCTCTCAAGCAAGTTTAACTGAGCTGGACCGATGGGAGAGTTGAACACCAGAAAACCTTGTTCATAATTCTCTTATTAAAGATTCAGACATAGCTTCAGGGTGAATTTATGTGAGGCAGCCTTCCCAGTGCTATTAATGAAGCAGCCAAACAATGCTTTCCACTTAATTATAATTCAATTCCAGCAGATGATAGAATTGTTCTGAGAGCTAGGTGACAGTCTTTGAAGAAGCCAGCCCAAGTGCATACATAAGAGAAGGTGGAAAGCTATTGGGTATCGGCCAGATGTTGACAACTCTGTGCCAGAAATAGAGGTCAAGGCAGGTGGATGAACATGACTAGGTGCTTCTCCTTGTGTACTGAGAATCCTAAAGCACAGCAATATTTTATTCCTGCCCGGTGTAAAGGACGGTTTAGATATGGGAGTTAAGAGTAGTGCTTTTGTAGTGATCCAGAGCATATAATTGGGGAACATGCAACTTAACATGAAGATTTCCATGCTTTGGTAAATACTGCTCCATTTTTCAAGGCTTCCATATTGATTTTTGGTGTAACGTGTTTGTGATGCAGGCCAGTTTATGCCTCCTGAAAGGGTGCATGAAAACCTGTTCAAAGGTAGTGAGAAAATATTCAGCAAGCCGTCCTATCCAGCAGTGAAACGCTACAACCGGAGGCGAACAACCCAAGAGAAAGCAAAGATGGTGCAGCGGTTGCTGAAGAAGGAACGGCAGTTGCGGAAAAGGCTGGCTAAGAAGGGAATCGATTATGATTTTCCTGGCTTTGTAAGTGAATGCCCTGCCCGCTCCCCCAAAGGTTGACATACAAACATGTTAAGTCAAGTGCTAATTGCAAAGTATGTGCCTTAAACAGGGATTGTGAATGGTAATATTGTCATTGAGCAAGCGAAAGATCTGTGAATGTTTTACTCAGTAAAAGAATGGAGTCTCTGGGCCTTTTCACAAAGGACACAGAGGCAAACCCTGGCTTGTCGCCCAGTGTGCATCCAGCACAGATCTACAGCTTCCTGAAAGATGGTCACCTACCTATGTGATACATGTGTCTGCAAACGTATTTCTAGCCTTCACTCTTAACACATTTTGGTCTACCAGTAAAAGAACTAAGGTCAGACTTGTAAACAGCCACTTATCTAGTCTCTGATGGTGAGTAACCATTACTTCCAGGTGAGCAGATAGGAAAGCTTTTGTAGAATAGATGAGTTTTTCCTATCAGGTTTCTGATGTGTCACAAGTAACTACGATTGGTATGTATTTTGTTAAGCCCACAAGGTACTAGTCTGCCTATTAAAAACACCTGTTCAGGGAAGTTTTTAATCTGTGATATTTTACTGTATTTTTGGTTTCTATGGAAGCCGCCCAGAGTGGCTGGGGAAACCCAGCCAGATGGGCGGGGTACAAATAATAAATTATTATTTATTATTATTATAAAATAAGCAATGTGTGAAGTGGCCCTAAGCTATCATAACAGATCCCAACTGAGCTGGAGTGAAATTGGGTTTTGTAGCCCTTTATTGCTTATTAAGAAAAAGGCACAATTCTAGGACAGTATTTTAATCTTGTTTTTTTTTATATAATTTTTATTAAGTTTTCAGTATAAGATTAAACAGAAAAACATAAAGAAGAAATACACAAATACACAGTACATAATCAAAAGAAGAAAAAAAAACACAAAAAACAAAAAAAGAAACAGAACAATTAAAAACAATCACCTTTTCATTTCCGTGTTTAAATTTACTTATTTTCTGGACCTCCTCATACCTCCCTCTTTTGTATTCCAGTCCAGATTGTTTGTCCAGCAATTTCTTTTCCACTTTTTTAATCCCAATCTTTAATCTTTAATATAATATAGCATTAAAATTTTACCTCTTAAAATACCAGGTTTCCATTTCCTTAAACTTCTTTAATCCTAATCCTTAATCTTAATCTATCTATAACTTTAAATCCTGTACAGCTGGAAACCACTTATTTTCAATCCAACATCACTCTAGCATTCTTTAATTTTACAGTGTTTCTGTAGATAATCTTTGAATTTCTTCCAATCTTCCTCCACCGACTCTTCTCCCTGGTCACGGATTCTACCAGTCATTTCCGCCAGTTCCATATAGTCCATCAGTTTCATCTGCCATTCCTCCAGCGTGGGAAGTTCTTGTGTCTTCCAATACTTTGCGATAAGTATTCTTGCTGCTGTTGTTGCATACATAAAGAAAGTTCTATCCTTTTTATCACCATTTGGCCGACCATGCCCAAGAGAAAGGCCTCTGGTTTCTTAGGGAAGGTATATTTGAATACCTTTTTTAATTCATTATATATCATTTCCCAGAAAGCCTTAATCTTTGGGCACGTCCACCAAAGGTGAAAAAATGTACCTTCAGTTTCTTTACATTTCCAGCATTTGTTATCGGGCAAATGATAGATTTTTGCAAGCTTGACTGGGGTTATGTACCACCTGTATATCATTTTCATAATATTCTCTCTTAAGGCATTACATGCCGTAAATTTCACACCTGTGGTCCACAACTGTTCCCAGTCAGCAAACATTATGTTCATGTCCAACGTCTTGTGCCCATTTAATCATAGCCGATTTTACCGTTTCATCCTGAGTGTTCCATTTCAGCAGCAAGTTATACATTCTTGACAAATTCTTAGTTTTGGGTTCTAACAGTTCAGTTTCTAATTTTGATCTTTCCACCTGGAAGCCAATTTTCTTGTCCAATTTAAATGCCTCCATTATCTGAAAATAATGAAGCCAGTCTCGCACTTTGTTTTTTAGTTTTTCAAAACTCTGCAATTTCAGTCTATCTCCATCTTGTTCCAAAGTTTCCCAATATTTCGGCCGTTTGACCTCCATATTGAGCTTTTTCAAGGCTTTCGCTTCCATTGGTGACATATTTTAATCTTGTTTTGATGGCAGGATACCATTTTGTGTGTTTGTGTGTGTTGTATAAATGGATGGTATTTTAATCATACTAAATGCAGTGGTGTCCACAAAGGACATTTTGGCTGTGAATGCAGGTTGCACAGGGATCATGTTGATGCTGAGCCTCTTTTCCATAGGCTGCTGAAATGCCTCTGATTAAGAAAAAGAAAAAGAAGCTTTCAAAACCAGACTCGAGCATGAATGTGTCTGTGAGCAGTGAGGTAAGTTTAAAGTGTTGATCTTCCCAAAGAGTACTAGTAAGAAAGGGTTTGGGTTTTTTAGTCAATTGAATTCCTGTCATGGTCCTATCTCTGGGAGATATTTTGAGGTGTGTGGGTGGCCAAATAGGAACAAAATTATTGGACCTCTGCAGAGTGGAAGTTTGGCCTTCATACAACCCCTCTAGAGAGTCTGACACCTTTGTGTTCATTTTGTGCATTCCCATTGCATCCTCAAGTCAGTTTTTACATAAATGTGACAAACCTGCAGGCCTCAATTTTGTCTCATTGCATCCCATCACCAGCCCTTTCCCCTTATGCAATCTCCTGGTAGGATGGGACCCTGGGGAGCAAATTGGTAGCCGCGAGGAGAGGGAAGCTAAGTTCTGTTTCATGAGCAGAGGTCTGCTCATGCAGTGCTGAGATAATGCCCTTCACCTTTAACATCGTGATGGTCCAACAGAATTTAGCAACATCCTTCTCTCTCATATCCAGGATCCTACCCCCGTGTGTACCCCATCATTTCTTGAACGGCGAAAATCTGAGCCAGAAGATAGCGATGACAAAGAAATAACTTTCAAACTACCACCTGCAAGTATAAAGACTGCTGCACAAAAAGCCAAAACAGCAAAGCTGCAAAGAAAAACAGCTGGCACGAAAAGGAAATGCAAAACTTAAAATATTTCTTCAGCCAAAGGACACATTCATTTCACAAGGAGTTTCCAAGCAGTCCTGATTTTAGAGAGTCTTGCGTAGTTACAATAGTTGATCCTCACATCAATCTCCAATCAAAACTATATTTCCTAAGTATAACAAGCCAGTGTTCCAGTATCACAAGGAGAAATAGTTTTAGATTCTGCCGACTTGGACCTATTTCTGACCTACTGGGTGGGAAGGAGAGCTGAAATGTACTGTCTTAAGCATTTTAACTAAAATGTGTGGCTGGTATAAAAAATGTCACAGATGGCCGAAGAGTAAACATGTATAAATTGTCAGCAGAAACAGGTTATTGAGGAATATTTTGTTTTTCCCAACTATGACTCATTTGAAATTAAGTTCAAATTAAAAAATGTTGAAATTCACTGGAGTAGTGTGTTAAATTATTGAAAACAGTGGTTATCAGCCATGTAAATAGTTTCCAGTACAGTGGTACCTTGGTTCTCGAATGGCTTAGTTGCCTAACAAATCGGCTCCCGAATGCCGCAAACCCAGAAGTAAGTGTTCCGGTTTGCAAACATTTTTCAGAAGCCAAACATCCGGCGTGGCTTCCGCTTGAGTGCAGGAAGCTCCTACAGCCATTTGGAAGCCGCGCCTTGGTTTTCGAACGGTTTCAGGGACTCCCAGAACGGATTAAGTTCAAGAACTAAGGTACCACTGTATACAGAATTGGAGAAAGGTAGTGGCTCAGTGAGGGACGCGGGTGGCGCTGTGGGTTAAACCACAGAGCCTAGGGCTTGCTGATCAGAAGGTCGGCGGTTTGAATCCCCGCAATGGGGTGAGCTCCCATTGCTTGGTCCCTGCTCCTGCCCACCTAGGAGTTTGAAAGCATGTCAAAGTGCAAGTAGATAAATAGGTACCACTCTGGCAGGAAGGTAAACGGCGTTTCTGTGTGCTGCTCTGGTTCGCCAGAAGCGGCTTAGTCATGCTGACCACATGACCCGGAAGCTGTACGCCGGCTCCCTCAGCCAATAAAGCGAGATGAGCGCCGCAACCCCAGAGTCGGCCACGACTGGACCTAATGGTCAGGGGTCCCTTTACCTTTAGTGGCTCAGTGACAGGGCGCATGCTTCAGATGCATGAAGTCCCAGGATCAATCCTTGTCCTCTCCAGGTAAAGCTGGGAATGGCCCCTGCCTGCAACCCCTGGAGACCTGCTTCCAGTCCGTGTAGACTAGGTGTGGGGCCCTCCAGAACTTGCTGCAGTCTACAACTCCAGTCAGGCCCAGTAAGCATGGCCAGTGGCCAGGAATGATGGGAAATGAGGTTCATCGACATCTGGAGAGACTAATTCCCCACACCTGGCACAGACAACATTGAGCTAAATAAGTCAATGGGTCTGACTCTGTTTAAGGCAGCTTCCTTTGTTCTTTGTCTGCTGGATTAGTGCCACCGCAACATGCATTGTGGCATATCAGTACCACTATTCTGCCTGGCACCATTACTGCCATTTGTCTGGTAAGTTGTGGAGCAGACAGCAAAGTGGCGTCTCTTACACCTGTCGCAGTGTGCCCAAAGGTGCACTGTCTACTACTTAGAGCACCTCGCACCACTGCTTAGTTACATATAGCTTGGCAATTGGGACAGTTTTGATGTTCATTATTCATCAAGGTGGGCAAGATGGTATGGGTGGTGGTTAGGGCGTTGGACGAGGACCTGGGAGATCAGGGTTCAAATCACAACTGCTGCAAAGCTCGTTGAGAGACCTTGGGCCAGTCACTGCCTCTCAGCCTAACCCACCTCACAGGGTTATTTGTGGGGAATTAAAGGAGGAGAAGGACCACATCTGTCACCTTGAGCTCCTCGGAGAGAGAAAGTTGGGATACAAATGCAATAAAGCCTGTAATTCTAAAGGAACAAGCATTTGTTGTCACTTGCCTGCTGCCAAGCAGCTGCTGATAATTGTTGCATTCTGCTATAATTCTGCTTTTTGTTCCTTCACCGTGGGAATAACCTTCCTGGTAATATATTGGGATGGTAAATATATGTAATTGCTGTGCCTTGATGTGCAAGAAAGTCATCTAAGGTATTTATTGTATCTGTTGCCTTTGTGAAAAGGTGTTTGTGGGTGTACTTAATGCATAAATGTGCCATGCCCTGAAAGTTTTTACTCCAGGATTCAGCCTTCTGTCGCCGTCATCCCTACTCCAATTATGTTCTGAATTGGTAAAATAATAATAATAAATGAAGCATTCACCCCTTTTTTCAAACACATTGCATTTAATCATGATAGCATTTTGAAATGAAGAGGCCACTAAATATGCACATTTTCACAACGAAGTGAGAGTGTGAATAAGATTTACGGTAACCTAGTTGAAGGTAACAAAACTGCCTTTAGTTTTCCTTCTACAAAAAAAGAAAGATACTGCACATCACAAGGGGGCAGGATTTCTTGCGAGCTTAGAAAGCCATGTTTCCCTCCTGCATTCATTAATGGTGCTTCTGGTCTTTGAGCTCAGGGAGGTTTAAGCAATTCCTGATTCAAGAGCAGAAACTGGAAAAGGGGAATTGGCATTCTGGGTGAGAGAGAGAGAGAAAGAGAAAATGAAAGCCCTTTCTGAAAGCAGAAGGTTATTGTTTCAGTAGCAGGCGAAGCATAAAATCAACGAGACCTAACTGAGAAAACAAAGGTTGGTCGTTTTATGCCTTGACCTACAAAGGTTCTTACATCTGTTATCTTCAACTTGTCTTACTACATAATGTTATTAGGCAAGACATTCTAAAGCAAAGTTGTTGCCATGCGGAAAGATCAACCGCTAACAAATGCAAACATTTCTAGGACACTGTTTAGAAATTCAGCTTGCACAGATCAAAGCAGTCGAATAGGCATTGCATAGGAGCAACTCAAGCTGTGTCCGTTATTGTATATATGATGCAGAGAAAAGATCAAATTTCTAGTATTTATCACTAATTTGATTAAAAGGACTGTGGCCACATTGCTACAGGTGGTACGGGCTCAAGTCTGCATAGTACTTAATGTAAGTCATACTAATTAAACCATACTTGTATATACTTGAGCATGTTCCACGTGGATCAAATACTAGGATCCATCTCTTGAGTAAATAAGTAGTGGCATATGTGTCACTGCAATAATCCAGTTTGCAGGATCAGGCTGTCACTGTGGCACCGTCAGGAAATCTGTCCCACGGAAAAATTACATCCCCCCCACCAGCCCCTGTATTTTACAGTAAGCCCGCAACTTACACACATTTAAACTTGTGCACATTCCGATTTACGTGCTTGGCACACACACAAAATATTAATAACAAAAGTGGTGGACATCCAGGAAAAACGACTTTGGCAATCCCACCTGCCATTGCACCCAATGTCTTTTGCCTATCTGTGATTTTGGCTTTAGGCATGATGCCAGGGACTCCTGAGTGCTTGCTGTATTTAAAATGTTACCTTTAGGATTAAGGCTACCATAACTTTAATTGAAGAGAATTTTAGGAGATGACTTTGGCAGCTTAAGTAGCTCGTGGTTTTGGGGGTTGCACCGGAATTATTATCGAACGCTGATGTCCACGGCTAACTTAAGGCACTTCATTTCTCAGTAAAGATTTAGTAGCAGAGGAAGTGATGTCACGAGACCTTGTTTCATGAAACTCAATTTATGTCTGAAAAATAGACTACTGGGCATCACTTAGCGCAATGTGGTTATCAATAATTAAAACAGGACATCCCTTCCTAAGTAGCACAGTTGGCCCACGTACAACTCAATGGCACATTTCCTTGCAGCAGCTTCCTTTCATGCATTTGTTGCTTTGCCAAAGCCAATAAAGTACAATTCACAATGGATTCCCGCCCTCCACTGCCCATTTGGTCTTAGAGACACATTATTCTAGTCACCAACAGCAAGTTGAGACTGTGTAAAGGTGGGAATCCCACTGCCCACCATTAAAGAATGCTTAAATTAATTAAAGAATGCTTAAATTAATTAAAGAATGCTTAAATTAATTAAAGAATGCTTAAATTAATTAAAGAGAGCCAGTGTGGTGTAGTGGTTAAGAGCGGTAGACTCGTAATCTGGTGAACCGGGTTCGCTTCCCCGCTCCTCCACATGCAGCTGCTGGGTGACCTTGGGCCAGTCACACTTCTCTGAAGTCTCTCAGCCCCACTAACCTCATAGAGTGTTTGTTGTGGGGGAGAAAGGGAAAGGAGAACGTTAGCCGCTTTGAGACTCCTTCGGGTAGTGATAAAGCGGGATATCAAATCCAAACTCTTCTTCTTCTTCTTCCTCCTTCCAAGTGTCTGAAAAGTAGGGATGTGGACATCTTTATTTTAAAAGTTGTGGAAGTGACTGCCCACATGCAACTATGCTTTAAAGTAACCTTCCCAACATGGTGCCCTCTAGAAGTACAACTGAACTACAGTTCCCGTCAGCAGCAGACAGTATAGCCCAACTGAGATGGAAAGTCTGATACTATCTGGTAGTCACCAGACTGGGGAAGACTGCTTTAAAGTCAGCATTAAGGATAAATTCATTCTCTCTCATGCTATATTTATTTTGGTGTACGGCTATTATTGGGACACGGGTGGTGCTGTGGGTTAAACCACAGAGCCTAGGACTTGCCGATCAGAAGGTCGGCGGTTCGAATCCCCGCGACGGGGTGAGCTCCCGTTGCTCAGTCTCTGCTCCTGCCAACCTAGCAGTTCGAAAGCACAAAGTGCAAGTAGATAAATAGGTACCGCTCCGGCGGGAAGGTAAACAGCATTTCCGTGTGCTGCTCTGGTTCGCCAGGAGTGGCTTAGTCATGCTGGCCACATGACCCGGAAGCTGTACGCCGGCTCCCTCGGCCAATAAAGTGAGATGAGCCCCGCGACCCCAGAGTCGCCCATGACTGGACCTGATGGTCAGGGGTCCCTTTACCTTTACCTATGGCTATTATAGGTAATATGAAGAGAAGCCTTCTAAGAGCTGTAGATAGCAACTATGGCTTGTATCTGAGCCACACTCATTGGACCCCTTGGAATAGGCTATTGTAACTTGCCCATTAGTTTTAACAGGTCTACTCTGAGTATGGCTCAGTTGGGTACAACTGTGGGTTGTATCCATGGACTTCCACTTGCACAATGTCACTTCCCTCTCCTCCTCCCATGCACCCCTCTTTTCTGGGGGTTCTCCCAACCCTGTGGAGTAGATTCAGGGGGAGGAGGCGCAGGTATAGATAGGAAGGGGAGGAGAAATTATGTTGCGTAAGTAGAATTCCTTGCATTAATGGAACAACTTTGTCTGATACAACCCCCTATGTTTAAATATAAAAATCCATGAACCCATTGACCCTGATTAATCACTAAATATTCTTTAGGTGGCCGGGAGGTCAATTGTCCATTCCAAGGGTGGACGTGCACATCTGAGAGAAGCGAGTGAATAAATCTCTCAACTTTATGTCCTCCTTTATGCCAGTTTGTGCTTGTAGGTTTGCCTCGGGCTTCCGTAACTTACAATCCACCAAACCAAGCACCGTCCACTAACCCCATACTGTGGTTGGACAGGTATCTGTACAGGTGCCTTGTTTCAATTTATTTTCCTCCCTACTTACCCACGTAGATTAGCACTGCTGTAAAGTGTGCATGCGCTTTATGGATAATATCCATAGCATAATAAAAAGGTTTAAAAGGGACAGAGGGAATGAACAAACAAACAAAAAAGCCAGATCTCTCTCACACACACCTGAAGAGGACTAAGCTACAGTAACAGGTTTACAGGAAGAGTTAAGCATTAAGAGATGGTGCCCACGCTAATAACTGAAATCAGGAGCGTCCATTCTGCTGCAATTAAACGCTTGATTATCTCTTCCCACCTTGCTTTTGGTACAATAACAAAACCATTAGGCTTTTATTAGGAGAGTTTATTATTTTCCTTTGCATATCTGCAGAAACCGAAGGCCTAATGGTACTAATACGAAGCCGTGTAAGAGTGCAGGTTCCTAGAATTATGTATAATACATGGTGCTTTTTCCTCATTGAAAGTTTCCTGCTTTCTTGATGTCAACTGCTGCTTTGGCTGAGGATCATCTCAAGCAAGCAGCCGTATTGCATGAAAGTGGCAGGGAGGTTATCCTGCCCCACAGCATGCAGGTAAGAGATGGGCAGCATTCAGCTGCAAGGCAACCACTT